AGGGGAGACTATCCGTAGTCTAATGGTATAAATAGTTTAAGATCCTGCTGAGTTATAATGAAAATACTTGAAAATGCGTGGTTCAAGAAATCAAGTTGACTGTGGGAACTTTTTCCAATCAAAATCAAAGTTATAGCACTTGTCAAGGGGAGTCTATCCGCAGTCTAATGGTATCAACAGGTTAGGATCCTAGTGAGTTATAAAGAAAATACTTGAAAATTGGTTGTTAAATAAAGCATCTCGACCATGGGGATTTTGGCTGGAGTCCTTCCCATAGTCTCATCACATCAATAGGGTAAGATCCTAGTGAGTTATAAGAAAAATTGCGGAAATTCTTCACCTTGTCAGCCTGTTATTGACACATGTTTTTGACTAGTTTTTGATGAGTTTTTAATATTGACCATATATTGTAATTTTGGTGCTAGAGTTTGAGAAAAGTTAACAGCTGAGCCCATAAGTGCATCAGGGAATCAGCGAGAACTTGGTTTTTGTCGATATAAATGGCAAGTTCAGACCTAAAATCTACCCAATTATATCCGAAGACAAACAAATATATGCAGGTGAGGCTCATCCGCGAACCATTGCTACTGGGACACGAATACTGGAGAGTTCAGAGCTGGTCTCTCTGCCTTTCTGAGCGATGACATTCCGGAACCACAGATGAGTTGACCCCTTGGCATACCAATCCACAACACCACATTTCCGCTGTAGCCAGACCTAATAATAACTGATTGGATCACGTGACTCAGCCTGTGTCATTTATGGCCTGGCTTGGCTTAGATAATTATGGTTTAGTCGAGTTAAGGCTTAAAACCAGCTTAAAGCCTCAAATTTAATTTAATTTAATATATTTTAAGTCCAAACATAGATTACAATTTAGACACCAAAAATTTAAGACTTGAAAGCCCAATTGGGAAATTAACACACTGTAGATTGATATTGATCGCTTACAAACTCGCAAATGTACTCTACATCTAAAGACAACACGCAAATGGGTCCCCAGAACAACATGAGTGGTTGGTCCCAATAGCTTTCGATTAAACACTAAAATAGATATTAGCAATATTGTAGCCTCGATCAAGTATGAAGGTTAGATCGGGCGAAGCGTGAGGCCGATATGGCGGCACAAAGCCACAAGTCAAGGGAAAGAGAAGCTGAAAGGGGCAGAGTTCGAGGGGAGAGAGGATCTCGGGAGCCTTGGAGGTTGAAGTGGCAAAGCTGGTTGGCAAGAGTGGTGGGTCGTGAGGTGCAGGATTAGGGTGGAGCCTTTCAGTCAAGTCAATGTAAAGATCATGTCCATGCACCAGTTATTGTTGCACCAGTTATTGTTAGCGTGACGGATCAAACAACTCTTGTTGGCATCGTATGCATGCCGATTCCTACCGTCCATCTGAGGGTGATCTCAAACATGTAAGGCCCAGCTCGGCAACTGAGTCCGGTTCAATTTTCGCTGGTCACCCGCCAAAATCACGTTGGATCGAACCAACACTTTTTTTCCATCAAAACGTCTAATTTAACTCAACCAGTGTGTGTGCTCGACAAAAAAGTTTGATTTTGATGGGTTAGATCAATATATGGGTATCTACTTGTAGCACTAATACGGGTTTTTGTCTCTGGCAATCCAATTCTTCCATCTCATCGCTCCCTTTCTGACTGATTCAGATGTCACCCGAAAACGAACAATCTCGGAGTCAGGCTGGCCCTATTGCTGAGTCCACTGCTGTGACTGACAAAGGCACGAAGACCAAACCAAAAGTACTGAGTGTGAGCACAAAGACAGTTTGGAAGTCCAGTGACGATGCTGTGTTGATAGCAACACTTCTGAAGGAACGGGAGGAGGGTCATCAATCTGACTCAGGATTCAAACCGAAGTCATTCATTGCTTGCGCGGAAGCACTCAAAGGGAGTGAGAAGACAAGTGGAGGTGTTGCGAAGACATCTGGCTCATGTCATGATCATTGGGGAAAGGTATGTCTTGTATTCTAGTATTCGTGCTACATTCTAACTGTGCTCTCAGCTCAAAAAAGACTTCGCCGTTGTCAAAAAACTCCGGGAACAATCTGGATTTGGCTGGGACAATACTTTGAAGATTGTAACTGCCCCGCCAGATGTCTGGGAGAAATATCTCGCGGTAGGTGGATCTCATCAGATCAGTGCGAGGTGCTGACCACCATACATCAACAGACACACAAAAAAAGCCAAAGTCTGGAGGAAGAAATCTTTTCCACTCTACAACAGCATCCAGATTCTAGTCGAGGGGATTGTTGCAACTGGCAAAAATGTTTTTCGTGTGGGCATGACCACCATGACTGAAACTGTTGACACCACACTCCTGTTCAACCATCCTGCTGATTCGGGGGAAGATAACCAGATGTTGGATGACAAAAATGATGAGGTATGTATTTTCTATTCAAATACATGATTTGTTGGCTTATGGCTATCTACCAGGATGTTGATGACTTGCAGACCATGACACCCATCAAACCCAACAACCGGAAGTGTTCGGCTGTAGAAATGACACCGTTTGGGAGCAGCTGCAAGCGACAACCAACTGGTCGTGCCATCCGTTGTTCTTCAAGTGGTCGTGGCTCAGGCACTGATGCCATGTTTTCGGTTGCAGGAGCTATCGAGACACTCGCCGATAAATTCAACGAGTCTGGTGGGCTCACTTCTCCAGAACGTTGCAGTGCTGCCATCCACTGTCTCGAAGACGATGATGACTTGTCCGAAACTGAGCAGGTAGCAGCTGTTCATTTGTTCTCTCGTCAGACTGCAATTGCAGATTCATACCTTGTAATCAAGAAAAAGTCTACTCGCACTCGTTACATTCAGTCAGAGTTAGCCGAGTTTAGTCTAGGGTAGTACTACACTCTGTGCATTTAAAATGTACTGATAACTATCCGACATAGCTTTTGCAATGGAATCCCTAAGCTCCGAAGCCTGAACTCGTTCTGCAGATGAGATATCACCTCCGAGATCCTCAACCCCATCTATCACTGCCCTGACAATATCACCATAGGGAGCCTCACGTGCTTCCGGGAGGTCGTCACTGTCGTAAATACGGATGAAGTTGTGTAGTACACAGATAGCAGGGACCATCTTTGCCTGTGTCGTGAGATCATACTCAGGAGAAACCACAAGAAGCCGAAAACGCCTCTTGACAACTCCAAAAATTCGTTTGATGACATTACGGGCTTGTGCATGACGCAAATTGAAAAGTTCACGATAGTTTTTGGGCCTAGACGAGTCATGAGAAAATAATAGCTTGATAACATGAATGAAATACCGTAGACCAACCCTGCCCCACTCGTTTAGATGGTATCATTCTCCACGGTATGGGATCATGAGCCCATTGCAAATCGGAAAGCCTGCATCAGCGAGAAAATATTTACCAGGGGGGATAGTCAGGTTACTTCGCCGAGCATCCTCGTAGATGTGTCCATCAGCAGCACTGCCCTCCCAACCACTGAGAATATATGTAAACCGCAGATCTTGTGAGCATGCAGCAAGCACATTCTGCGAGAGACGACCTTTTCAGTTGCGATAACGTGCCATGGCATCATCAGGAACAAAAGCATCCAAATGAGTCCCGTCAATTGATCCTTGGCAGTCTTGGAAGAACAGATAAAATTTCGGGTTGTCCTTGATCTCAGGTGTGAGTGGGGTGGTCGTGTCAGGAAGTCGTTGTGGGTACAACAATCCTGCTGAGCTGCAGGGAAATGTTGGGTCTTGCTGGCCTTGGCTAGTTCGACCCTAAAGGGTCTCTGCTCCAGGCTCAGTGCTCACAGACATAAAATCATCAAGGAAAAGGCAGGGGACTTCAGACTGGACTTCAGACTCTAACTGGTACTGGTGCAAAGTGGAACTTGATTATGTCAGCAGTAAGAGTGCAAACATAAAGTAGGTAAAGTGTCAATTGTGAGGCCAGAAACTGGAGGTTTCCTACATCATACATAGGCATTATAGAAAGCATCAGACGTGAGGAGGTCGAGAATGCAATGGATGGCTCTTATAAGCAGAAGTCAAATTCTAAACTCATCAATAATTAATATGGTGGCGCACTTTGTGAGAGTACTTGGACTGCGCTGAAATTGTTCTTCAAGATGACGCTGGGGTAGGCCAGTTACAGCAAGATACAGCAATATTCCAAGCTGCTCTTCAGCCGAAACATGTCTTGTGTCGTGAAGGCCATGTTTGATTAGCTCACGGAGAAGGGCCTGGAATACATGTTTATTCATTCCCATTGCATCGTAAAAATGTTGAGGATGGCCAGCCAGAAGCTCATTCAACCATTGTTGGCCAGTGAGCTTGGAAGTATTTTTGGGAGTTTTGTCGTAGCAGGCAGCATAATGATGTTGAGCAATGGAAGCAGCAGCGAGTGCAATAGCGATGACAGCTGCCCGGTTTTTCTTCATTTTCGAGTGTGCAAAGTGCTTTCGAGTAGCGTTGATTACCATCAGCAAGTACAGTAGGGTACACTAGAAACAAACTCGCTGCCCAGTTTGGGCCATTTCGCTGGTCTAATTTAGCCAACCATCAATTGAACCTGACCAGCGAAAATTGAACTGGACTCAGTTGCTGAGCTGGGCCTAAGTCGTCGTCATCTATCATTCAGTGTGCCAAGTCCAAAATCGCCTGTCTCCACGAGTCAGAGTCAAAAGAAAGCACACAACAACAACGAGAGTACACACCAGCTAAATGTGGGCCACTGGGTTGTTTGGAAGATTCAGGTGTACTGCCGAGACTGGCATGCAGTCCTAGCCCAGGGTCATAGCCCAAGCCATGAAAGTTATCCTTCCTCTCGACAATGATCAATGGTGTATATTGAGGGGTGTATGTACATTTCTTCACTTCCTCGTCTGACACCATTTTATCCATAGGCCAACACCTTGCCCAACGCGCCAGCCCATCTTCTCGAGAATGCAAGTGTCTACAGAATCTTTTGGTGCTGGGAGAGAGACTGCTCAAGTGAAGGATAAAGTGAAAGTCAGCTATTAAAGATTAGATGTGCTTGAGAAAGAAAACAAGGTAATGATTGAAAACAGTCTAAGGTAAACACAAAACTAGAACAATTGTAAGATCAAGTAGGAATCAATGAAAACTGAGTATGAAGAGTGAATGAACATCACAGGGAATAGATAGTGGCAGTGTTGTCAATGTTGTCACACTCATACTCTGCAATAGCCTTGAGAAGAGCATCATGGACATGACTGTCACCTGTAATGCTGTCATTGTCAGGTGCACGCTCATCAGAGTCGTCCAACAATATCTGGAATTCCATCTCCTTTTGAGATGCCGCCCAACCTTTGGTAAAGTTGAGCCGCTCTCTTTCAGGAGGAACTTGACAATCTGCAGGGCCTCCATCAGCACTGGGGAGATGTGATTCTGTTTCTTAGTGTTGGTTTTACTACTTGATGAGAAGACCTGTTTGCACGGAACAGAGGAGGCCTGTATGGGTAGATAGTCCATCGCAATAGTGAATAGAGTTGGAAAAACTGTCTCAGAAACCTGTCCGACCCATGGCGGTCAATGACGAGAGGTTTAATGAGGAGACACGCAGTTCTCACCTGCCGGAATACAGGGATATTTCCCCCCTTGCTGCTGAGAGGAGCCGTGTTGTATGCTGTGAACTCCTGATTGACTGTTTGGGGACCCTCATGGACAATCACTAGCACGTTCATATCAGGAAGTCCATAGTGGCGTGAGCCTAGCAAGCGTGGCTGCTACTGTGGCACTGGAGGCCGGACAGCTTCAGCAGGTTTCAATGCTGCTCTCTTGGCATGCATCTAGGAAATATAAAATGATTAGTTCAAACTTCAAGCAGTGGTGTTGGTGAATTAGACGTACCAAGTCAAGTGTGAACAACTTGGTATTGGACAGATCAAAGTCTGGACATGAGACGTCAGAGGTGTCACACTGAGACATTGCGAGCACCGTACGGATGATGTCGTTGACGTTGATTGTCGAGGCAATTATACAAAGTGTCAAAGTCCTACACTATGTGAAATTTTCCATCACTATGCTAACTAGTTTAAATCTACGAGCTTTTTGTCCAAACATCTCAGTCATCCTACAGAGACTGAGATGTAAGCTTATGTTCCCTGTCTTCATTATATCAAGTAGCTAACATGTTCCATAGAATTCTATCTAGGTACTATACATCTGTACGCAGATTCATCCTACAGAGACTGAGATACTTCTATCTAGTTCGCTCTCCCGTGTATCTGCTCGTCTCTGATCACCAGACTTGGCAGCACTACTTTGGGCTTCACTCCAATGGTTTTGAACCCACAACATCCAGATGGCAGGATTGAGGACTACAAAGTCATGTCAGAAATCAAACACCATCAACAATTTGCCGGACTCACACATTGGGACAATCATGGAGACCCACAGTGATATTCTGCAGTTTGATATCACCATGGACATAGTTGTGAAATATCATATGCTTTGTGGAATAATTCAATGTCCTCGGTATTTTTTGATAGCCCAGGCCGCTTATGTACCGTCTAGGCACCACTTCGTAGTATTTTGCTTATAACTCATTGCGATCTTGAGCAAAAAATGTCATGAGACTATGGAAAGACTGCCCTTGACAAGGGCTACAACTTTGATTTTTTTCGAAAAAATTTTCATGGTCTACCATAGTCACTCCTTATCAAAATCCTAATGGTAGTAGTCAAAAGTGCGAAAATTTTGCCAAGTCTTTCCCCTAATGAGTTTCCTTAACTATTGTGGGAATTTGGGCAGGACGCTGCACAAATTCCCACGGTTGACTTTTACCGTGTAAGTTTCTCTCAACTGCCTTCTCTTTCTTCACTCTTTTCCTTAACTATTGTGGGAATTTGTGCAGCGTCCTGCACAAATTCCCACGGTTGACTTTTACTGTGTAAGTGCTCTTAACTGCCTTCTCTTTCTTCACTCTTTTCCTTATTTTTGTTGTGCCTCTTCCTTCTTATTTCTCCTGCCAAGTCCTGGGTGTTGGTGGTTGGTGGTGTTGTTAGTGAGGCCTTTGATGTTGGTTCCTTCTCCCTTTGGTGAGTCTATTCTTCTTTCCTTTGTTTTTTCTCTGACGCTCTTGCTCTGCTTCAGCTCTTGCTCTTCTCTGGCCCTCTCCCTCTTCTGCTCCTCCCTCCTCTCTCTCTCTCTCTCTCTCTCCTCTCTCTCTCCTCTCTCTCTCTCCTGGCTGTCTCTCTCTCTCCTGCTCCTCTTTCTCTCTGGCCCTCTATTAATTTTCGAGTTTTTTTGTCTTTTGGTAAGGTTATTTTTCTTTCTCTTGTTGTTTTTCTAACTCTATTTTGCTAGCTGTCTCCCTTCCTCCTACTTTCTCTCCTCTCCTCCCTCCGCCCTCCCTTCTCTCCTGCTCTGTCTGCTCTGTCTGCTCTGCTCTGCTTTCTCTACTCTCCTGCTCCTTCTGCTCCTCCCTCCCCTCTCTTGCTCCTCCTGCTTTCTCCTCTTCTCTCCTTTCCTCTCCTACTTTCTCTCCTCTCCCACTCTCTTCCTCTTCCTCTTCCTGCTTTCCTGCTCTTTCTGCTCTTTCTCCGCCTGACCTAGTAGTTACAAATTAATGTAGAAGTTGTATAGTAGATAGTTGAAATATTACTGCTTTGAACAATTTTCCTGGTACTTGAGCGCTATGATGAGAGAAAACACCTATAGTATAGTTGGAAAACAAGGATCTTTATAGTACTTTCATAGTAGATCATGTACTTTTATAGTAGAAGGTCGTCTATAGTGAAGCTTTATAGTTTGTAATAGTTAGTTATAATAGGCACCTTTCTATAGAATCTATAATGTCTATAATGTCTATATAGAGCTATATAGCTCTATATAGACAAAGGGGTTTTTCCTGATGAAATCTTGACTTGTCGTAAAATCAAACAACCACACGGCAAAGGCCCAAAAGCTCTCCAGAATCCTCCTCTCTCATTAGTCATCCCCCTTCCAGTTTCGAAGACAACATTGGACACTTTGCCACAAAGGCAAGAACACATTCTGACAGTACTTGACAATGTCCTCACGTTCATGACCATCTACATATTGACCTTTTTCTTCTTCCTTCCATCGATAGCCCAAGCTTCGACAGGGGACAGCCGCTGTTCTCTCCACCGTATTCCTCAGATCGCAATCAAGTCCTCATCCTCATCCTCAATGCCTTTGCAGGTGACTTTGTGATGACTCCGAGATATAGGCAGGGGTGAGTAGTAACTGTGGTGTGTATGTGAGCTGATCACTGGTTGTTTGTCCATCAGGATATGAGCACTTGTTTGAAGCTTAGCTTCCAAGTCCCATGTGCTTCTTCCACCAATTGTATTCTCCATATCTTTGAGAGCAATGCGAGGCAATACCGCTGGAGAGTCCAGCAGTTCATGGCTAGTAGGTTCCTCGGTCAAGTTCTCCAGAGTTGGTAGAAAAAATGCTGCTGCCGAGTGCTGGAGATGATTTTTTGTATGTGGAGTGTGTGGGGCACATGTGGAGAGTGGTTCCCCGAACCACATTTCTATGCTTGATGAAACAATATCCTGAGATGTCATACTAAACAGCTGTGCATCATGTGAGTACTCATTGAAGTTGCAAGGCTCAAAAGCTCATAGTACACTCACATCTTTATTTTCATTGGCTGTCTCCAAGCCAACTCTAGGTTTCTTCAATGTTCTCCATGCTGTGATATTTTCGCACCAGCGCTTTTGAGCCTTGGTTTTGTTGCCCATCATGGTACTTGTACTGCAGGATAGGTAGGTGTGGCACTGCACAGCAAGAGCTTGATTGAATCAGACTTTGGCCTCTCATACACATTTAATAGAAACAATGAAATTTCTAATTTACGTCTTTAGTTCTGGCACTTTTCTCAATGCTTAATCATGCAGGCCATTATTCTACATCTATTAGCATTGTCAAATGTATTTACAGCTGTTTGCATAAATGATGACAGTACACGACTTTTTGAGAAAGAAGAAGAAATAAATAAATCTTACATACACAGTAGTAAATAATGTGTCCCGCACGTATGTGAGCTACGATTGTGTTGAAAATGACAAACTCAATATCCTCTAGTTCTATGGACTCTGACAACAATTTGATAATGGCGGCTGTCAGGGGCCAGTATGACATCTCTCCTGAGGATGAAACTATTGTCGTAGAACCCACCTCCGAACTAGAATCACCAGAAAAAGAAAAATGCGGCCCTGGTCGCCCTCCCAAGCCCAAGGAAGGTACAATTGTTCGAAGTCCATTGACTATTGAATTCCTGATTGTGAGACCCTGTTCTGTACCTCCAGCACCACATAATGTCTCGATCTCGTATACTCTCATAATGTTCTCCTACTCGGAAATGAAGAAACCAAAAGCAAGGAGAAGCGGAGAACCTGCCATCATCAAGTTTTTGAATGACAAGCCTTTCGATACCCTCAAAGCCCAAATACTCAAATGCATCTCGGAAGCACTGAAACCGAAGAAACTTGCCTATTACAATTATAAAGTAACATTCACAGTCGCATGGCACCAAACATTACCATTATCCTTGAAGAAACAGTCGGAATTCTATCACCTTCTTGAATGTTTGTCAAAAATGAAGGCTCCTGCAGCAAAGATTCTCGTTGAGGCCTCAAAAAAACCTGATCCACCAACAGTTCATACATTATATGCATATATGCTGTTCAATTCTAAGTTTTACAGCCAAAAAAGAAATGAAAACATGACGGGGGCGAGCAGACCAGCGAGGACAGTGATACGAGCCAGGGAAGCAATAGCGACAGTGATTGGAAGAAGAAGAAGATGAAGGTACCATACATGGAAGTCATGTATCTTGTTTGTTGTGACTGACATTGTATCCTCTCGATCACATAGAAAAAGGACCCTAGTGAACTCCCACTCAACGTCGAGCTGTCAGTGCATATGAAACTCTTGCAAAATTGATACATGTGCAACAAACTGGTGTAGAGAGTCACCTCTCCACAGGCTCATACCATGGTATATATACATCAACTTCACACCTATCCACAGGTTAGCGCGACCCATTAGCGATGCGCGCGATGTGCGAAAGTAATCTGACACAACGGTATATGGAAAGTGATACCAGTATACCTATTGGTCAAGCTAAGCCTAAGGCTAGTTTGACCCTAAAGGGGCCTGCTGTCTGAAGTAAGAATGATAGTTAGTGTCTTTAGGCCAAAGGAAAGATAACCCGAAGGTCGATACTAGAGTCCGATGCGCGGGAAAGTGCGTGTCCGGTGCGTGGGAACAACGGACTGTGCGCGGGAACAACGGAAACGGACGGAAAGTGACGGAAAACGTTAAGAAAGGAATGGCAAAGGTTCGGGTCGTAAGGAATGGGTAACCCGATGTATTGGGCAAGGTGTCAAGGTATCTAGGTATCAAGGGATCATGCCCAGTCAGATCCTACTCCACGCTCAGCCAGGGATATACAGTTACATACAGTGGAGATACATGCATATACACGCGTATACACAAAATGGTTGATTTTTACAGGACATGTATCTTATGTAATGATAAACAGACAGTCGTCATGCCTGCAGAACGCACACAACGTGAATTCACCTGTTCGTGTACCAGGAAATGCCATGCGAACTCTCCTCGACAATGGTCTTGCTCCCACAACATGGATGTCCGCCGATATTCGCGCCCTTGAATTTGTTTGCCTCACAATGCGTCAAGCATTTGTCCACTTACGACTTTGCGACGGACATTGGAAAATAGATACATTTGCGAGCCGACACTATCCTCAATAGACGTCCCGCCCAAAGGAGGACCACTGTGCGATTATAAAGCAAGAAAAAGTTGAGGTGAATGTGAAGCCCGAGCCAGCATCTCAAGACTATATCCCAACTGCTGGCACATCCAAGCGGGCCCTGTCCATTGCAATCTCTCCTCACATACGCACCTCAAAGAAGAAGAAAGAGGTCCATCGCATCTCATCTTCGTCACTTACCACTCTGGCGACAACTACACATTGTCCAATCATGTTCGACAACCACAACTCAGGCTCACAGAACCAAATGTCCTACGGAGACGTCGCCCAGGCCCTCGAGCAGCATCTGTCCCTCAGTGTGCTCTCACACCGAATTCTGTCGCTGTTACTGTCCCCCGTGCTCTCTCACCGTTCGTCTCTGTCCCTCGTGCTCTTACACCATCTGTCTCTGTCCCGTCGGATGCTCACGCGGATGTAGGGGGCGAGATGGTGGTACCGCCCACAATTGCTTAAATTTCTGCACTTTCATCACAGTTCTTAATGCCCATCTCCCATTCCACTCGTTCGCCTCACGCTCCGAGTCAGTTTTGTTATGTACTAGTATGTTTCTCGTATACCTGCACTCGTCCGCATCACATTATTCGTTCTCATCCATGCCTCACGCACATCTCCCATCATGCTCGTTTACCTCACACTCGTCTGCATCGCATTATTTGTTCTCATGCACACCTCACGCACATCTCCCATTGTGCTCATTTGTTTCACACTCGTCAATTTTTGCTATGTAGCCAGTCGCCGTGTATCATTACAACCGTTGCAATTGATCCACACATATACAGGTTGATACAGGCTTGCTATATTAGGTTTAATTCGATACAGGTTGATACATACATTGGTTGAAAAATACAGGTGTATACAGGCACTGTATGCGTCTGTATACGCCTGTAGTAGGATCTGACTGGGGATCATGGACCAAGTAAATGGGAAGTCCCACTAAACAAAGGTAAGGTATTTGGTCCATATCCTATCGTCCTATATACTAACTACGTAGAAACCCGGAGTCCTATAGGCGAAAATAGCATCAGGTAATGAGGTCCGATGTTTTGTATGTAAACGGACATGAGGCACTGCGGTCCGTGGGAACATATGTAACAGTGCTATCTACAACATCAGTTATGTGTAAAACTTGACTACTCACCAGTGAGAACACACGAGGACGGACTGGACATAGGGATAGCGGGTTTCCGGGTAGTCCGATGCGCGGGAACAACGGATTATGTGTGGGAACAACGGACTGTGCGCGGGAACAACGGACTATGTGTGGAAACAACGGGTTGCGTCGGGTATGACAGGAAACGGACTGTCAGTGGGCTGCCACCATAAACCATCTAAATGCTCGATTGTGAGGCTAGGGAACACATGTTTCCTACAGCGTCCCAGCTGCAGTAAAGAGACCCAAAGGTCGTGTTAGCAAACGCCCCTTGGGTTTCTTGAGTAGCATTATTCTACAGAAACATGGTTAGCTCAGCTCTTTTGCGATGTTTTTACACCTACAGGAGTCAACGATGCACGGTACAGTGACGAGTATAGCATCTCCGTGACGGTGGGGGGCGAGTTCACAACATCGATCTCGATCTTGCCGAGCTTCTCAGAGCCTTGGACACCGTCTGAATTTTCTCAAAGGAACTTGTGCCAATTTCCTCAGCATTGGCGCAGGCCTGGTCTGTCGATGCGAATAAAATGCCCACGCGAAGGATCGCTTCCTCTAGATTTCCCTCATATGAGATTGGTAGGGTGTACCGCCTATTAGGTTCTGGAAAAGATTGAGGCGGGTCTGAGCGAGTCCTCTTGCGTTGAGGCTGTAGCTGATGAGCATATTGTTAGTTCAAGTATATACCACCAGTGCGCATGGCTCACGTATCACCCGTCCAGATGCCGTATTCACTTAGCTTTTGAGCTCCGCTGTTCAAGAGATCATAACAAGCAAATGCTTGGTAGTGATCCGAACCGGGACCAAAGCTAACGCGGAAATCAAGCTGATTTACCACATTGCTGACCAAAAGGATATTTGATGGCTTACCTGGAGCCGTAGTGGTCACCAATTGTGATACGGCCATTTTCTGGGTTGATATCGAGGGTCCCACCGCCAATGACGCTGGCAGGTCATTGGCTAGGTCGAGCACAAAGTACGGTTTCGAGCCCCGCGGGAACGTGAAGCGCTCTAGCCCAGCACGACGCGTCGACATAGCTTCTATCTTGATATCATTATCCAAATTCAGCGAAAAGTAGCCCGGGTATGCGTCCACTCCCTTCATTTCAGTGCCTAGGACTCCATACAATACAGGACGCCATACCATCGCTATCGCTCTTCCCGTACCTCTCACGCGCCTCCAGCGTGGTCGGACGCGCATCGAACCCTGAAGGACAGAGGAGGGACATGACCTCAAAGTTACCATACGTCCCGAGGGAGGATCCCGCACCACTGTCAAGCCGTGGGCTCGTGCCGCGAGCTTTCTGGGACAGATCCGAGATGTTTATCATGCATTATATTAGATGGGCGCATGACCTGGGGGACAATGCTGATTCTTACCCACTGGTGCATAACCCGTGAAGTCGGTGGTGAATTTGACCTGGAAACAGTTGGGTGCGCTGCTGTAGTGTTAAAAATGACGAAACCGAGTTCGATGACTGCCCTGCCAGATGCGTGAGTGCTTGCATGCTTACAGAGTGGGACTGCATAGAGCCTTGGATAAGTACCGAGTTTCATGAATAACATGGGGGAAGGAACACGCCTGGTTGGTTTCAGCTGAGGGACTTGGGCCATTGACGAGCAGGTTCCCGCTACTGTCTCGAAACCAGGACTCGAGAGCTTCAGCTTCAATATCTCACTGCCCTAAGCGACTAGTGCGATAGACCCCAGCCGCTCAGAAGGGGAGAGATCAATAGGAAATCAGCTGCGCCTTTAGCTGGCTGCTGCATAGATCGGGTTGGGAGCCCGCTTGAGGACTAGGGTGAGGGATCAATTGCTGAGGAGGGAGACGACTACCAAGCTGTAATCACATGATAACAGAGGTCAGGGTCATGTGTAGTCGGCAATAGCTGAATCGGTGATGCAAATTTTACCAGGTTCTTTCGAAAGCACATTATCGCTTCCACTGCCCTTCTGACTCAGCCCGCGCGTTTGCCTCACCCAGCCCGTCCCGAAGCTTTGAAACTGGGCCCACGAGTGCTCGATGCGTCAGGGTGCTCTATGAGCACCCTGCAAAGGCTGACGCTCTTGCGCTCACCCTGGGGAAGCTTCAGCAGCTGGAGGGTGCTGTTTAAAAAAAATTATTCGGTGGCTGGCGCTGATGATTCACAACTGGGTCCCCGAGTGCTCAATGCGTCAGGGTGCTCTATGAGCACCCTGCAAAGGCTGACGCTCTTGCGCTCGCCCTGGGGAAGCTTCGGCAGCTGGAGGGTGCTTTTAAGCACCAATCGAGTCAAATGGAGACACAGCAGTGCCCTGATAAGTGCAACATAGTGCTGGCGCAGGGCGAATCAGCCATGGAAAAGAGCAATCTCTACATTGACATCTTTAACCATGATAAGGAATGCCTCGGCTGTTCCGTGGGTCATCTCGTCCCATCGGAAGTCAGGGACCATGGATAAGTCAATATGCAGAAGGGAGCGGGTGACGGGCTGCACTTTTGCTTGCAGCTGCAGCTTGGGGAAGCTGTGCACCGAGCAATGCGCGAGCCTTCCAGCATTTGGAATACCAACTGCCCAGATTCCCCTGTAAATTCTCATCTCCCGGCCGCCGTGCATACGCCTGCGAGATCTTATGGTACAACTCTGAAAGTGTCTTCGCGGCCGATGAAGACACTTATCGAGCAAGTGTTTGGTGCCTGAACTCGATCCCTAGCGCAGCCTGTAGGCGTTGTGGGTTTGATTTTGATAAGAGTTACATGCGAGGAGCGAGGAGATGCACTTACCGGAAGCATACCGCCCATGCCGAACCGCTTGACTTGTTTGAACGAGAGTAATGTGTCTTGGGCGATGTTCTCGATAAGCGCATACATCACGCACTCAAGAAGATTCTCTGCGACGCGGCTTATTTGTGCATGGATCTCGACGAGGCCTTGTGCATAAGCGGCCGTACTTCTTTGGTGAATGTTAGAGCGGGGAGCAAAATGCAGAATGAGAGAAGCTCACCGGTAGGTTGCGGCGTCTCAATACCAACCCATGTTTTTGTCCAGATTTCCCTCTCGCAAGGTTATTGCGACAGCGGCAGCCTGAGAGCGCCTTGCCCAGCGCAGTCACTGCTTTCATTAGTGCCTACGCCATAACTTGAGCATGCAGGGCAGTGTAAGTAGGAGGACAAGAAGAAATACCTTTCTATTATCCTCAACTGATACCCCGAAATTAGATATCACGAGGAGCAGCCTCGTATTCTTAACGTATGACAGTATCAGGGCCAGAACTGTGGAGCAGAAAAAACTACCCACCGAGTCGCGCAGGTCGATCAGCTCCTCCTTCCCCAGGGGGTGCTTCCTCTGCGACAAGCACTACCAGCCCATCCAGAGCTGCATATATTGCATGCAAAAATGCCTTGATAATCTTCGCTGTGAAGGCTGGTGGCACAACGTTCTGTTGCGCTACCCGCAACCCGCCCGATCCACTGTCTGTCGAGATACCACCCGCGGTTTTGAATGCTGATGTTGCGAGGTGGCGCATGAACGATTTGAGATGAGCGAGGTAAAGCACTGGGGATGGGGTGGAGGGATTGGGCATGAATGCTTCGAGTGCGTACATGTAGTTGGTGTCTAGGATAGTTAGTCCATAGATGCACAGGGGAGGGTAGAACACTGTTAGTAGCGCATACCTCTCACTGCCACCGCACACTCTCCACTAGTCCTTTCACCAGACCGCCTTCTCCGAGTTAACCTCTGAGACACAATCTCGTACCTCAATAATGATCTTGACCAGCCAATGAGCGGTCGTTAGCAAGTTTGAATGAGGTGGGAAATGTTCGGGAGAGTTGGGGGTCGAGGAGTTTGATAAGGTGTCCGAAAGAATAAAGAATTCTGAGAGGAAACTGATGCAGAGCTTGATGATGTCAAGTGCCATTTGCCTGCATTGGGAGGCACTGCGCCTCGATGACAATGGCTAGGGGAAAGCGTGACCATTAGACCCGAGACCACTCAAATGACACGAACTCATTTGAATTTCCCCTCCCGGAAACTCCATGCGATTTTCCAGAAGTTGGGCAGGGAAGAGACCATAACCTTGGAGATGTTTTTCACCATGCCCCAGATAGCCAGCCACACTTCATGACCGCCTGCTAGCGCTGAGTATGAAAGGCATGAGCAATAAAGCTTGACAAAAGGGATATGACAGCGCACCAATTATGGCTTCCGACACTTTGCTCTCCAGCGCTACAATACATACCTGGAGTTGCGGACCAAGGATCTGTCTTAGTGCATTCAGAGACGACAGATCAGGTATCGTGCGAGACTTCGTGGCTGTGGTGCGGGTCAGAGGAACGCGCCATCGATGCTTGAAACACCAGTCCTACAGGCAGCGCTCATCCGGTCCATAAAGTGCTTGTGCTGGCTATCGAAGTAAGTCCATATCGGGTCTTCAGCCCCATTCAGCTCCAGGAGAATCCTAGTCAACGCTGGTCAAGAACAAGGCACAAGCAATAACGAGTAGACCTACTCAACCCCTCTCTCCATTTCCTCGACGCTCCTGCCCGGTTCTTGCAACCGTGCCAAAAGTAGTGCCTTCATATCTCCCATGAACTTCTCAACTTTAGACCCAGCATTCGCACCCGCTTCAACAGGGAGCGCTCAAAACACAGAGTGTAGTGCGCAACTTTTGGGCTTTAGCGCTGTTCTTGAGGACGGTGGGGAATACTTGACTAGCCTTCGCGGCTGATCCTTTTTCGGAGTGCATCAAAAACAGGATTGCCGCCTTGTCGCTCAGTAAACCCTCACACATCTCCGCATATGTAGAAGCTTTGATGGCAGCGACCCAATCAAATTTATCCTCCAAGAGGACAAAGACAGCCTCTGAACGGGCATCAATGGATGACTGGAGATGTTTAATGCCCGCTGTAAGATCTTGGTTGGTTGCATTTGGATGCACAGCAGATTGGGAGGGGATGAGCGCCGACATCTCTGGCAGCGTATGAGCGACCGAAATCCCAACTGATCTGCATCCAGACTCGTCAGACTACAAGCATTGTTAGCACCGAATGGCGGGCTCAATGATGGCACAACATCAGTAAACTACAACTTTCTCACAGAGGTCACACACTTGGGGTTTCATGACAGCAAGCCACAGGACTCCACAGTTCACGCAGGCTCACAGTTAATTAGCAATGCAGCACTTTCAGTCACTCACAGTTCAACAGGACTCACAAGCAACAATGTTCCTTATACTAAGTGTTGTATTTCAAATAGCGGCATAAATTACTATGGCAAAGTGGTGTGATATACAGTACAACTCAGCACTCAGTGCGCTCAGCGCTCAGCCTTGGCAACTCAAACCAACTCGAACAAAAGCACAATGAAAATTGATTGCATACTATGTAGTAGAAAATCTGCGACTCGAGGCAATCATACTAAGTCTCGCATACTACATATAAACTAGTAGTACTGCATAGATGAGGACAACATAACACAAAATGTCGATACATGACTCTAAATCAATCGAGAACTATTGTGCCTTGCCGTCCGTGCGAGCCTGGAATCCATGCCTGAAGCATTAGAATCAACAACATTGCAAGAGAACATGCACACGTACCACGCGAACTTGATTGACCTTGTCCTCATAATGGACGATTGGGAGGGACGTGGGACCAACTGTGATCTTTGAAGATGATTCTTATACATCCCAGCCTGATATCTGTCTCATCTATCTTCTTCTCGGCTGCTGCTGCACGAACTTTAAGCAGGCTCGCAAGCACCTCATTTTCCCGTATTACGCAATCTACAAGCGCCTTCTGAGCCAGGAAAACTTCACGCTTGGCTCTTACAAGATCAAGCACGAGGCTTGCTTCAGAGTCAGTTGATTCGTGTACTCTGGACTATTGAAAATAAGGTGTGATGAAGAATAGTAGAAATGATGCACGAGAAGGACTCACAATTGAATTGACGGCTTCAAGAACTTCATATAGGTCACCGATACCGTGAGGTGCTCCCCCATTGCATTCATCAATGGAGCGAGGATAGCAAGTAGAATCGTCAGAGCAGGAAGCAAGCGCTGACAGCGATTGTAGAGTAGCAATATCAAACTTAGGCGGTGAAGATATCATGAGAACAATGTTACATCGGAAAATGCCGAATTCAGATCAACTTGCTTTTTCTCAAGTCCATGAGATATGAATATTAGCGCGCCATGGCACCAGCCCATTGCCCATCGTGCGGAAAAGAATTCAAGGATCATACCTCTGTCGCTTGTCATATGAGCCAACCTTGGTCTGGATGCAATAACTGGCTAGACGATTTAATCCAACTTAACTCTACCTTGCCACTCACTGAATATGATCCCATGGTGGTGGACAATGTCAGCAACCCTGATGTTGATGCTCCCTACTCTTATGAACATGGAGAGGATGTCAGTTATTATGATTTTGGGAGTCAAAGAGAGGATTTGGACTCTGGAGGCAGAACTCGGAACGAGGACAGTGAGACCAAAGTAACCGATCACTTTCCGGAGCCCCCGCTAGCTTTTGAGGAGGGCTACACATTTTTGCACCTATTCGATGCCGACAAAAACAGCATCTACCGTAAAACAAATGTTTACTATCCGTTCAGTGGTCGAAGGGAATGGCAATTTGCCGCATGGATTCTGTGTTCCGGCTTGAGCATGGAGAAAATCAATTCTCTCCTAGCGCTAGAGATGGTTGGTGTTTGATTTAAATATCACCATGACGGCTTCGCTGAAATAGTACTTAGATTGATGATCTACCTTTATCCTTCCGCTCAGCAAGAGAGCTGCGAGGTCGAGCTGAATCGCTCCCTAGCGGTCCGCATTGGAAGTTGCAAGTTATTCAAACATCACATCCCACAAAGTCTCCGGCTGTTCTCTACTGGCGGGATCCACTTGAATGTATCGCTACTATATTCAATCATCCTTTATTTCACAATCACATCGACTATACGGCTCGCAAGGTATACAGTACAGCACAGAAACCCTCTCGGATATATACCGAATGGATGACAGGTGATCACGCCTGGGAGATGCAGGTGTGTAATATGGCGCTCTTGAAGTCATCGTCTCATCTATTCTTGAAGTCGGTGCTTCCCCGTGGCACAACTCTCCTTGGTACTATTCTATCCTCGGACAAGACATGCATTACTGCATTGTCAGGCAATCATGTTGCACATCCTGTCCTTATCAGCCTCGCCAATATCCACATGGCCACACGGCTCAAATCATCTTCCAATGCTTTTCTTCTCATTGCCCTACTACTGGTCACAAAATTCATTCACAAGAACAACCGAATGAAAGGCATGTTGCAGGATCGGCTCGTTCATCACTGCTTGAATGTTGTACTACAACCACTGAAGTTGGCTGCTCAAAACGGTGTTATGCTGTCAGATCCCATTGGTCGCAGTCATTACTGCTTTACTGCACTCGCTAGTTATATTGCCGACACCCCTGAAGCCATGATGCTGGCATGCGTCAGTGGAAAGACGTCCCCAGTGACCATGGCAATGTACAAACAATTCGGGGATGCCTTCCAACATGAACCCCGGACACGATCAACAACTCTCGAGCAACTAGAAATTGTACATTCGCGCGCTCATCCAGATGATCTCGAGGAATTCTTCCGTGAAGCGCAGAAGTTTTGCCTAAACGGTGTGGATAAACCATTCTGGCGGGACTGGCCACTAGCGGAACCCTCCCGATTTTTTACGCCCGAATCACTGCACCATATTCATAAGAAGTTCTGGGACCATGATGCGCAGTGGATTATCCGCACAGTGGGAGGGTCTGAGATAGATTTTCGATTTTTGATTATGCAGCCCACTACTGGTTATCGGCACTTTCATGCCGGTATCTCAAAACTCAAGCAGGTTACGGGTCGTTGCCACCGAGACATGCAACGATCAATCATCGCAGTCAGCGCAGATGCAGCACCTCCTGGTGTTGTTGTTGCTGTACATGTGCTCATGCACTTCAACTATCTTGTGCAATCACCGTGCATTGATGACAAGGATCTCAGTCGCATCACAGCTGCACTAGACGAGTTCCATGCAAACAAGCATGCAATCATCGCTGCTGGTGTCCGCCGGGGGAAAGGTGGTAAAGTCATTGACAACTGGCAGATTCCTAAACTCGAGCTCATGCAGAGTATTGTCCCCAGCATCCGCAACTCTGGCGTTATAGCACAGTGGTCTGCAGATGTCACCGAGCATGCGCACATCACCGAGGTCAAAGACCCTGCAAGATCCAGCAATAATCACAATTATGACCCACAAATCTGTCGTTATCTTGATCGCGCCGATAAGTGCAATCGATTTGACCTCGCTACTAGCCTTTTGGATCACTCAGAGGACCTGGGAGTTGTTGGGGAGGAAATTGCCGAGGAGGATGACGAGATTGCCGAGGAGGATGACGAGATTGACAATGATGCGAATGGCTTTCCTGCAGAGCTACTGTCCTCAAGTCGAAGACCCGATCAACCACGTCCTATAACAGATTACTTTTCGATTGCCAAAATACTCCAAGAGAGGAAAATCGGATCAGTACCCATCCCACTTCGTTCTTTTGTCGTTGGGCCCACTGCTCTTAATCTTGCTTACAATCCATCTATCAAGAATGCTACTGTCGATGAAATTGCCATTATGTTCAGCCTACCTGACTTGCGGCCAGCTATCGCCGATTTTCTTCACCGTGAGGCGACCTATGGCAATGGCATCCACTCAATAGGTGGTCCTAGAAGGGCTGCACATGACACTGAGCTTCCATTTGACAATGTTCAAGTGTGGTTTAAAATCCGTTTGCAGGAGACCGAGTTTCATGATCCCCGTAATATTCGACCCGCTCAAACACTTAATTGTGCACCACCTAGTGATCCTTGGACCTTAGGTCGTTATGATACGGTCATTATTCAGACCAGCTCAGGGCATTCCTGGCCTGCCAGTGGCCTTTCAGGTATGTTCTTTCTGTCTTTACTGGCGATATTCACTAAGCTAAATCCCCTGCAGGGCACTCCATCGCCCAAATCAGGCTCATCATTCGGCCTCTTGGCAGAAGCAGGACACAATGGGAATGGGACAATCAATACTTAACTTACGTCCAACGGTTTGACATCTCCAGTGAATGTGATCCAACCACTCAGTTGCATACACTGAAAAGAGCGAAGCGCTCTAATGGTACACGGATGGGTGACATCATTCCAGTCTCTCAGCTCAGAGCGCCTGTCCATCTCGTTCCACGTTTTGGTGCTACTGCAGACACGCGTCTCACGGCATATAATAGCATGGAGCATGCGACAGAGTTTTGGTTAAATTATTTTTGGGACAAACATTCCTTTTTTGCCTTATCCGAGTAGTACTTAGTGCACCAAGTTCATACTTGATAAGTACCATTTTTGTAGGCTAAAATCTACCCTTTGTGCTTGGGGATGCTGTTGTAGAATGTGATTTTTTTTTCTGATACACAGTCATGGCGCCTGCAGAACACAGCAAAACCGTAGACTTTGGGGTAAAGTTGGCATCGTTGCTGTCGGCTCCCCGCATCAGTGATGTGCCTACGCTGGACAAACTCACTGATCTCGAGCTCAATCAATTAATCGTAGAAGAAGAAGAACCAACCAATGGAGACCAGCCTCGGACTCTCAGTCATATGTTATCGCGGATTTTCAGGACATTCACCCTTGAAGTTCCAGATGTCACAGACCTCCAGGTGCCATTACATAAAATTCGTTATCGGGATACCAGACTACGCAATAAATTCGCTCACCTGGATGAACAGTCCATGGTTCCTTTGTATGACACAGAGACCTCTAGATGGAACTGGGCACTTCCAAAATGCCATCGTGAATCCAACATCATTCAGTTACCCGATATTGAAGAGGGTGGAGACGGAGAAGAGAATAGTGGGGCAAACGAGGAGTCTGGGAGTGGGGGTACTACTGGCGAGGACCCGTCAACTCAACTTGAAGAGCCCCCTTGGGAGGTCGGCACTTTTCCGTGAAGACTGAACAAAGACGTGGATGGATGGACGAGCAGACGAGCAGACGAGCGGATGAGCAGATGAGTGGACGTCCAGATCTTCGGATGTTCGGATGTCCGGACGAACCGTGGGAATCCGGACATTGTACCAATGAGTCAGGGGAAGCAGGGCGGATCCTGCTGAGGTGTACGTTCGATGGAAACTGGGATGCAGGGCTATCCTGCTGAGGGGTAGGGAAAGGGGAAAGGTATGAGCTTAGCTAACTCTCGGAAGTCCGGATATTGTGATCAGGGGCGATGGGGTATGATTGGGTAACTGATTCAGGGGGCTCCGTGTCCGGTATATGACAACATCTTATCCTGTCTCGTCTTCGGTAATCTTGATTGTATCGGGTACAATCCTACAATCAGTATATTCACAAGACGCTTCGTCCTGTTCAGCTCGAAATTCCGAATCTTCGCCCTTCTACTTCTACGCAGAAACGACTCCCACAAGCCGAAGTGCACGGTTCCGCAGAAGGTCCAATCGAAGACAAGACGATCATCGACGCACCCGAGTCTGACTTAGAGATGGACGTAGACGTGGAGATGAGCTCAGACTCAGAGGAGATCCTCCCCCCAGACCCCCCTCAGCTAGAAATACCCCAAGATCCTCTTCGCGCATCTTTTTCAGACCCGATTGGCAGGATCAGGGTGAAAAACCACACATACGATATCCTCGAAGTCATATTCTCCAGTCAGGGGCTTGTTGGGCGTGGCACCGTCTGCTATTTAGCCAGGAGGGACGATGAAGAATATATCATCAAGGATTATTGGGTCCTTGGGGGCAAAGATGATGCGTTGAACGAGGTTGAGATGCTGCGGGAGATGCAAGGGGTCCGTGGTGTGCCAAAACTAGTCGAATATTGGCTTGTTAAGATCGCGCCCAATGAGGTCGATGAAACAATGAATTATTGATACAAGGTTTGGGGAAGTATCAAAGGCACTTCTCGCACGCATGTTCGTTTGGTTTTGAAGCCTCGCGCGCGACCTTTGCATGCATTCCAGACAAAATTAGAGTTGGTGAGTGCTCTTCAGGACATTGTCAGGGGTGAGTATTCATTTATATCTGGTCCGTCTTGTCGAGTTCACTGACATGTTTCTCAGTTCAACAGATAGCGGTCGAGGATTGTGGAGTTCTTCATCGTGACTGCAGTCTTAACAACTCTATGATCGAGGATGATGGCAACAGGACCAATGGACTCTTGATCGATTGGGAATTCGCTGTTCATATCACTGCGGGTCAAAAATACACTATTGGTGGGACGGTCAGTACCAATTTACTTCTACAAGACTCAATGTGCTCACAGAAAAAAATAGGGCACAATACCTTTTATGTCACATTCACTTCTGTGGCAGCTCTCAGAGGCTGTTGGTGATCTTCCAACATCTGCTCGCAGCTGGAAGGTAAAGGTTGCCTCGCCTTCCCTCTCAAAACCGCCCCCCCTTATCCTACACCACTACCAAGATGATCTCGAATCACTTTTTTACGTCTTCGTGTGCATCTGCATTGAATACAGGGGTCCCCTTGGAGTTAAATGTGATCTATCGGTCAATAGGAAACAGGAGTGGTTGCCACATCTATGGTCCACCAACACGCTCAAAGCAGGCAGTAATGCGAAAACTTCGTTTTTTTTCCACCCCAACGCAGACAAACTCAAGAAACAATTTCACCCGTACTTCAAGGAGCTACTCCAACTTGCGATGCAGTGATATGACTTGATCAGGAACAAGGGACCATCGGGTGTAGTAACTTTCCAGGAGGTCCTCGATCTGTTGGAAACATATCTCGCTGAGCTTCCGAAGGATGAGCCTTCCCCCGAGCTTCTGTTTGCAAAGAAGGTTATTGTGGCACTTCCGAAAAAGAGATCTGTGAGTGAGGCTGAGGGTGATGATCGGGATGATCATCTAAACAAACCGCCAATTACAGAACGTAATATAACTCACAGTCGCTGGACGATGGAGCCAATACCCCAGCCCAAGCGGAGCAGAACAACCTAATTTACGTATACCACAGAATTTTCTCATACCATGTAAACGTAAGCAGGGCATAGCTAGTTCCCACACAAGGTTCAAGTCAAGATGTGTACCATACATACGCGATGGGATATATATTCCATGAGTTTGACGAAAGGAGGTATCACACGTTTGCTCTCAGCCTACTGATTCTGACTCATTGAGTCACCCCCACTCACGACCTGGAGCTGCGCTGTATTACATTTGGCTCGCTTCAAGATGCTATGGTATTTTTTAAGCGTTTTTGAAGGTGCGATGGCGGCTTAGATTTAAAAGTGAGTGTTAGTAAATTGTTGGTGTGGTGGCTCATTTTCCCTCCTTCCCTTGTCATGCCTGGAAGCCCTAAGAAAAAGAGATCGAAGCGCAAAGTGTCGGACTCTGATCCCAAGGTGCCGGAAGGGAAGGCAGCTCTGGCAAAGAGAGCGCGTGCTCAGTCTCAGTCAATGATCGATGATGCCAATGACTCACAGCTTCCTCGACGAACAGAACATCGAGGTGCAGGGACAGGAGGTAGGGGCGCTCAACTGGAGAAAATAGGCGATATTTTGCATGCTCCAACGCGGACCAGCAAATCCAAGGGTGCCACCTCCCTTGATCCGGATGCTCCTGCAAACCCTCTCGCTCCAGAACCACCTCGCAAGGGCTGCGGGAGTCGTCCCAAGGTATATTTTCTCTTATTTGTATTGAACAATACTAACGAGACATGCAGAAGAGACAGCCCCCTCCACTGTATAGCCCTTCAGAAGAACCGAGAACCATGACTTCCAAATCACGCTCAAAGAAAAACAAGGTGAGTTTTTAACGCGCGAATGATCATGTATTAATTTATATGCAGACTCCTGTCGTTTCTGCCCCAACTTTCGAGTTATCAAACCCTCCACCCACTTTTGCACTACGGGAAACTGGCGGACGGTATGGATTTTCGCCACCGATTGTCCCCCCCAGCACGGAAGGGCGTCATAGTACACACCCTGGTAAGTCATTGCCTATTTCCATTCAGGTTGAGCTGAAAAGTCACAGGTTTTTTGAGAGAAGCGCTACCACCCCAACCTCAGGCGGTAACCGCTCTCCCAACAGATTTTGAATTCCAGTATTCTCACGACGAAGGTGACCAAGTTGTTGAGAACACTTTGGCGGTTGGTGGTGACGTGAGTGACGATGGTACGACAATGGATCAAGAGAGTGACTCCCAGGTATAATCCCACTAATTTGTTGGAGTACACTAATTTCTTGTTCAAGCCAAATGACGTCTTGAAGCTTCACCACGAGAGAAATGGCCATCCCCGACTTCCCGATCCTGCTCTCCTGGAGCTTCTCCGTGCTGCTGAGGTAGATCCCTCCAACTCAAAGGTGAAACGGAAATCGAAGGTGGTCGGTGGATCCAAATCCAACGATGAAGGGCCCAAGGCCACCCAACTGGGTTGGTATAGTTCACACTGGAAGAGTTTTCTCGAGGACGCAAAGGTGGAGTGTCGTACCCAGCAGGCATTGGAGAACCCTTTTCCGAGCCTTGTTCAAGATCTGCCGGTCTCAATCACAGAGTCGCTCTCAGCCTCTCTCGTGCAATGGCTTAAAAATGGTCAACATGTTGATGCTGGTAAGCTACTATCTCCCTCGAGATATTCTACTGACTCGAGGTGTCTACCAGGTGTGTGGCCTGCACATAAGCCTGACATGGCGAGGCTGGTGTGTATGTCTATTTTGTGGTGCGCCTCATGTCTTATTTTTTTTCTAGCTGTATGACGACTTAGCAACCTGGCGTTCTGATCTAAAGAAAATCACCATCTCCATCGCACCTTCCGCATATGGTCTTTCCCCGCCAGATAACATTCCCATTCAAGAGCACGCAGCTTGGATTCAAGCTGCCACTACAGAATTACTGAAGGACGGTGGATTTCTGCGCTATGGAGTAGATGAATTGGGGAAAACTAGGAATTTTGCGCACCCTGCGTTTTTTCAGGCCATCATCCTATTTTTTTACACTGGATCTTACCGCATTGCTCATAGGCGACCAGCCATTTTTCGGAAGGAGGTACCGTTAACATGCTTAGCTCTTGTTTGCACAGTGGTACGTCCTCAATATTGACGTGTCAATGTTCTGACACATTATTTCAGTTTAATTGTGTCTTCCAGGGCCTCGAGAAAAATGGTCATGGCAAGTCTTATTCGAAGTTCACTTCCAAGGAGTATGAGTCCATTTATATTTGGCTGCTTGGGCTACTCAATGATGTCATGAAAGACCCATATCACGGTCCGAAGCTGGTGCGGCAGCTTCGTGAATGGGCCAAGATTGGATGGTAAGGAGTATTTTTGCATCACGTTTGGTGCTAACGAATTTATTTAGGGCGGAGGCATCCAAACTCGATGGCATTGACACGTCGAAACATCGCCACCTGCGCGTCCAGCTTGATTGAGTCCCCCGGCGGCATTTTTTGTAGTCATCACATTCTCGCATACTTGTTTGTCTCTTGTTGCTCGTCGTTTGCTAGTATTGTTTCCCACTGATTGAATATATCGTCATTTGTTTGCTACTGTACCCGACTCGAGTAAGCCACCTTCTGAGTAGTTTGTGAGTACCTGGGCAAACATGGACAGATCTGTACAGATCTGTACAGAGAGACAGAGAAAATAATGATATTGAAGACCTGTTTGGTCCTCACTGGGCGGGTCTGTGGGTGTCTGTGCAGAGATTGACAGAGAAAGTTCTACTGTAGCAAACTAGCTAGTAGGGACCAAGCTGTACATATGGCGCGCTGTCCAGATCTGTACAGATCTGTACAGAGCGCGGTAATTTACTGATGAATGACGCCGCCAAGGCCCAGGAGGTCACCATCGTTGGATTGGGAGGTGAGGAGGTCGGAAAGATATCCTCCAGGTTGTGATCTATCTCCTCCCATTTCCTATGCAACAGTCAACAGTACACTTAGACAGTGGATTCTCCCGTTATGTCGGGTTCTGGGATGATAATCTATGGGCCTTGAGGATAGAGGCTTCGTCGGCCGTGATGTTAATCCTACCCATCAGAAAAGGTGGAAATGCTTTCAAGTTGTTTCGGAAACCCCACTGTGAATTGTCCCCAGGTAGCACCAGTTAAATATCTGGGAGATCAGTGAAGTAAGCAGCACTGGTAGTACTACAGTTGCGGACAAGCAAAGTCACCAATTTTGGTGACCAAATTTTCTTGACTTTAACACCTGATCTAATTCATTTTAAACATTGTAGATATGTTTACAACACATGCTAGTGTAGATTTGTATGAGCAGAATTTGTACAACTGTCAATTTGACCCGAGCCACACCCGAAAAATTGGCGGTACCCCAAAAAAATCACTAAAAATCCGAAAAAATGTGGAATCAACTCCTTTCGCTGACTTGAATGTGATTCCGGTTTCAGAAAAAAGTTAGATCCAATATTTCGAGAGGAAAAAAGATGCATTGCAGACCACTTGAACCTGCAACTGCTCTCGGACATGCCCCGAGGCCGTCCAAAAAAGAGGCAAAGAAACATCTCTGGCCTCCATGGACAGCAACAAACACCTTCTCTTGTCTCCGAAGCCTCGTTTACCACTAGTGGTGGATTGTCTCCTGCAAATAGCCCATGTCAGTCCAAGTCAGAATCAGCCGAGCTTGAAGGCACTACCCATGAATTTGATGGACTGAAGATTAATTTCGAACAAAATTATTGTGATGATTCAGATGGCTCTGATATTGATGAGGAGCTCGAGTGCGAGATGTTCGAAGACGAAGAATTTGGTTGCAGGCTTGCAGAGATGGTCCAGAAGGAAGATGCCAAGCATGTGGACTGGATTCCCGAACGACTGACAAGGAAAGCACTCAAACGTGCAGCGAATCGTAAATGTGAGTGCTGTTTCATCAAAATCATGGACACCGACGTACAATTTTTGTGTAGCTCGTCCGACGAAATATAAAACAGGCCCTGATGTAATGAGCAAATCAGTGCGTACTCAACAACAATACCGAGCCAAATGCCGTGGACAAAGTGCACTGGACACTTACGGGTTCAAAAAAGTGATTGCCTCTGCTCAAAAGAAGGCTCCCCTACCTCGCAACTTGGAACTCACAACACCATTGGAATCAAATCAGCCACATATATCTACGATTCCCCGTGTTCGCAGCTCGTCCATCCTTACTGTATCTTCTGACTCAGACCAAACCTCCACCTCCCAAAATACCACAATGGATGATGAAGGCACACCTGGTGTGCGAGACACATGTACTGCCGGGACCGAAGAAGACTTGGATTCAATGGATGAGTGTGAAGCTGAAGAGTGGGAAGAAGAGCTGGATGCGGCCATTAGTGGGCACAACGAATTCCGAGACTGGAAAACACTTCGAGATCAAATCAAAGCCGACTTGAAGAAGAACCACAAATCATTACCCCTTTCTGCCATTAATCAGCTCATGATCCTGTCCAATTTCGCAACACTGCGACTAAAGGGTGCTTCTCGGATTGGTGCCAGCGTGGAAATTGCACGGCAGTGGCACGAGGGAAATGGAATCTGGTTTTCTTGTCGTGTTCGTGCCCTTGCACGTCATTACCAGACATTCGAGCAACTTCCGCGAGAGAAACGTGGTGGGATCACTAATGCCCAATCATTCCTCCATGATGAGTCTGTGCAGACTCGCTGTCGCACATGGTTGTCAAATGTGCCAACCGGTAAAGTCACACCTCGTGGCCTTCAAGATGCACTCCAAACAATTATTTTCCCTGAGCTGGGAATTGTCCCAAAGAAACCAATATGCGAGCGAACTGCCCGTCGCTGGCTCATCAAACTCGGGTGGCGACGAACTATTGTTCGAAATGGAGTTTACATGGATGGGCATGAGCGAGAAGATGTTGTCAAGTATCGGAAAGAGGTTTACTTGCCTGCAATGTTGAAATTTGAGGAACAAATGGTTCGATTTGAAGGACCGGAGCTCACTTGCATCGAGCCAACTCTTAAACCAGGTGAAAGACAGATCAAACCATATTATCACGACGAGTGTTGCTTCCACGCGAACGATGATGCAAAAAGTGCATGGTGCGTGATACCCATGCCACAACGAAACTTTAGTTTGACATTGCATTGCAGGCTTCGCCCTGGAGAGCACATGTTGCGGAAGAAAGGTCGAGGTCGACTCATACATGTCTCGGACTTCATTAATGAAGAGGATGGCCGACTCGTTTCACGGGGAACTGATGGTCACATTATCAAAGATGCACGAAGAATCATTTACCCAGGTGCTAATGGTGATTCATGGTGGACTCATGAGAACCTCCTCGAGCAAGTCAAACACGCAATTCAAATTCATGAAGAAGTAAACAGGCCTGATTGTCAGGCACTGTTCATCTTCGATAACTCGTCGGCTCATGCATCCTTGCCCCCGGATGCTTTGCATGCATTCGACATGAACAAGTCCAACGGCGGAAAGCAGCGCAAGCAACGCGACACCATCATTCCTCATACCAACGTGGATCCAACGAAATGTGGACTCGAGCAGAAACTGACAAATGCCAGTGGTGGGCCAAAAGGGCTCAAATCGGTTCTTGAGGAGCGTGGTTTCGATGTTCGAGGTTTACGAGCTAAATGCTCTCCAGTCTGTCCCTTCGAGAGCACGGGCTGTTGCATGGCCAGGCTTTTGAGCCAACAAGACGATTTCCGCTGTCAGACGTCGATGATCAAGGAGCTCATCAGAGATGCTGGACATGAGTGTATATTCCTTCCAAAATTTCATTGTGAGCTTAACCCTATTGAAATGGTGAGTTTTTCGTCTGTCAAGTTGACATTTACTCACTGAATATTATGTCTTGAGTACTGGGGTTGGTGCAAGTACAGGTACAGACAAATCACGAAGCTGAATTTTGCTGGAGCAAAGAAGGCAGCATTGGATGTTCTTGATGCGTGCCCTGTGGAGGTTATCCGACGTTTCATCAACCGCTCGTACCGTTTTCTGAGTGCGTACAGATTAGGCTTAGCTGGGAAGGCAGCAGAATGGGCAGTGCGGAAGCAGAAACAACACCGGCAAGTTTCGCAGCATGCGATGATGGCTATTGAGGCTGTACTGTCGTGATAGATTAATCTCAACCTCGAAAGAGGTACACAATATTTCATCCAAACTAGGGTTCGGGATAAAAGTATTTTGGCAATTATTAGCAAGCTTTTTAGCCAGGTAGGTCTGGGGGAGTTATTAACTAGCGGTTTATTAGCTGCTTTTTAGCCAATCACGTGATGTTGATTTTTAGCAGGCGAAAAACTCGCTAATAATCCTAGCTAATTAGCCAACACAAAAAACACTCATTCCCATACCTCTGGCCACTCGTCATCGCTTCCATTGATATCCTCAGCCTCAGCCTTGCCCTTGCCCTTCCCTGTGCTGTCCACATTAGGTCGCGATTCTGCCAACACTGCCAACAAACCATCCGCACTCAAATCTACCTCAGATTCAACGTCGAAGTCGGCGTTTGTCGCCATAGCTGCCGCAGAACTTGTTTGCACATGATCCAACCACGTACTGGACTCGTCGTCTTCAATTTCTTCACCTCCTTCAATACTTTCGGTTGATAGCAAGCTGTTCTTCGCATCATGATGCCGTTTACCCTCTTTTGCTTCGGATCCAAATATCTCGGTGTCAAGGTCGTAAAAATTGACAGTTGGGTGTTCGGGATGTTTGGACTACGCTCGTGTAAGCAATGAACTGAAAAATTTCGGTGGCCACTTACAGCAGAATCATACATGTACCATTGCCGGACCTGTGTCATGTCCACGAGGGTGCGAACGTCTTGACGATTTCGCAGTGCAGAATTCATCCGTGTAAATACAGACATTGTATGCTCTTCTGGCATCGAGCTTGGTCGAACGGAAAATATCTTGATGGTGAGGGTCTTTACTTATGGAGTGAGTGAACCAGGGTCAATTATATGAGCTACGAACTGACAGCAAGTATATTTCCCTCCGGAATTCTCAATATGTGCATCCACCATGATAGTGTTGATTGACCATCTTCGAGTGGAGTATCGAATGGATATTGACCACGTGTGTAACGTTCGAATTGACGAAGAAATGATTGCTGAGCCTCCCGACCAGTTAGTTTGTTGAGAATCATGTTCTCTCTCGTCTTCCACTCCACCTCAAGAAGAGCTTTCAAGAACACGAGCACACGAGCAAAGATAGTGTAGTTTTGGATGGGAGGACCAGAAGAGTCGGACGACAAGGCCTTCACACTTTGTGCAGGAAGCACAATCGTAAGAGCGAGAGGGTTCAAGTTCTTTTGGAATATTTTGCTGTTGACATAACCTGCAATGCAATAGCTATTGGTCACGTCAGAAGACTGTATTGTTATGCTTACGGGGATGCAAATAGAGAGCAGAGATGGGTGCATCAGTTGGACCCTCAGACAAGGCTTCGCGAAATCGAGAGTTGAAGATCGCACGAATCTGGCCAGCTTCTTCCAGTGAAAATGGGTTGTTGTTGTCGTCGAAGATTTGTTTTAGCGTTGCGCCAATTGCGAAATAATACAAGCCGATGTCCGACAAATCAGTCCGCGATGACTCAAGACAAGCGATTGACTTTGCGATTGGTGCGAGGATGAGTGTGAAGCGAGTGATTTGAGACTCGAAATCCAAGGAACGAGAGGAGCTGCTCATGAGAAGGCCAGTGAGCCCCGACTTGTGAGATGGGAACTTCACTTGATGAGTGTCGACGATCTGGTGGAGTGCGGGGAAACAACGCTTGAGTGACAGTGCCGAAATGCAAACAGTTGCGAAGCGAGTCTTCCCTATGCCTTCGAGACCACGGTTGATATTCATTGACTTGCGAGCTTTGTTAAGAGCATCAGTAGCTGTGTGCGATTTTCGAAAGTAGGTGATTATTGATCGAAGATGTTTGATCATCTGTTGGTCAAAGTATTAATTCAAGTTGCGAGTGACAAGGCTGGACACTCACAGTTGAAAACATGCTTAGTTGTGTAATGTCCTTACACAGAAGATTAAGATGGTGGCAGATATCGGGAACTTGGATAAGAGTTTTGATTTCGGCACATAAAATCTGGCGGGCAACCCGAGTATTTCCTGTATTGTCAGATGTGACACCTGCAAAATGATTCTGTCCAACGAGATTGATCGCTTTTAGGACCATCTGAGCAATGAACTCGCCAGTGTGCGACTCATCAGAGCACTCCTCGCCTCGAATTAGGAAGCTCCGTCCATCTGGTGTTGTGAAGTGAATGGTGTATACTGCCTGCTGACATTTTGTCCCTCCTCCGTCAAATGAGACCGTCAGGTTAAAGTTCAACTTGAGAAACTCGATGACTAGCTCTCGCACTCGTGCAGCCTCCTTCGGGATATGACTGTCGGCAATGGTCGAACACGATGCTGGATGATAAGCAGGATTGGCAATCATGAGCATATCCTTCCATTCCTGATAATCTGCGATGTGTGGTGGTAGAGCTGCGGCACAGAAAAGTTTGACAATGGCAAGGTTCATGCGAAGAGTGAGGATTTTCCAACCTTCGTTCTTGAAGTCTAGTTCGATCCGCGTAGTAGTCTTCTTCGGCACGATTCGATCATCTACCTCCACAGGAGAGTTGGGCAAGGGGGCCTGCAGCTGCAACTTGCTTGCCTTTAAGGCAGTTTCGAGCTTCGCACTGGCACTGTTGCCACCCAAATATTGACTTGCAGCCTGGCGAAATTTATCCTCCACTTTACCGCAAGCAGCAGTGTGCTTGAGACAATGGGCAAGGTTTTGTGGATAACCAAGACTATAATCACAGCCTTTGCCTAGACACCGAAACCGCTGGTCCTTCGCACCGAGTTTTTTCGGATCAGGGTGGTACACCTCAAATACGTCATCAAGGACACTCGTGCGAGGCCGCCCCATCGATCGGCCCATCTTGACCTTCTTTGCCAGTGGGATAGCCTTCGAGTTCACCTCGTACAGCAAATCATCATTTGAGCTGGTGGAGGCTACCTGTCAAATCAACCGAGGCCGTTAGCTGCTTACTATCATCACAAAGTTACATTTGAACCTTACCGTAACAAGCCGGCGCTTTTTTGACCCCATACGAGCATGAATGGGCTGCTTTTTTGGTGCAGCGGGAGTTGGACCTGCCTTCTGTAGGATCTCGCTGATGGTTCGTCCCATGATGCTGTCATTATCACTGATGTCAAAGTCGGATGAAGGCTGGGGTAAGAAAATGTCGTCGGAGTCCTGGGGTAAGAAGATGTCGTCAGAGTCCTGGGGAAAGAAGGTGTCGTCGGAGTCCTGGGGAACGAAGATGTCGTTAGACTCGGAGTCTGTTGCATGAGATGGGGGCTGGGGTAAGAAGACTTCTCCAGATTTGATCTGCTGTTCGTAGCATTAGTAAATAATCACAGACGACAAAAAAATGATTCTCACAGATAATGTGCGAAGGTGGGTATCAATGATGGCCACACCAAACTGCATCCGAGCTCCATCGAGTGCATTGCAATCAGGCGAGAGGAGAGGATAAGTTTCTGGAAGAAAGTGATGGGCAATTGCATTGACGGCGAGTATGCCACACGAATATTGATCTTGTTGGTGAGTGCAGGCGAGAGGTTGCCAGACAAACAAAACAGGTGTGTGCAATGCGAGCCACCACTCGACTGCATGACAGATTGAATCTGGTGCTTCATGGCATCCAAACGAGTCTCCAAAGTAAATTGTGTGGCGTGAACCGTCGATGACGAGAGATAACCAATGGTTGGAGTGGACGAAGCAAGTCATTCCAACAGTCTTCGTGCCATCGGCAATGTCCTGCCCAATCTCGCGAAGTTGTGAACAATCATCTGCACGAAAATAATCTTTCTGATGGCATGACTCGAACATAGTTTTGAGTTTATTGACAAAGTAGGTTTGAAGGATGTCACAAAACGGGGCAAGGATGAGGCTACTTTTGATCTGCCGAAGAATGAGTTCGAGAGCAAAGTTGATGTTGTTGTCGCAAAGCCAGCTTCGCGAGGCAAATTGTGCGAGCTTGCTTATAGGCGAGTAATCCATGAAGCCGGAAACATTACCCTCCCAAGGAAGCATTGACAAACATGCCCGGAAGTCAGATGCCACTGACAAACTGGGCTCCGGGCCATGCAAGTGTTGCTCTACAAAACAACATGCTGCCTGCCATTTCATTAACGGAGGGATAATATCTTTGGTGACACGATCCCAAAATGCAATTAGCCAGAAGGGGTATCTATACATCGAGTTGGTGTGAGCGTACACGATAGAGCGGTTCCCAGCGCCCCAAGCCTCTGGCGCCATGCGAACGAGTGCCGTAATGATGGCCTCAATTGGGATCGGCAGCGAAGATAGGAGAGCGTGATCAATTGGGCTGGAGTGTGGGGGTTCCAAGCAGAAATATTGGTGAATACTTGGCAAAGCAGCCTGATGGGTGGAAGTGACGGATGGAATGGCAAACTTGATGAATGCGGAGATGGGAAGGTCTGAGGCGGGAAAAAGAGTTACGGCCAGATATTCTGGAATGGAGTACATCTGCATGAATCCAACATCAGTGTGACCGTGATGCTCGGCGTCGTCGTGAACCTTGATGGTATTCATAAGGGTGATCCTTTGGTGTGGGTGTGGTTGGTTGAAATGATTCGCAACGTTGAATGGCACGCACGGCGTGGCTCGTACCGGAAAATTTTAAAACCATTATCTATGGTAACTAGTCAATCATCTGTCAGTAGTAGAAGTTAGCCAGTCGACTCAGAATACTATTCCTGACCTGATCGCTCGATATCTGAGGCACAGCCAGCTGTAGGGAGTTATTAGCATTATTAGCCTTGTGATTTTTGCGACGAGTTATTAGCGTGTTAATAGCTAGTTATTAACATGCTAATTAGCATGCGGCTAATAAGCAGCGAGTTTTCTCCCGAACCCTAATCCAAACTGCCCAAAATTTTGGCGGGCCAAAAACATCGTGGGAAAAGCTTCGGAAGAGTGTTTTTCGACGTATTTTTGCTCCCTGAGTTCAGATCTGGCACTGGTTTCGCACCAAAAATTCATCGAAAGCCGCTATTAAAATTGTTGACCTTGCTTGTCCGCAACTGTAAACGGTTAGTGTGACAGACTGGCGGCCCTAGTACAGGTACTAAGTTGCACGTGACTCATAACACGCCGGCAGAGTCGGGCACTGCCAGAGTCCAGACACAGATACAGCTCCGCAACTTCGTGCGACTCCGTGAATGTTACTGCATGGAACCCCCAGATCCAGTACCGTCCGGTGGTGGTGAGCCTGACGATGGCTTCATCAGGAAACCAATGCAAAAATGATAAGATTTGAGAAAGCTTTATCTGAAGTACAATTCGTGTAATATGTGTCATAATTGTACTTCACTCGAGAATGCTTTGAATACCTGGACTATGTCGGATAGAACTCGCCAAATACGCATTTGCGACAGTTTTGTTACAGTTATCTACCAGCTCATCATCAAGACGGCACATATTGTATTGCCCACCAGCGCGACAAAGGAATGCTATGTTGTTAGAATACCCCACAATCACCTAGTTGAGTATTACTTGTAATACGCTACAACATTGTCCTGCACTGGTCATGGCGTGTAATTTTCTGCAGTTTTTTCTTTTTTCACAATCTCTAGAAGAATGCTAATGTCAGATAAAGCTATATATGGCTGGACTACGTGGGATCAAAGTCGCCAAGGGTCCAAGGGTGTAGAGCCACTACCATGTTGTCTCAATACGGCTTTCGCATACAGGCTGTGGTTCTTATTACAATCTCAACAAAAACTCATTATAACCATACCGATTCCACCATATGAGTAACTCAGAAACTTCTTTTCGATTCGTCCAGGTCCTCGAAAAGGTCAAGCAGGCTGTGATAGAACGTTTCCGAGTCTGTAGATGTATCTGTTCGTGAAAACACGGAGGATGAGCTTAGGGCAAACCGGACCTTCAGGTGTTTGTACATTAAAATCATCGAGCTACAAAAATATGATGTTACAAACCTGAGTAGCAATATAGGCGATGGAGGCGGTGGTAACGCAGTTCATGCCATGGAGGCGAGCGTTTCCGGATCGCGTGGCTTTTGGATCTTTATCGACCGAGCTTGGGGATGTGAAGACATGTTTGTAAGCCTAACAATATTATAGTGAAGGACTGCATGAAATTGTGTGTTCGCTCACACACGTCAATAAGCGACTCCTGAGGAGACCGCACCATGGGTCTTCAGCGTCATAGATATGGTTGTAATACAAAAAAACAGGCCATTGGTCTCCGCAGACCGAGATTTCGCCACTGTGGAGGTTCTCTCTCGTCCTGTTTCGAGTTGTCAGTACTGCAGACACCAGAAAATGAAAGCATACTCTGAGTCGTGCCAGTCCAACCCGGCAGGGCAAAGAAGTGACCCAGTAAGTTCGTGATTGAATCCACGATCGATCTTTGAGTTCCTATGTAAAGGAGGTTGGATTGCGGCTCCTTTAAGGGAAATCCAGTCGAGTATTGCAGACTTCAATGATTTTGTGTCATCACCTCTCGCGCCTGATGCTCCCTTGCCGATCTTAAAGATTATAAGTATGGACTTCGGCAGTATAGAAAGAAAAAAAAACGCACTAGCTCTCCAACGTGCAGAATCTCCTCTTTGGACCCATTCCTAAGTCGCTCTAATAGGCCAGGATAAGAATCTAAGAGTTGTTCGAAGACGCGATGCTCCCGTCGTTCTCTGCCAAACGAGTCAGTCCATAAGCTAGCAGATAAAGATGATGTCTTTTCACTCAGCTGGGAAGTCTTCCAGAGGAGTTTCCTCCATTTGTTCCAATCTGAGAATACCATTGGTAAGTAGAGAGGGATAATTGCACAGCGTGAACACCGTTCGACCAAAGTGACGCCCGTGCGATATAAGAGGATCTGACGAAGAGCTAGGCGATATGATGAGTTTGCAAAACCTTTCTCTAACATTAGGGACAACTCACACTTTTTGCGGGGCCCCATTTGGAGGGCTGACGTAGCGCGTTTGCTTGGGATGCTGGAAGTGTTATCTTCCGTGGCCATGAGAGCTGGCGAGGAGCAAATGATAGCTTGGGCCTTCACAGAAGATGGAACTCGGCTTTTATCTCCAGGACTGAGTTGCGTGGGATTTCAGGAAAAGGGCGTACCTGATGGCGTGGGCAGGGCTAACCACTAGCCGTGGCGCTGGCCGCCAGCCAGGGGGCCCAGTGACAAATAGCCCACCGGGACCGAACGACCTTTCATCAAATCGATGGTAATAAAATGCACGCCTTACAAAGTGTCAGTAAATTAATGTACATGATAAAAGCTCGCTTGACGTCACATTTACTTGCAAATCGCAACTAGAGAATACGGCCGCTCTTGAAGATGCAACAATCCTTTCGTCAGACTCAGACTATAAATCTGTCTGGAAATATCATTAGTCTGAATCTCCAGTAAGTGCCATTGAACCAACCTGCGGCAGGACTTGCTAACTCTGTTTCTTAGGATCGAAATAGCAGGCAATGGAAATCAAAGGAGCGAGCATGAGGGGCTTGCTGGTGCAGGGTGCGTTGATACGATCATCCTCGATTCTCGAAGCTCATCATACAGCAGAAAAGTGTATGTCGAGAAGGGCTTAGCCTCAGCGGAGAACGAAGAGGCTTTTCATCTGCCGAAACACAATCACGGGGGGCATGAGGAAGAGTCCATAGCCAAGCTGAAGGAACGGCTGCGACTTACAGAGTTGGGCTGCTCGAGACTTCAAGCGCAGTACCAAATGTACAGATTGCGTTGGCTAGAGGAATATTATCGAGCAAGAATTTTAGAAGAATATGTACCGACTGGAATCGACACATGCTCTCCTCATCAGATTGAGTGGGACGCCCCTTCTCCCATTCAAAGTATGTCAGACGCAGCATCTCCTCGAGTAAACTGACTGGCTCGATTAGGTGATGACGAGTTTGAAGATATAACAGGAGAAAACATACCGTAGCATTACCATGAAAACCATCGTCGCGGCGCAGAGAATGTTGGTGACACCATCTTCACGAGGTAATGTCCTTGCCGGAGTGATGCAGAATTACGAATGTAAACAATAAACATCTGCATTGAGTAAATGAAGAGGACACCCGTGGCGAGCATAGAGATACAGTACAACCGTGATTACCTGAATGACTCATGAGTAGGTAGTTCATCATCCATAAAAAGAGGAAAATAGGAGGGGTAGTTAATGAACGCGGCATTTCCCAGCCAAATGAATTCAGACGCAATCTGGATACTGGACCAAGTGCTCGTGAGGCACGTACATGTACATTTGTTCAACTTGAGGTACGTTCCACTCTGTATCTGCAGCTGTACCTGTTCCGGAGAATATCTTCCAGAATACCCAGACAACGAAAATTCACTGGGGCCGCACCCTAGCCGGCCCTGGGCCATAACTAGCAAGCACCAAAACAAGTAATGAAGACACTACAACGCCGAGCGTAACAAGGGATGAAACCATTAAAGGTGCAGATGGCTTGAAGTCGGTGGCGACACCTGAGAGAAAACCGAGGATAGCACCCGCCACACTGCCGGTAATTATATGAGAGAACGCAAGCAATTAAAATCAGAGTTTGCCTACCTCAGCACACAAAAAGAAGTCGGTATGCTAGTAATGACGATAAACATTTTCGTCTTTTGTCGCAGGTAATATGACTGTAAGGTTAGCAAAGTCAGGCTTAGGCTATATAAAGATGGTGGAAATCGAACCACGAAGTCTATGGACCTCATTCTCACGCCAAAGTGTTGCACCATCGTGCCTGCGAATATACAGCCGACCCCTATAAGTAAAGAGCAGGAGCACAGAGTTTGTGAGGTCTCCGTCATGCCTAGACCTGGAATGGCAAGGATGGCGATGTCCATGGCCATAGAGACTCCTGCCTGTCAGGGCAAAAATAAGTAGGGAGGTATTCTCCTTTGCATAACACTTATGAGGGTGATTTGACTTTTTCGCTTGACTGGTGAAATCATCGACAAATGAATTCACTTCCACCCCATTGAGGATACCATCAGTGGAAGTACGCCTGATGTGATCAATCGTGATCGGCATACACAACACCATAGCTGTGGCGTTGCCCATGAAAACAAGAATCTTACATGACCTATGCTTTTCTCTCACCGCATGGTTTCAAATGAGGCGGGCTTCAGGTTGGTTGTGGCGGTTTAGGAACTGGTGGTGTCCTACGCAAACTGGTAAATTAATGACATCCGATGATGAAAAAATCACGTACGTAGAATATACAATATCCTGCCTGTTATAAGGGAAATCAGTATCCGAAAGGCCCAGTTTTCCGAGGCTCACGCACAACAGAATACGACACCTGATTCGTCTATAATATCATTGTCGGCAAGGCTTTCTGCGTTTCGATCGTCAGGACGATATACAGGGGAGATGCGAGTACGTACCGATAGTGGCCAAATGTGTACCAATTTGATTCATTTGATCGAGAGTCCAGAACATCGAGCCGGCAGAGGATTGACTTAAGGTTGTGGCTTCTGTTTTTTTTGCTTGGGTGATTCTGACAATTAATGCAGCGGTATAAGGACTTACCTCCGGTGTAGCAAAGAAGTTCTCTCTGTATGCGTCTTACTAGTAGGCTTTCCATTCGGAACTGATGGGGAAAAAATTCAAAGTGTTTCCTGCCGAACAGTGAGAACACTCGGTCAATGAGGTACATCCTTGGGCGACCACTCACCAGTACTGGGCCTCGAGTTCAAGTCCTGTGTTATAAAAATCAAACTTGCGAGAAAAAGAAAGGGAAAGGCGATATACTCTTGTGTCTCCATTCGCTTGGCTGAACACATTCTCCGAATAGTAATTCGCCATTGAGATCTTCCAGCCAAGCAATGACTTGCTTGTCGGGGACCACATAATAATACTGAAAATGTTCTTGTCCCGTGAAGATTGTTGGGAGAACGACCAGTATCCACCCGTTTTCGTTCGCTGCGGCTCGTGATGCATCAATGAAATCTTCGAGACTGGATAAGTCAAGATAACGTCTGAGGTTCGTCGATGTAAGCGCGTTCTACATTTACAACGTGTGAGCACATCACTTCTACAACCAGCCAGGCGCTCACCTTTGTACTATGATAGTAGTATGTACCACCCAATGGGTGAACCAACTCCTGCCAATCGCCGTACATTGCGGGGCTGTTGATGCGTTAAATTGAGACCATTAAGTAGTAACAAAGGGGACGTACCGAGGGTCATCAGTTTCCTTTATACGGACCAAGGTATCTTCATATTCATCTGCGCTTTTGATATGCAGGAAACGTTTTCGACTCAGAAATAAAGTACCAGTTAATGAGTACTCACAGCATGACTACTTCAGCGTAGCGTGGAAGTTGCGTCGGCCATATACCAATACCACGCTCGAGCCACTTCACTGTCTGTGGTTGAGAGCCTCTTGCCTAAGGTATGACAACCGCATTAAAACTGTGCACGTCAGAAAATTTCAACGTACCATGTGTCCAGCTTATGGGCCTGTCGAGCGGTTGTTGCGTGCAGCGTCGAGGTCGTATCTGACTGGGACTTTGCAAGCCAACCGCATGCTATTACCTTTTTTGGTAATTTTTTTTTTCGGCGTAATGCTCACGCACCATAGTTATAAATGTAAAGATCTATCGATACGCTCCATCCAATCCTCTTGATCTTTCGAGATCTGGAATTAAACCATGTATATACGACCTTCCATTCGAACCGATGAAAAAATCGACGACAAGAACTGCAGTGGTGTGCGATATACCACTGTTCTATAATTAGAATGTACCCTATATATAAAGTGTCTACTAGATTTTGGATTGCATGATACAAGAATGATTAATGGTTAGTCCTTTAAGCTTTTGGAGTGGGGAGCTTGGTATTGTGAACACTGCCAAATCTGAGAAATTGCGTGCATAGTATGCGTATATGTGATGGTATGTGCACGTTGGGTCATCAAGTCATTAGTAGTACTACCAGTGGGTAGCCGTTAGCACCGATTTCTCTAGAACATTAGGTTAGTTATATGAACGATTGCAATGAGAGAACTTGCCCTTCAAATCAGCGACTTCAGTCGTTGCACCGCGTGAGCGTAAGTGTCGGCAACGAAGCGCATCAATCTCCTTATTAGACTTGGCGCTTACGGAGCGTTGGCGGCCTTCGGGTGCTGAAGTTAGTCTCCGCGGCGGCGACACGGCACTGACTTAATGCGTACCATATTGGCCGCTAACAAATCTAGTTGTGTCTGTTAAAAGTGAGTTTGAGCTAGGTCGCTTGCATGAGAAAGACTTACTCGACCACTGCCGATTTGAGGCCCGTAGATGACTCGAGACATATCTAACGTGAGTGTTTAGTTGATGCGATCGGTAGATCTGAGAAATATACTTACCGTGAATCTTCCTAATTTTGCTTTATCGGTTGTGTGCTAATGACGGTGATTGTGAAGACGTAGCAGTACACGATGGCACCAAATAAAGCCAAACAACCTTACCCAACCAATTTTGCAATCGAGGTTGCAAGCTTCTTCGCATATACTACGTCGAGCCGGACATGATGCATGATGCATGAGATTCTGAGCTCCTGCACGTCTACAACGTAGCTTGATAGCTCAACTTGTCGACTCCGCATCCTTCCTGTGAGTGCAACAATTGCCTATAGGTCTTCCGCACCACCATGGTCTGCCTCTAACTCATCCGTCTCACTATTTCCAGTCCATACTTCTCCTACGTCCGTCAATACAGGAGGTTGTTTCATTCAGCTCCTTCCCGTAGCTCCACTCCACTCCCAGAGCCAGTCGGAGTTCAGGCCGTTCAAACCAACCCCTACAACGCGAGCTTCTTGCATTCTGAATAGTGCGACTTGCAGCTGGTCAAACCGTGAGAGGTTATTCTTTTGTAACGAGAGACTACTCGAAGTGAGTCCTGCCCTTTCGTTGGTTCGAACACGGCTTATCAAAGGGGCGCAAAATTTTTGCAGTCCAAAGTCCTCACCAAGATGACAGAATTCGCATTGGACATCAAAGCTCTAGCAACCCGTATGATATGTTCTTGCGGGGGTGAGTACCCTACTGTACATCGAAGGTCCTTCTTGGCTCACTGGAATCCAGTTTCTCCTGCAGTATAGTGTATTTCATGTTTGCGTTCTCTTACTAGGTCTTTATGTCCACATCACTGTCACATTAGTAGGAGCGGATGCAACGTTGCGGTACTTGTCACACTGTGGTTCATATGCGCAGCGAGGGACTTCCATGCTTTGACGTGGTTAACGTGCTATCGCGGTTCGGGCCTTGCAGAGCCAAATCTTGGACAGTCTTCCTAGTGACTCGGCTCAGTCAGTTTCATCCCGGGTGCGCGCGGTGCTAAGTAGTGACTGCATAACTTTCAGTTGGGTATGGTGATGTATCAAAGCACACGCTCTTGCAAGTTTCACATAGATCAAACATAGAGGGCCGAGGCCGCGCTCAAACAAACTCGCCCAACCAATTTTGTATATACTACGTCGATCTGGACATGAGAATATTATGATTCTGAGCTACTGTACTAGTACATGTGGGATTTACGGGGGAAACGATATCAAAAGCGCATGAATTACGATGATTCTATCAGCAAACATTAAGACGACGTGAAGTACGAGATATGAAGCTCCACCTCGCTGCTAGGCACTGGAAATATAAATTGCGCATTAGGGACTTCCAGATCAGAGGTAAAGACGACGTCTATAGGCCCAAGATCATTCAGGGTCTTCATCCGTCTCACTCCCATCTCGTCCGTCATGTATTTCGGGACCTTGTTCTTAGGATCCATAACCAAGACGTTCGTCTCCCTAAACATATATGATAATTAGTCAAGATCAAATTTAACGAAGGACTGACTGTAGTGAAGGCAGCTCACGCGCCACCTGGAAGAAGGCGGTAAAGCGGTCTGGATCCATATACATAGCATCTAGGGCAGCCATAATGATAGGATGCAACTCAGGCACTTTCAAATTTGCAGAGTCAGATGGTATCTGCAGGGTAAACGCCTGATACATCTAAAACAGAGGCATGATTTTCGTTATTGGTATGAGGAAGGGTAAAGAGCGCAAAAACTTACGAGAGTGATCAGTACGCCTACGATCCCCTTTCGTAGGTAACCCGTCCAAGTTTGAATGGCATCGGGATATAGGTCCGCTAATCTCGCATTACCTTCCGCCAACTCGGCGATGGGTCGAAGTAACGCAGCCCAGAGGACCTCCTTGAAGGCCTGTGTTCCAATAAGAACGCAGATAGCTTCTTGTACCTGCCGGATGAAAAGTCTTAAGCTTCAGGTATGCAACCTCCACGGTCCCTTACCTGTTGTCGGTCGGCTGAGTTGAATGCAACAATCAAATCGAAAATCTTCCCCATCTTCTGATCCTCGTTGACGGCAAACCCAGCTAATGGGGATGTGCTACCCCGTGTGATTTTCCTAAGCTCTGACGTGACGTCGATGTAGAAGTCCAGAAACTGCCCATAACATTTGCTAGTGAGTAAAGGTACTAATGTGATCGGAACAAGCTTACACGGTTGCGTAAGTATGACCAACCCACAACGGTCCCGGTCCCATTGTCATTCATGATCGTCACTGATCATGGTGTTAGTCAATGACATTTAGAATTAGAGGGAGACACTCACAAGGCTCACTACTTAGCTCGTCGTAAGTTTTTTGGTTGAAGTGGAGAGCTCTCAAGAAGCTCGTCGTGATCAACCGCCTGGAAACCGCTGCAGGAACAAAGAATGGATTGTCGGGCGTTTTGGCTTTTGTCGAGTGGATCGCCTCGGGCAGTGTGTCTCCAAAGGAGATCTGGGTGGGGAGGCTGCGCCTCACTGAGCGACTGAGTACCAATGAGGCTCATGACATCGGAATCAATGTCATCCGGCAAAGTGGGTGTGGGTAAGTGACCGAATACGGAGGTTAGTTCTATGAGAGTAGGCTCGTATCCAAAATCTAGCGTTTGGTGGAACATCGTCTGAGAAAACACGGCCTGAGAGGGCGACAACTGAGGGAATGAGTCTGCCAAGCCGGGATATTGATGGGTGCAGGAGGGGCAGGAGGAGGGAATCCGTGTGGGTATGTTGCTGGGGTGAACTGAACACCGGCTAGCTGATCAAGCTATGTAGTGTGTGGCATGATGAGTCCGGTAATGTGAAAGTCTGTGTAAGAGTACTCACCAACCAGATGGGAGATACGCTCCCATGTAGGTTTGGTGCGCAAAAATTGGTCCTATAATCATTGAGGAAAGCGCAGCCACCTGCCTATGGGTCCATCCTATCAAGTATGGACTTAGCGGCATGAAAGAACTCTCACCTCTATCTCATAGATCGAAAACCGCGTGTTGTCGTTCACGATAAGTAAAAATCCAACATTCCGAAGAATGTCATGAGGTGGACGGGCAAGATTGATATATTCCTCAGGCCACTGTAAACAAACACCGCAATATGAAAAATTGACTCAAAGGATGATACTAATAGCCTCACGTATATAGGTGAGAGTTGATGCGCGTGCCCAACGTATCCCATGAATAAGAATCGGCCGGACAAGCCATGGAAAGGCTGGTAGGCAAGAGTCAGTTGAAGCGACCACTAATTGGCGATAACGAACCTCCTCATTCTGCGGGAAGAGGCCATCAGCGATGATGCGGATGATTTGCAATGCAGATTGTACTTACGCTGATGGGAAGAAATCTCAGGACTTGATTTACTGTCTGCACATACGTGTAAATTGGACAGGCTGTTGGCGCTGCTGGGAGTTGCATCTTGCTGGTGTGGAAGGGCCAGGAAGATGAAGGAAATAGCATCAATAAGGCCTTAATAAGGATTCACGCTCACTACCTTCAATCGCTAAGTATTATTGACGCTGCGCCAGGGATCAGCGAGGGCACACCAGGATTGGTAATGTCGTAAAGGCCAAAGCGAGTTGAGGGATTGGCAATATGGCAAAGACGTGCCAGGGCGGAGGGATTAGCAATGAATTAGAAAAGCGCCAGGGCGAGTAGGAGGGTACCAAGGAGAGTAGGAGAGATTACCAAGATGTGCCAGGGCGAGTAGGAAGGATTGGCAATGCGGCAAATGTACGCCAGGAAGAAGTCAGAGTACCCCAGAGATGACCATAGCGAAGAATGTATCAATATTATTAATTCTCATAATCGAATGTGTGGCTAGCCGTAAACATCTCGTCCAACGCTTGGGTAAGCGACTCTGTGCTGGCATCGAATCCTTGATCAAAGAAACCAAGTTCCTCTGCGCCAACATGATCTTCATCGTCGCCCGGTTCATCGTCGCTATCGTCATTAGCAGGACCTCGCCAGTGCGTGTTCCTGAGCGTGTCCCCACTTTCCGAAGGTTCATTTTCTGTCCATGCTGTTGTCTGTGTAAAAGGGTAGGCCCTTTCCTCGTGAGAGTATACATGACCGACCCCAAGGCCATAGTGGAAGCGCATGAGGGTGTCGCGATCAACGAAGCTAGGATGTTTCTAGTATTAGCGATCATTATCATTAGGGGACCCGAATTCGTTTACCTGTTGACATAGTACTCGGGCCAATCATGCTTGTCTCCTGCTAGCGGGGAGATATCACGTTCACCCGGATTGCGCTGGGGTCGAGAAAACGCCGGGATAATATGACACGCTCTGAGAACGACGCCAGGGTCTACGAAACCAAATGCGTTCTGGTTTGCTAAAGGCCGGAAGCGAACGCGGCCCAAAGTACAGGTGTCCCATACAAGATCTTGCACAGGTTCGTACCACCGAACGAAAAGGAATTCGATTCGGCGGGTTTCATACACGTTCGTGAGGCGAACGACATTGACATGATGTATGCCGATGACTTTGGCGTAACAGTACTCACCGCCGGACCCATCATCGTCGCGGTTTTTCAGTAGCATAATGTTGGAATGCGGAGTCCGTGGATTTACGACATCTTGAGCCCTGCGAACGTCATAGGAGGTGTAATTGAACCTCGCGAGATTGTGGTGGTAAAGGCGATTGCGCTTGAAGAGGATTGAATTATGTTGGTCGGAATGAGCTAATATCTCCACAGGCAGTTCAGTAATTTCCGGCTCCAGGCGATTGAGAATGTGTTTCTTCAACCGAGGAAGGAAATCCTGCGGGATATCTCAACATAATAGTCATCAAGTCATAGAAGTTATTTACCTTCATTGCAGGGTCTCCCGCATGGTCGCGGAGGTACTGGCCAAGCTCGTTGTACATCTTCTCACTTTGACCGATGTGATGATGTAGCTGGGGATCACTTGCTATTTCATGTGCCTCTGCACCAGGGCCTCGCTGGGATTGCTGTTGCCTCATGCGGCGCAACCGAACTTCCTGGCGCTCGATCCGAGTCAGTTGGTGAACGAATGCTCTTTTATCAGTGCGACGGTACCTGCCTTTCGGCGTACGGTGCTCCAGCTCTCCCTGATGCAAACTGAGTCAATGAGTAGATGGATGGCAGTTTGAAACTTACCGGTTCAGTGCTGTATGAATCCGTTGTCCCAAAGAGACGGATGGAGGCCACATAATCCCCCAGCTCATGGAACTTGTAAGTTTGGATGTTGAACGACTTCTTCTTCCGCAGTTTCGGTCCAGGCACATCGTGTGACTGTTCTGGACTTGCCTTTGCTTTTTCTTTCCCTTTCCCATTGCCATTACCGGCCCGTTTGGCTGCTTCCTTTGCCTGCCGGCGAGAGCGCGCGCCAGCCTCCCGATCAAGCTCCTGCGTCTGGTATGAAGCGCACACCGTGTTCTTAAACAGGCGGAACTGTTCGCCAAGATCAGTTGTTGTTTCGTCGAGTATCTTCAAGGTGAGGTCGGAGTGCATGCGAAGTTTCGCCAGTCCGTGCCAGTGTGACATAGTGAAAAGAAGACTTATGATAATCTTATTGTGGTCGTGTGGAAACAGGCCGTCGAAGACTGGAATAGAACACTCGGCCAACGTTAGTCCACGAAGACGAATGAGAATCATTCTGAGCGCATACCTGGAGAAGATCCTCGAAATTTCGCGCTGCCATGTTTGACATCTCAGAAATACTCGAACAAAACCTCCTAATGGTTGCCGGTCCAAACGGGGGGACCTGTCTATACCTGTTAAATTGGCATTAGCTCACCAAATCACTGGAAGATAGACGTTCATACCTCTTGTCAACCTCATTAATCAGGTCCTTATTCAAACTGGTGAGAATTCTTAGCAAATGTACTAGAAGCATCCGCCACACTCCAAGTTCAACCTCGTGCAGAAGATCGACCACTAACGCAATAAAGATGTTGAAACCAAATGAACCCAGAGAGTCTGAAAACGCGTTCTAATCAAAGGTTAGCAAAGGTTGAACGATAAACTGATGGCCATTCTTACAGTGTTTGGCACCCACGAATTAGACTTGAGCATCGACTCGACTGCTGTACTGTCTACGCCTAAGTTTTTCTGGTAGATGAGTTCTTGTGCGGTGGCAACCAACTGACTCCTCGAGGTATCGGAACGCGCGAGAGTCGCACGCTGTTGCCTATCGCAACTCGTGCCCAGACAGTGAAGTCTGTTCATCGGTATTAGGCATCGCGAGCAAGGGCATCCTCCTAACTGTCGGATAGTGGCAACGAGGACCCTAGTTAAAATGAGATTTCAAATCATATAGATGAGCAACGATGACTCACTTTTCGGGATAGTCTGCAGAATAAGTAAAAACTCACGGGAAAAATCTGCGTACGATGCCATCGCAACACATAATCACAATCCCATGTTTGTAGGCCTCTAAGAATTCGTTGTCAAGCAAGACTCGCCATTGAGCTTGGAACAATTCGCGGTGACAATGCGTTGTGGATTCGCGACCGATTCCCTTGCCTTCAGTATAGATCCCTGTGAAATCCTTGAAAGAGTCTGGAAGCTGCGAAGAATAAGTTTGATACAGTACAGAAAACTTATAGAATGACCATCGTACCTTTTGAAAGTAGGCTACATGGTTGGCCAAATGACAGGACGGTCTACAGCGGCGGTACTTCGACTCGTTCCCAAAGTACATATACACTGGCCACAATCTTGCATTACCGAATGTCGTTAGCTGTGTGGCGTCGGACCAGAACATGAGCGCAGCTACCACGCGAGGCAAATCACAGCCTGCTTCTCCAGGAGACGCCTGAAGTTCGCGATGTGCGTCCATGAAGGCTGGCGAAGTGTACAACTCACCCTGGATATTCACTTCGTGCGGTAGATGGGGGGGGTCGCCATCGCAGCTCATACGGCTCGTAATGAAAATGTTCATCATCACGAGCGTTTGCGAGTTTCTCCCGAATTACCGACACAAGAGACCGATGGTAAAGGTCAGCTGCAGCATAAGGTCGAGTGCCGGGCTGAGCTGTAGTCCGAGAGAATGGCACTTCGATGACTACTTCTGTTTTGCGCCAACCTGCGTCCGCATCCTCCCATTCGTCTCCCCCCTCATCATCAACGCTCGCAGCTAATTGCGAGTTGATTTTATCCCAATGCGTGTGCTGGACATCGCTAGGATCAAAGTCTGGACATCCAACAACGTCAAGCAAGTCCTTAAAGCTCTGGTGCGACTTCTGCGCACCGCCGTTCCAGTACCAATGCCCGAGCTTAAAAGACAATTGATTAGGGTAGGGGTAAAATGGGTCGTGAGGCTCGGCAAGGCCATCCAGATCAGCTGGAGCGACAGTGGGGATAGAACTGAGATCTTGAAGCGTTGTGGCCTCTTCCGGATCATGTGATGGGGGGGGTCGAAGAGAAGAACTGACGTACGAGTCCGAAAACGTTCCTGGCCGTGCGGAAAGGAGTAGATTGCAATGACATACAACGCGTGGTAGGCACGTCAGTGGGATTTAAGGGCGGGACAAACTCTGGGAATGGAACAGTTTGGCTTGGAACACTCGGGGGAGGTTGCGGGAGTATATCTTCATGCTGTCGATAGCGTAGTGGCATCCGAACGTCAACACGTCGGGTTCTGCGCTGCGCCAACGAGGAATCATCATCTATCTCCGCAGGCGCTACACTAAGATCGGGGGTGGATGTTGAAAGGGGTATGTTGTCTTGTAACGAAGAGCCCGCACACGGCATCTCCAGCATAGGACACCCTGCTGACGGAACCGGGTGAACGATGGAAGACTCTGCACTCAGTGCCTCGTTAGCCTGATCAGACGGCAAGAACAGGGGTTGCGGACGGTGCAGCTGCGTACTTGAAGATTCTATACTGACACATGCATCCTGTCTGCCACTATTGGCGTCCAGTCGGGCCCGCTTTGCGGAGCCAAGGAGGTGTTTTGCCTTCGATAAAGCAGAAAATAATTGTTTCTTGCCTTTTACGCATGATCGCTGATGCTTAGTGTAGGCGTTCTCCTGGGTGAACTCGCGCGTGCAAGTACATTTGAAAGACTTTGCCGATGAACCAGCGAGATACATTTGGAATTTGTTGAGATGTGAGCCAAGCTGCGAAAGTCAAATCAAATTAAAAGGACTCCTCGTCTATCCAGGAACAATCAACATGACAAACCTAGGCGCTACCGACCATATTCCCACAAGTTTAAACCCTGGCAGCGCTGGCGGGGCTGTCAGAGGGCGGACGGACTTGATTGTAGCACACAAAGTTAGACCAGCTAAAAGTCCCATAAAGAGCAACAAAGCCTTACTGCACTGATTGACCCAATGGCAACCCCATCTTCACCATCTTCTGCAATCACTGCCCCGCCGGACTATCATGAAACCGCTGTGACGTTCGCCAAACTTGCCACGGAGGCTATGACCTGCCACTTTGCCCTCTTGCATTATGACAGCACGTCGAAATCAATGATTGAATGGTGCTGGTGAGACGCCATTAGAATCTTGTATAGCTTCTGAGTGTTAACATACCTGCAAAAATGCAAAAATGTAGGCCTGACGATGACAAGGGACAGAAAGTTCCGCTATCGGACTTTGAGAAGTACCGCGATGAACGTAAATTTTGATACCCATGCTGTTTATGCACCTCCAGCAGTGAAAGAGGGGCGTACACAGAGGCAGCAGTGTACCCCTGGAGGGATAAGGATACCAATAAGACTCAATGGAATGCTAGATGCGCACGCGATATATGTGGGTATCGAGGTCAGCATTCCTTACTCCTCATAAAATTCCAAACTAACCATCATCTAGTGAAAATTGACAAATACTATGACCGGTCGTCACTAGTTACTTTCAATTATCCTCTTCGAGGTATGAGTTTGCTTCGCAGCATATCGCAAGGCCATAGTTTTATTGATAGATTGTCCAGAAGAGCACGATAAACCGTGCTCTATCCAACTGGAATGGGCCTGGAGGGAGCAAAAAGAATTGATGGCGAAACTCGACTCCTCCATTGGCGATGGCATTACGAGGGAAGAGTTCCGCATTCTGTTTAGACGCTGCAAGCGATGCAAGCGAGTTGGAATAAGGCAGACGATGAACCGCCATATCCTGGCCTGTTCAGAAGGGGTGCAAAAGCGACATCCCAAGCGGGAGTCGTTATCGATGAAGCGTTATCGGTGAAGCGAAGTAACACGTACTTGTATCAGCAACTTTGCTGGCGGTCACCGCGTTGTTACGAATTTTCATTTGACGTGAGAAAAGATGTTTTCTCCAACTCGAGTCTGCAAAAAGCCCATGGCTCATCTGACTTATACAATTGCACGAACGAAACTTTTGAGGTAAATTGCAAATACACTCTAGGCTACCAATGTTTAAACGTTTAGACTGTGTCAAAGACATGTAAGTTATAAATGGCACACCTTTGAGTTCTCCCCGCCTTGTTTTATCAGCACTACTCTCCTGAGCATCCGACATTCTCAAACACCACTAATTCAGCGCTACGCCCGCTTCAAAGATGGGCAAAGGGAGGTGTGGGGGATGGATACCGCTCAGTTGGAGGGATGGCCATATTGGAGGGAGATAAAACACGGTGCTTCGTCCATTCCGCAACAAGTGACAGGCACTCACTACATTTCCAGCCGGCAGTTTCATGCATGGTATGATACAATTTCTGTCCCAGCTGAGTGTATTCTTACAATTGCAGAGTTATGTGACGACTTGAGACACAGTCCGAAGTGAGTACAACAGATTTTAGGCTCAGAATTGTTGTTTATGAAGGGGGAGAGGGAAAGATACGATATGGCTTGCACTATCGTCGAGCTTCGGAGACAGCAGGGCATCGATGCAGAGGAAGAGAAAGACTGGGAAATCTTGTTCCGTGAAGGCATCTACTATGGTTAGTAAAGACATTCCCTCTAAGCGCTCTTTGCGGCAAAGCTTACAACGACATATAGCTCGTGGACGATATCATTGCAATATCGCTTGAATATCGCAGCATATCTCTCCTACCACTGGTCGAACATCTGTTCCCCTTTCTGTTTTACAGGAAGCCCATTGGGACCAATCATCACTGCGATGTCAAATCACAGCTAGACACAATACGAACACTTCTTCCTCATCCCCATCCTCAAGCCCTCCACCTTTGCGAGAGAAGGAACTTGGGTTATCCATCACGACTGCAGAGATTCTTGCTCGATTGCCAGCTCTGAACTCTCCACCCTCGGCAGATGAGGCTTTTTTTTACAGAGGGCAGCTTCACATGATGGACCGTACTGTATGTATTTGAGATTGAGATCAGTGGCATGATTACTGACTCAGTGACAGTCCTACATAGCGGGTCTTTCGTCAGAGTTGTTCGTCGTCGTCTTGGTCGTTCGCGCCATTCGAATATTATTTGTCCTATGCCATTCTAGCATAGTGACAGGACTGAACGTATTTCCTATCGCGCGCTTTTCCTGCGTTGTTCTTATTTATCTGACCATTTTTATTTGTCCTGTGTCATCCTCATGTTACTTGGATCAAACGCTTCCATGTGCAGTTCAAATCTTTCCGCATATTTATAAATAAGTCACAAGTCTCCTTGCCAGGCGGTTCGTGCACGACCAGATTGGTACGCAAATGCCAACACCGCATCAGTACTCACGGCTCACCCAGGGGCAGGGGCAGGGGACGCATGTTTACAAGGTCGCACAATATTGCTGCCTCTTATCTCTCCAGTCAGGCGAACCTTTTGAACACCGGATTCCCAAATAAGACCGACAACCAACTCTTCGAAGATTGAAGATCGGTAGTTCCCGACTAGCGTACGGAATATGTATTCTAGTGTCGGGCATCCCCACGCAACTATATTCTCCTCTGAAGGTAAGCAAGCCATTTAAAAAGACTTGTTTCATTTTCTGAAGGCTAGCGTGCTGCGATCTGCCGCCCGCAATAAAATCGGGCTTTGATCGATTTGATCGCCAGTGAAGTCATTTTGATGCCCTGCCGTCAAACAGCATCAAACAATCGCTTAACAGTACAAATCTCATTTGAATGAGAATCCTGAGATCGTTGACCCGAGTCAGATTAAACACCCTGTACATAATTACTGCAACGTTTCACGATGTCGCCCTCCTGTCTTCCACCGTTCAATGCCTCAGCCATTCGTATTGGCATGTCTGAACTTTCAAATATACTCGCTGGTCCTCAATGGCTGGATTTCTACATAAGACTCATACCAATGGAGACGGTCAGTCCATCTTTCTGAAATATCGTTTTGCGCGTTCTGAAGGTTTTCGACCCAGGTCCGGACTGAATTGTACTTACTCTACTTCTTGCTTAAAGGTCGAGTCTATCTCGGTGATGGTACAGTGCGTGGGGTTGTTGAACGAGCTTTTATGGAAGAGAAGAGGGATAGGTGTCAGCTGGAAGTGTCGCTGTGCAGCCAGGCTATTGATTGCGTGCAGCAGCGATGGATCATGCATAACATTTTTTACTTCAGCATGCGAGTGAGTAATCTGACGACATCTTACTACCTAGCAATATGCGGCGTTGCAGCCCCAATCACGCGCAATGTCAGCTCATTCTCAGCAACCTCGAAATGCGTTGCTAGACCTGACGCGCCCTATTCAGCAGCTGCAAGAGCCTATCTGGCAGCTGGGAAAAGAAAGTGCGAAGGTTGGCTCAGGAGACAATGTGCCGATCTCACACCAACTAAAAGGCTTTCATCATTTAACTGTCACTCGCTCCCGAACGGCTCTACTTCTTCGTCTGTTCACCAGTTTACTGTTACGCACCACCTAGAATGTCGAACATTAGTCATCGTGGATGTCAGTACTGTCATTAATATGCCCTGCTTGGCTGTGCTTATTGTCTTGTTGTTGAAGTCCATTGACCCCTCATTCTGCCTGTTGAGCACATGGGTCCCCCCTGGCGTTCAAGACACCTTGAATGAAGCACGCAAAGCAGAGCTATCCACTCAGGCTGGACTGATGACGACGTACCTCGATATTGATGGTTACAATTCTCACCAGCGCAATACCAGTTCTGAGCTGCTTTACTTGCGTGCGAGGATGCATCGCGCCAAAGCTGAGGTGGAAGTTTATGAACTAGCCATCGAAAATGCGCCTGCGTCCAATTTCCTTGACAGAGGTGAGCGTAATTGCTTGCCTTCTCTTCAGATGTTGATGCCCTTGTAGCTGCATCGCCTTCATCATGTCCAAACCTCTCGCCACTTTTACCTGAGGACGTTTGTCGCTACAAGGAGTACATCAATGCCGAATCGCTCGACGATAGCACTTCCGAGGATTCATGGTAATGGGCCCTTAAATTTGTCTCAGTCAAGGTTCAGGCTCGGTACACGTATCTTTATATATTTGTGTGTACACTGTATAAACAACCTTGTAAATTATTTGTAGATTCTTTATTCCTGCTACATCGATGATCCGATTGACTCAGAATGTCACAGATGGCATGTTCTTACTGGTACATATGAGTCACATTTTCTCATGTCCTGATTCTTTATCTGCTGTCATCATGTCGTTTACGCTCGAGATATATCAGTCACGTGAGACAACTCTTCTACGCATTTGCTAGTTGCAATTGTTTCCGCGAGGATTGTTGACGGCATAAAATTTGTGGATTCAGTGAGTGCTGAGGGAGATGTCTTAATGTTTACTAATCATCCCGATTCTATCGATGAGTTTATATTTAGCCACTAGTACGCATTCGAAAGCCCACTGCCCAGGTTACAGGTATCTCCACATTGCAGGTCACGTGAGATAATTTTTTGAAGCAGTGACACATTTTTGCAATCGTTCTCTCGTCGGTCATTTGTCCATTTACTGGCACTCAGTGTGTCCATGGCCTCTCAGAACGTCGAAGATGATGAGATGATAGAATCTCACCCCCGCAAGAGGATTCGCAGCAGCACAAAACGCAAACGTGCGACGAGTCCTTCTATTTGGCTCTCAGTTGCTTGCATTGATGGAAGATGGTGGGCGGATGCTAATCTGGGAGGTATCGACCAATGGTGCGCTTTCTGCTCAATTATCCCGATCATTCGTTTAATCATTACTTCCAGAACAAGCCCTATGCAACTATTCAATTTGACATCGGGTTTACTGCCACATCGATTCTCCATCCTGTCGCATATCTTAACAAAGTTCTAGTTGCTAGCAATGAGGGCGATATGCAACTTTGGAACATCCGCAGACAGTGAGTTGAACACCTGCAATATGTTCCTTAAATTCAACGCTGCTACAGGACCTGTTTACACAAATTTGCTCATTCTCAATTGCGCACCATCTCAGCAGCATATGAGCTTATTGTCGAGTCCCATTACACTGTTAATGCAGTCCCCTGCCATTGACTTGGTTTTATGTCAGGGGGGTGTCTGTACGGCAGCGAGATTGTTAGCTTGGCCTCGGACTGGCTGGGCAACGCGGTGGGTATCCCCACGCCGGGTTCGGTTGCTGTGGCTCACCTGGGTATGCTGTAGGTCGTACAAATACTGTTTGAAAAGTGCTCTTCTGTGCCGCAGTTTGCGATGCTGGAAACAATCACCCCTCACTTGGCGGTGAATGGTATCCACAACGGTACTTGGGCTGCCCAAAAGATCTTCGAGCGTGCCCAGATTCCCGAGGAGGTCGGGCCCATCGTGCAAAACTTGAGGGCTTATGCCCTACCATTTTTGCTTGATCAGTTTGGTAACTGTGGTTCAGTAAGTGCATCAAACATTTCTTTGCTGTTATCATCGATAGCTGAGTAACCATCAGGTGTTTTCTGCGTTTCGGGGATCCTGCCCACAATTTCATCTTCGACGCTATGGTCGATCATATGCGGGAATTCGCACAAGGTCACTTCGGTGCACGCAACATGAGAGCGTGTCTTGGGAGCCCACATATCACGTTGAAACTAGCAACGTTGTATCGCTACTGCCGTAATCTTGAATTTTATTCCTCTGGCGACAAAACCTAACGGCGCACTGCTGCTGACATGGTTGCTTGACACACCTTCTTTCCCTTCGCGGTACAACCTTCTTGCACCTTATTTTGCGCCTCACCTATGGCATCTTTAACCGTTCTCAGGATCCTGACTCCGTGGGCTTTTGTGAATAGGTGAACCCTACAAAATACAAGGGCCTCGTGTCTCGTCTTGCCACGGTAATCATTCATTCCAAGTGGGTTAAGCTTCCACAAGATAGTTCTGACTGCGCGTACCCATAGGTACAGCATTGGGGCTTGACAGTGAGTGTTTTCACCATTATCGCCATGTCTATTTTTGAGCGCATCCTGATACATTATTTTAGTCAGAGGCGAGCTTAAAAGCTTGCAGAAGTTGCAGAGATAGAGTCAAAGGGGGCACATCCCAACCTGACGACGGAAGCTTGACGAATGAGGATGCGTCTGAAGATGAACAATGAGTAGATTTACGTGTATCTTACTATGTCAATGACTGTCCCGCGGCAATATCAGCGTGCAGATTACCATGTCTAGCAACATCGGATCACAAATAAATACGGTACATCAAGTTCAGCAGATGACCGTTTCAGACTGGTTGAGAACTGCTTGTATTTACCAAGGCAAATATTGCCCTAGACAAATGATAGTCCTAGCAAAATGATGATGAACGACCAATGGATATCAGTATTGCGTGAATTTTGGTTGTCAATGCCAACATCCATCGCAAAGTTCAGCTTAGATGGCAGGTAACAATAACTGCTTGTGTCTGGTAATATATTACCCTAGACAGATCACAACTATGACTGACGACCATTTGGTGTCAACATTACATGTATTTTGTAGCTCACGATTGCCACCTGGTTGGCATTACTAGTGGCCATCGTAAAGTCCATAGTATTGCGTGGATTTTGTAACTTATTGGTTGTCGATGCAAATGTCCATCGCAAAGTTCAGCTCAGATGGCGGGTAACAATGACTGCTTGTGTCTGGCAATATATTACCCTAGACAGATCACGACGAAGACTGATGATCATTTGGTATCGACATTATATGTATTTTGTAGCTCATGATTGCCGCCTGGTTGGCATAGCCAACAGCCATCATGAAGTCCATCTTAGGCAAAGGATGATCACCGTTCTGGAGAGCTGCTGGACTTGCTGCAATAGTTTATCTATTATATGTCGCAGTTGCGAGACATGTACATCTTCGTCAGGATTATTTTTCTCTGACACCCTCTTATCTTTCGATACCATTATGCTACAATTATCTATTGATTTGTCTTCAGATATAATTCAGTGAACATGTGATGTGAATTTGCCATTTATATCTCAGACTCCTACCCATCGACGGGTGTGTAAGAGAGCCCGCATCTGAATCCAACAGCGACCAAATACAACCACGCACTATTTTTCCGACAATATACCGAAACTTTTGGGGCTACTTACACACCCAGCCGACTGGCAGAACTTGCAGGTGGCGCAAAGTTTGCTCGTGTTGATTTCGTTCGATTGGGACTGACCTGTAGGAGTGACACAATAAGTGTGACGACGTCAAGTATATGTACCGCATTAATTCAAATTTTTTCATTTGCCAAAGGCGCTGTACTGCCATCGTGATGGCTTCGCTTCCCCTAAACTATGACATGCCGTCGATAGACACCATACGCACTACAGTCCAAGAACGGTTTGGCTTCATACCTTGTAATTGGCAAGTGCAGTCTGCTCGAGCGCAGCTGAAGAAGAGAGATGTTGTCACTTTGTCACCTACAGGCTCTGGAAAAACACTCACATTCTGGATACCTCTCTTGTTCAACAACGGCGGCATCACCATTTTGATCACTCCACTCACAATCCTCGGAGACAAAAATGTCGCGGAGCTACAACAAGTCAACATCCCTGTCGTGAATCTGTCTGCTGCAACAGCAACAGACGCAACATTCGAGGTAAGGTATAGTTCATAGCTTGAATATTATGACTTACCTTTACATATTAAACAGGATATTGCCGCGCGAAAGTTTCGTGTTGTAATTGTCAGCCCCGAGAGAATATTATCGGACCGTCGCTTCGATACCTTGTGGAAGACACCACAATTTGTCAACAAACTTTTCAGCATTACCTTTGACGAGGCGCATTGTGTCAGCCAATGGGGTGGTGACTTTCGCCCATCCTATGCCGAGCTTGGTCGACTTCGTTGGCTAGTACCTCCGCATGTCGGGTTTCACGTAGCATCTGCAACACTGCCGCGACACGTGCTAAATGATGTCAAGTCCATTCTTCAGATGCACGACCATCGAACAACCGAAGCACGTCGCACCAATGACCGTCCGAACATTCATTTAATGGTTATCGAGATGCTAGACCCGTTAAACAGCATGCATGACCTAAAATGTGTCCTCAAGTTTGATGGTGACGCACCTCCTCCAAAATTCATGGTATTTTGCAACGAGCGCAAGGAGACAGAGCGATTATGTGAATTTGCACGGTCAGAAGCTCCATCTAACATGGCCAAAAAACTGGTCTGGTTTCATTCAGGCATGAGTGCCGATTTTCGAGCTGAGATGATTGAGAACCTTCGGCAGGGAGAAATATGGGGTATCTTCTGCACAGATGCAGCTGGTATGGTCAGTCATTATATTTAAACATATACACGAAGCTGACATCTTACAGGGCCTAGACCTTCGTGACATTGCGCTAGTAATCCAGTGGAAATATACCTCATCACTTTGCACACTCTGGCAACGCTTAGGCAGAGCAGCGCGAGATATCTCCACGGAGGCAACTGGGATTTATCTAGTTGAGCCACAGTACATTGATCATCAGAAAGAGAAGGCAAGAGCAAGAGCCAATGCACGCACAGCAAAACGAAAACAAGTTGACGACAATGGTGGAAGTTCCCAAAAGAAGCAGAAATCAACAAGTATCACACAAGAAGCGAGTGTGGGGAATCGGACGGAAGGTGGAGATCGGGATATGAGGAATCCGCAACACGCCATCCAACGCATTATTCCAACGGGCCTCAATGACGAAGAATATGAGGGTGCTGCAATGGATGCCTACATCAATGCTCGAGCTCGTGGATTCTGCCGTCGCAGTGTCTCAGATGAATATTTTGACAATCCCCGTATCCCCGTCAGCTTGAGTACGTACCTAATAATGTATGTGACCGCTTGTGACATTCATTAACAATTGTATAGATGCCAGCAGTAGATCCCTGGTGTGTCATGCTGACTGCGTGCGTTGTATTATCAGATCTTCCCGCCTATGCTGTGACTCATGTCATATCGGCTCCTTCATCCTTCCCGCACCCACCACGCAAGCACCCAAGCAAACTCGAGCACCAAATAAACTCAAGACACCTGACTATCAAATGGGCCCTGGAGACTTTGCGTTGCGAGATGAACTTCAGGAGTGGCGAAGACAGCAGCTGATAGAGATTGGTGCAGGCGGAGATGACTTTTTCGGTGTGCAGCTGATAATGGCAGATGAAATTCTACACCGCATTGTTGATTTAGCGCATTTCCGCAAGATTGACAGTGTTTCCTCAATTCGCGATCAAGCCAACTGGCGCTACTGTGACCGATGGGGCTCTCAAATACTCGAAATCATCCAAAAGCATTGCCTGCCATCTGCCGACAACGCACCTCCCTCTGCCGCAGAACATACTGTCACCTTTGCAACCAATCTCGATATCAACCAATCTCCTGCAAACAAGCAACCACGTCAAAAAAAACCATCAACATGTCGTGCATGTGGTCGGGCAGGACATATTGGTAAGTTTATGGTGTTTTTTGCACTCGTACAACTACTGAACTAAGTTCTAGCATCAAACCGTTTGTGTCCGAAGTATGTACCTAAGCAGCAAAGAGGTAGCCGGTCGAATGATGAAAACGCAGCTCCATCTGCAGGTTAGTTATTAACGAAATCCTCCGGCTCTGCTTCATAGCGCTCTTCACCAGTCGTTGTTTGGCTAACTTTTTTCTGTTGTATCAGCTTCATTCCAACCGCAATCTGGTCTTCAATAACTCGCTTTGAACTCCTGTTTTGTGGTATATATGCCAACGTTGACTGGATATATGATCGAAGCTTTTCAATCGTGGCCGCCATGTTTGGGTGTGTGTGCTGGATAGTTCGGTTTTTCAGGTAGAATGCATTCTCCATGATGACGTGGCAGTTGCGGAACACCTCAATCAACGGTGATTGTTTGATGATGTGGTCAATTGTGCGGTTTGGACCTGTACCTGCAAAGATGACCTGCCAAATACATGAGGACACGAAACAATAATGTTGTCACCAAAAACCACCACCTTCGTGTACAGATTGTTTCGCTCCACTAACCAGTCCACAGCTCGAAAAGCATTGGATTTTCCCGTAGGATTGCAAAGTAAGTTGAGACGTATTATGTGACTGTCTCATCGTGACTGAGTTATTGATGCCTGCGTATGACGGGACAGTTTGCTCACCACAAGTCTTGGGGATATACATATCGTAAGTTTGTTGAAAACTTGTTGATTTGTGCCGCATACTTATGCTTGCCAGTTGCACAAAATATATAGATCCACGGCAAGAATGATGCCTCGACTCGTCCAATATCACCAGCATTCATGGCCTGGCAGAGATCAACGTAGAGTAGCTGATCCCGATTCCGAAGACATTGGTTTTCAAACTCTTCGTCCCGTTCACTAACTGGTCTGGCACGTAGTTCACCAAGCTTGTCTGATGTTGCAACATACTTGTTGACAATTGCTTCAGACATCTCCACAAGCAGATCCCACCCCGGCTCCGATTTTCCAAACTTCTCCAGTGTTTGCCATTCGACTGGCTGTCTTGACTGTGCTTCGAGGCGCCAGCATTCGAGAATCGAAGCATGCAGGTCATGGTGTATGACGTCATGCATGCGTCTGAACCCAGGTTTCGTCGATATCCGCCCTGTCTCTTGTGGTCGCAAGATGCCTACATGCTGGAACATGCTATTCGAGTCATCTCGGCCTTCTTTAGGTTGAAGGTACGTCCTCCATATTGCGTCCGCACACGCCATTTTATAGTGAAACAACCCTGGCAGGAAGATGATGTACTGGAATCGATTTTTTGGCGTGCTCTCAATTCTCCGTGTATCACTAACCGTGTCGAGCCGTTCCTTGGTGAGTAAATCACCATGAATGAGCAAGACGTGTTCTGACATGTCAACATCTCCAGCTGATTCAAAGTCCTTATCTGTGGGATCTCCGATTCCTCCTTGTCGCAGCAAGTTCTCCATCACCTCCATATTTCCATCAGCAGTCGATTGCTTAATCCTCATGGAACGGAAAGGTATTTGTTCCGTCTTTGTGACAGGTATCCGTAATACTGATTCCGGCTCTCCAAGTTTGTCCGCAAATGTTCCAAAATACCGGCCATGTTGGACAAGAATATTTCGTACATGCCATGCGAAGGCAGTGAGCCGTGGGCTGATACGTTCACCTGGTTTGGGCCTGCTGTAAGTGTCATTGATGTGATGTTTTAGCATGTCAAATTCATCGATTTCAACAGCCACTATCGAAGGTGCAGGGTTACGAGAATCGGCAGCCCATAATGCTGTTGAGCAGCGTAGTGCATCAGGGTTATCGACGCCTACAAGAGGCAATGAGGTAGCGGATGTTGCGCTAACGAATGTTGAACGATGGCCAATGGTAGGTTCCGAAGTTTTGAAATCGATGTCGAAGTTGTCATACGCAAAGGACACTTGGAGTGATCGAATACCTTGCTTGATGTTAGCTGCAATTTCTTTGGACATTGAGTGTATCGCATTGTGGATTGATGTGACGCTGATTGATAAGCCCGCATGTGCCAGGACATCAATAACCTTCTGCGGAACGCTCGTGGAGTGGAAGAATACGCCAAGGAGACCTTGTAAGTAATTGCATCTTTCATTCGAGCTCTGCAGAATAATACTGATGCACACAACAGTTTTCTGTACAGAGTGAGTCCACGAGCTTCAGTGCGATGTAATGGAACTGACAATTATCTGCAGTGTTGTGTTTCTTGCCTCTACTTGGGCATGGGACCGTTTCGGCGGATGCTGCTTGCATGAGTCGTTCCTTTGTTCGTCCGAGTCACTTGTATCTGACATCGCAGATTCATCTACCCCATTGTCGCCACCAATCTCTCCAAGGTCACGCTCCGCATCCGCAAACACTTCTGTCATTACCATATCATCAGCCGTAGCTTTTCCCGTGCTCCGTCGTTCATCAGAAGCCTCGAGAAGCGAGAATATTAATCTCCAAACAGTCGGTGCGTGTTTTCTGATTTTTTCAGCAAGCTGAGGCATAAACAAGTTTTCTAGCTGCTCTGTCGTCGCGGATTTGGCGTGGAAATGCAATCTGTTATCCTTTCGTGCTAGGTCTTTGATCTCTGCACTGAGTGCTGACCTCACGACTCCATGTGCCCACAAAGACATTGATGTGCGAGTGTTGGGATACTGATAGAGGTGAGTGCAAATATCCAAGCCGTTTCGCACTAGATCATTCTTCGCTGACTCGTGGGTCTCCTCTGTGCTTTGCAGAAGTTGTTCTATGAAGTCTGAGATGGTCATCTTGTTGACCTCCAGACACTGCAGCACGTTGTTGAGCCTTTGCCATATTTCACGGTCCATCAGTCGAGGATTTGGGTGTTGGTATGCAGCATTATATTCAGCACAGTATGTAGACGAGTACTTGTCAACTAACACGCCTTTCAAGCATGGTGAACGTTGACAGTGGATTCTCACGAGCGTCGACAAAAATTGAATTAATGCGGTACATAAACTTGACGTCGTCACACTTATTGTGTCACTCCTACAGGTCAGTCCCAATCGAACGAAATCAACACGAGCAAACTTTGCGCCACCTGCAAGTTCTGCCAGTCGGCTGGGTGTGTAAGTAGCCCCAAAAGTTTCGGTATATTGTCGGAAAAATAGTGCGTGGTTGTATTTGGTCGCTGTTGGATTCAGATGCGGGCTCTCTTACACACCCGTCGATGGGTAGGAGTCTGTTTATATCTATGAAAACCTTCTTCTCGCCGGTTTCCTGATGCTTCGATGGTGGGAAGCGCATGGTGGTGGGAAGGTCACTCAGGATGTGGTGAGTCTTTCTTTCTTTTCACGCATGCGATGGCCAATCTTCACCATCAAAGATGATTGCTGCTGCTAGTCCTAATCCTTTGGCGACAACTTGAGGGCAAACTCACTCCCAAACACCGTGGCCACACATGCTGATACAAAGCCTATCGCCCACCAACATCAAACTCCCCTGACGAAGCGGCGTGTCGTGATAAATTATGGGGGGCCAGCGATGTCGTTCATAGGGAGCATGACGATTAGTTTTTGGTGGAGCGGTCTCCTCCGGCTGACGAGGGTGCTCAAGGCGGTGATGATTTCCTACAGGACGCTCTTGCGCGGTACACTACTAGTGCGCACATCTTTTATCATGTCTTTGTGGATCTAATTCGTGATTCATATCGTATTTGGCCCCTCCTAACCAGTTCTGGAGCACAAAGTCACGCCAGCAGATGGGAAAGACACTCGAGCACAGCGCATGCCCGCTCCCCTATCAGCGAGTGTGCGATGCGTGGATCCTTTACTGAGCGCCCATTACGCACGCCCTCACCCACGCCCTGCTTCCAGAATACCTCTGCTCATTACTACCGCCTGCGACCGATGGACCGGTAGGCCATGTAAACCCTTTGGTTTTATTTTGCCCAATTCCATCCACTGCACCGAGGCGCTAGAGGCTGCGGAAGGTGAGAAAGAGCGCAGTAAGACTGGCTGGGCGCTCACACAAACAGATAACCTTCGATGGCGGGCTGCGCTCGTCATTGTTCCCTTCTTTTCGGCTGCATCTCCTAAAAATTCAGTACCTCTGCTAATGGTCGTACCCTCCACACCTGGCCGGACAGATCGTCAATCATTCTTCCTCGTTCTGGTGCCCATTGCTCCATTTCAAAAGGCAAGCACAATATCTGTATTTATTCCCAGACTTGCATCTGACGACGCGCGAATAGCCTTATCTCAGGCTACTGTAGCGCCTTCTGCGCCCACAGCGGCAACAAAGAAGGCAGCCCAGAGCACATCCATGACTTTACGCAGTCACCGCTTGGCGCAGGTGCGGCAAGCGAAGGGGTAAAGCAAGCTCACGCAGTGAATCTTGCTGGCCTCGTGTGCAGCAGTGTTCAACAGCTAGCAAGGCCTCACTCTTCGATGCGCTGTGCTTCACCTTCATATGGGCGCATTTGCACGCGATCGACTGTATGCAGCTCTCTGCCGGGTGCATCCTCATCAACATTTTAAATACATATCCTCGAGTACAACCGTGTCCGCCTTCCTTTCTGACCCTGCCTTACATCTGTGGGTATCTAGCATTTGTTCCCAATTGTCACTTTGAATCCGGGCATCTTGTTTGAGTCATTCTGGTGAGCTTACTGAGGCAGTTGTTCAGTAAGAGGTTCGGATGCATTATTCTTCCCATGAGCTCTTCGCGCGCCGCTAGGGATTTTTGCAATAAGGTATTATATAATGCGAATACAAAACAGGATGGCCTTGTAAGGTCATGGGCATGGGGCGCCCTAATTATTTTAGCCCAATACAGTCCCTCACCTCGCATTACATGTCTGCAGCAAAACACAGACAGCCTAAGGGCATGCAGCGCAATGATAAGATCTCAAAGCACCCTCACCTGAATGGGCCTCCCCAGTCGCCTCCCACATCAAACAGTGGGTCAACATGTTGCGTGCACTCCCATACCCCAATCCACTCAGCACCCCTCTTCTCCCCTCCCACCACGATCTGTCCCCTACTCGAACTGTTGGGAATGTCATTTGGGACGCATGGCTTCATCTGTGAAATCAGTTCTTCTCTAGTGCCAGCCAGTCTTCTGGGCGTCCATGCGCAACATAACCACCATAAGCGCAGGCTCTCAAACAGAACAAAACTGTACAGAGAGGGCCTAGTCAAGCATCTACTCGATAGCCATGGACTCACAGCAACAACACTCTGCCCTAGCCCCACCAGCGACCTATCTGGCCCCATCCAGGGTCTTCAGCCATTGTGGGCGTCAAAGTGTCCGCACCCTGACTGCTCCTTTTGGTCCGTGATGCAGATATCCAGAGGTTCTGTCAAGAGTCAGCAAGGAAATACTAGAACTCACGTCTCCTCAGCTCATCCTGAGCACGCAGCTACTTATCTAGCTGATGTTTTTGAAACTCGATGGATTTATCGTCCATTCAGTAAAATTGTGGATGCAAACGACCCTCTGGTTTCAATTGTCTGGCCTTTGGCTGAAGGGTATACCCCAGCACTTGCAGTAGAAGGCATACAGACGTCCTCCTCGCAAACCTTTTCTCATCTTACATCCACAACTCCGATCTACCCCCAGTATTTGATTGACCTCCAGTGGCCCACCTTCATCGATAACTTGGGTGCACAAGCAGACTCTCTTCGCGGGCTGATAAAGCTTAGGTCTAAGAAGGAAGTGCGGTCCTTGGCGGGAGTTGAAAGGCAGCTTGAGCTTGGCCTCATTACCATTCGGAAGCTCTACAGGTCATATCTAGTTGACGTCCAGACCTATCTATCTTCGAAAGGGGATGTGCAGTTTCGCCAAGCAGTAACAATGAAGTGAGTACCCTTCCGGGCCTTCCCATCCAATTTATCCATAGCTCACTATCTACTCAGCACCAAAGCGCACTTCAGAGCGCTGAGCCGGGTTTCCTACTACACCTACTCCAGACCTTTGTCTCGCTGCATCTGTATGTTGATCAGATGGATCCATGCAGAGCGCGCTGGGGCCTTGGCGCCATTTGGCACTCTTCGCATCAGGAGGAGTCTGGCCCAGGAGTATGCTGCCAATATGCTCTACCATTACCTCATTCAAACCAAGAATCCCCGCCCGGCTGCGCTTCTCCAACTTATGCACCAACTGCTTGTGACCCTTGTCAAGCAGAAATTTACGGACCTAGAGCTGATGGCATGCCCAACGGATTATGCCCTATGCATCGGCTCACTGGCTGACGGCGGCGGCTTTCTACTTGCTTCTGCTACCACCAAGACTTGCGCGGTGCTACAGCACAACTTTTATACCGTCATCATCCACTCCACTCGGCTTGAAGACCGCGGCCATCAGCGCTTCATTCCTTTCAATTTAAATAATTTCACAGGGGATCCCGTACCTGATACATGTGAGGCACCTCAGCCTATGGAGGAGCCGGTTGCCACTCCAGATGAGGGGGAAGGCGCTGATGACTGCGTGGTTGCGCAATTCCGGCAAGTAGAAGAAGAGTTTGTAGATGGTCATGATGATGGTATGGATGCAGACGAAGAGTCCATGCTACCGCATGAAGCTGAAGGCGAATGGGACTTTGAAAAAGAAGAAACCTTTCACTCTTACTATCTAAATGGTGACACTGCAGAGAACCTAGGTGACACACAAATTTGGGATGCTATGCGTTGCGCTAATATGAGTGACATATTTAGACACATACCATGACCCACAGTCTTCTCTTCCAGCTCAGCGACGCCCAGCAGAGATTGTATCTGGAAAAGATCAAGCTCCTGGATCATCTTCGGTCTTAAAGTAAGCAAGTTTGTGATGGCTATTGCACTTGCTTACCCGACCGATAGCATTTTGGCGGAGAACCTACCCTACCTTCAGCCTTTGCTCGCCAGTCATCCCTCGTTTGCCACACCATACAATAAAATAAAAACTGCCTGGTTTGGCTCAAGGCCAACAGCATTTAAGGAGCGGAGGGACTACGGTTTTATCTTTGCTGAAGACGGCACTGCCATTACTGTGCGAGATGGTGAAGACATCTCCCAGAGTATCCTGTTCTCAGATCTTGGGAAATTGGCTAAAACTGCAATAGCAGATGTATCAGAGCGGCTAGCGGAGTGCTTACCAGGTGGTTGCCAGGGCATTCTTCAACAGTTTCATGGCATTTTCAGCCAGTTAGTGGATGACCTCGGTAGTCCCGATGCGATTTTCCTTCAGCCTTCCAACCGCATTCTTCTACAGCCGCTGCTGGACATGATGTTACAGTGCCTGATGGATCCAGAAGAACCCACGCATCATATCATGTGCTCTTCCTCTTTGATTAATGAGGAGTGCGCAAGACAGTGGCTGGATTTCAGTGAACGAATTCTTGGTCAAACTATTGTGGCCTTTCTCCTGACATGCGGCATTCCCCCTCGCCCCTGGCAATTTCGATCCTTACTATTCCAGTCAGATAGCAGCACTGGGAGCGCTCGTAACCTCTATCTATTAGGCTCAGAGCTTGTTATAGGGAATCCGGAAGCAAAGCAAATCAATCAACTTACACGAGAGTGCCTGTGGGCATTCCCTCCTAGCCTTGCCCCGCTCATCTTGTTCTACCTGGCCATAGTAAGGCCTTCTGTGATTCATATCTTAGGCCTTATTCATTGCGCCAATCAAGCTCACACAACCCACATCTTTTCACATACATTCACTACAACTCGCCATGAATTCCCCCTCGTTTGGAATGGTAGCGATGTCAACACCGCACTGCGCGCACACACATCCTCCCTCAACGTTCAGTTAACATGCGGTCTTTTACGAAATGCAGTCACAGCAATGTACTACCAGTTCTTCCCCACTCTCTCACAGTCTGAATCCGCAGGTGCTCAACCAGTTCAAAAGGCAGGGAGCAATCGCCATGGGCCTTCAGATCATGTTCCCCCTGCTTTAGGGATGTCATTTGAACAGGCTCGGAAATACATCTCCGCTAGCCATGCCCTGCAGGCGTTGTATGGGCTGCGGCTTCCTGATAATAATCTACCAGGAAGGAATTCAACCATTCTGGGTAACCTGAAGCACACAAGCCTTGCTTTGAAGGAAGCGAGGCTTTGCATCCGCGAAGAATATGACCTATACAGTGCCCACTTGCCTGCTTTGTCAGGGAAGGCAGCTCGCATCTTAGATGCTGCGCCATACGTATGTCTCAAAGAGGTAAGCAAGGAGCCCCAACCGCCAACTCAGCTCTCATATAACTTTACTCAGGGCATGATTGGTGACGAGGTGCTCCGGCGCATATTACATGTGGTTTTATTTGGTGATTCCAAACCCTCTGTTCTTGATCGTCCTCCTCCGGGAGGGTACCTGGTTACCGATGTATCGTGTGCAGTGGTTCTGGTGAGAGTTGGAATTATTCATCCATTTCATAAGACTTAGGTGGCTCCGAAGATCATACAAGCTATTGAAGAGCAAGAGCATGGGTTTGAGTATGATTTGACTCGACAAACAGACATTGACGCCATCATACACTTTGATGAAGTAGAGAAGAAAGCACAAACATTTCTAGCAACGCTGAAAGATGACTTTCCTGAGGCGTGGACTCAGCTATGCTTCCAAGTTCATGGGCTCTACCAGAAGGCGCCAGGTGCAGATGGAGAAAGGTGTTGGGTATTGAGGGGTATTCCTAGATAAATGTTATTATATACGACTAGTACTAGGACATTCACAAATTCGCTTGGTCGCCACCATATCCTGTATGCCCGGGAAACACGACTTGATCTCGGGCATCAAAGGCACCGACCAGCATTCATTCGGGTCGAGGTCAATGTCAGTTAGCTGAGATAATTGGGGCGAGGGCAGAATAATGCTGAACGTGGTATAGAGCGCGGTCGCGCGGAAACGGGAGGTTAGATGGGCGTCAGTGATGTTGGCGGTTTCGTGGATGGAGTCCCAGCTGGCAGTGACCGTCAAAGCGGCGAAATGGGACAGGTAAATGGAACGTACTCGTCGTGGCTGTATATCCTACACCAAACTCTTCTGAAAGATGATTGTTGTCTAGTGTCTGGAATATCCTTGTACGATAGTCGTCAATTAAATGGAAAAGAGCAAAGATAAACATGACCTACCTCGCCGTGCGCAAGCAAGTGCAGCGCAGTAGCAGAATTCTCCATGCCCTCCGCATTATCTTGCAGCGCGGGTACGTCGACCGTATCCCCCACGCTGAGCGCCTTGCCCTGGAGCACCTGCCTCACAAAGATCCCCAAGATCTGCACGCGACCATCATCAGTACCATGTCCAAACTAAGGGGGATAGATGATTTACGCACCCCAATCAACCCGTGCCCCCGTTCTGCTCTCAGTCTCGTTGCTTTCGCCTTTATCACCGCATCCACTTGCGCATCCACCAGACGAGCTTTCTGCTGCAAATGTCCGCCTGTCACCAGGTGGCGGCATCAAGAGGAGTGTCCTTACGATGATCATTGTAGTCAAAAAGACTAAGCACCAGCGATTCCTGAATGACGTTGACCAGGATGAACTCCATCCATATTGGGTTGTATCTGGTGATTAAAGTGAGACCGAGCAAAGTAATATGACGAAAAGTGCTCACGCGCTCTGCTTATGCTCAGGTTCTCGCGAGTTCCTCGCGGTTATTGATGCTGATGCTGACGTAGAGATCAGGAGAGCCTCCGCCAATCTTATTGGCCTTAAGCCCGCGACCAGCCTCAACAGGGACTTGAGCGACGCCAATAGAGACCGGCTCCTTTCTCCGAGCGTGATAGCTCCTCTACACGAGAAGTAGTCAACAATAAAGAAGAACCGAGGAGAGGAAAAGAACGTACAGGTGGGCCTGCTGTGCACGGGACGTCGACTATTGGCGGTTCTCGCGACTCGATGCCTTGTGCATCTGGTCTGCGCACCATGCCAGAGACTAGGTTTTGAGTCCAGCTGAAAGGGCTGGACCAGGATTGCGTGTGATAATCAGTCGCTCTGTGTCGACTGAAGCGGCGGCGCCAGAATGAGGGAAACGTGCGTCGACGCGGTGGTGGGGCACTGCCGTCATGCTGTCCATGTGATTGAGTATGCAAGGTAGACCGTCGTGCATCGTCAAAAAACCCTGGGGGTACTCGACGGCGCGGAGCATCTTTGATCTTTGGAGCTGGTCGTCGTGTAGTGTCAACCTGGGGGAGTAGATCTGTTGTCAATGCGAATTAGGATATCTTTGTATCCAAGCTTACATTGTTGGACATAAGGCTAGCGTCTTTGACGAATCAATGGCGATAGCAGAGTGATATAAGCCAAGCGCTGAAGCAGGATCTCTTCTATCCGCTTATCGAGGTCAGCCACCCACTGTTCAAGATTAGCGTATCCCTCCAGGTTCAGGCGATCGATCTGCATGTATTCAGCACACAAACAACGACGACAAACAATAACTCACAGCAGCTTGAATCTTGCCTAGATGTTCTGAAAACGCCTCGCTCGTATATGTGCAGGTTGCGAGATCCTCGCCTGCTCGAGGAATGTTGCGATACAGGTCGATCACGTTGTTAGTCTTATCCTGTAGGACAGACACAACGCTCGCAAACTCCCGCACAAATTGGATATGTCGGTTTTCGCGTCCGTCGGCACTACTAGCACACCGTGCAGTGTCGTTTTGGTTGACAAAGTAATCCCACTTGATGCTCATACCTGGACAAAAAGCGTCAGATACGATGAACCGACGGTCCGAATCTAAGCACCTTTGGCAACCATCCGCTGAGCCTCGCTCCGGTATTCAGCAACCAACCATTCTATGCCCATATTATTCTCTACCAGATCCAGAGTCTGTCCGTAGGTCCTGACAGTCTCCATGAGACTGACAGCATGAGGATATACTCGCTTCACATCCTTCGCCATGGTCGCAGTCCCTGACAGAATTGAAGAAAGGGCCAGCAGCCTTTGCGGTCGCCTTGAACTCAGACGACGAGTGAGCATTGGAGATGTGTTGCTTGAAAGCCTGCAGGTCATAGTTAGATCGCTATTCCCCGGGTTTGAATCATTGTACTGCTTACAGGACATTCAGTCCAAGGCTCAAGGGACTTGTCGCTACCGGGCTCGACAGTCTCGATGGGAACGTGCTGGTAACCGCCAAGAGGAGCAACAACGGCGGTCTCATTAGCGAGGATGATCTTGTTGGGAGGGTTGGGAGGGAAAAGACCCTGGAGGAGGGCGATAGCAGAGTCAAGATAACAATACCCTCACTGCCCACCTTGGCATGGACGTGGACCTCATGGGTGTCCACAAGGTCGGTCTTCACGTCCGCGATGTATGAAGGAGAAGACGAAAACATGTGGGTCGAATGAAGGAAGGCTCCGAGCTGGTGAGATCTTGCGGACGTTCTTGTCATGGCACAGGATCAGCCGCTTGCGGGTCCCGGCGTGATCTTGTGCCTCATACGTGGCCTTGAGAGTGCGCGTTGGAGCTATGCATTAGATCTATCCAGCCCAAGCGTAAGCACAGCAGCAGAAATGTATGAGAAAACTCACGTCTGCCAACACCATCTTCAGCTTGTCGCCTTCACGCTCGCATGCTTTTCCGGCGTTCCTCACAGACTACTTTTCGTGGGACGCATCATCCCTCGCTGCTTCCTTGGCTGCTGCTTTCGCTTCCTGAAAGGTTACATCAGTGTTGGAAAAGGAAAAAGAAATGCATGCATTTACCTCGTAAGCCGTCTCACGCTCACCATAGTGGTTCTCGAGCAATTCTAGTTGCGTGATAAAGATTGGGGCTGCTGTGGGAAAGAGTGTCAAAGGGACTGGCGGTATAGGTCTTCCAGATGGGTGGCGTTATGAGGGAAGGTATGCCGTGAGTAGTGTCTCTCGTGCTTTGGAGTTCGACTCCTAATGCTAATTCAAGGTAAAGATTAGACAGATACCAAACGCACACCCTTGCGTGCGAATCCGGCCGAATTGTTGACGCCTTCCTCGTTGAAAATATGGCTGTAATCGTGCGTCAATGAGATCATCCCTCCTAGACTCCTAGTACTTACGGCGAGCAGACTTGACAATTAGTGCTCAGCGGGCAGCTTCGTCATGGCATGACCAATTTGCCAACAAGAGAAGGAAATTGGTGACTTCCGCTCAGTGTGGTGCCGGAACACTCCGGCAAGGTCGCTGATTCATAGATTGGAGCGTGAGAGACTGTGAGAATATAGTATCGAATGGGGGAGAAGTAGACAATGGAGGAGAAAGCAATCATGCGGGCGGAGATGCGAGTCCTTTGGATGAGGGCGGAGAGGGTGGCGGACTGGCGTCCGATCAAGCATCTGGTTTCTCAGCATAACGCGTGAACAGTTCTAAGAGTGCAGGGCGGGACAGCGTAGACTAAATGACAATCAGTTTCGCAAAACTAGATCAAACCGAAGAACATACCTTCTGAGTCTGACGCACGAAATGCGCAAAGATACTAAAATCAAATCGCCCGCTGTGACTGGCCATGAGCAATTTGGCGAAGCGCTGAAAGTCAGAGAAGTTAAGAAAACTCTGGCACTTCGTGACGGCTTGCTCCGCCTGAAGCAGTAGTTTTAGCTCCTCTGTCGAAGTGTTGACATTTAGGCGTCTGCAGAGCTTCTCCACTTCATCAAAATGCAATTTCCGGTCGCTCGACTCATCCGATGCCGTCCAGTACTGCTTCTCCCAGATCGCATGTCTGATCTCTTCATTTCTGAATACATCCTCAGCTGAAGCGATCAAATGACGGTTTTTGTAGGCACCATTGAGAATGTAGACGGTGGTAATCCATCTGTCTTCATAATCCTGCGCGAGTTGGAATCGTTTGGCAATAATAGCAGGCGTCTGATGAGAAACGAAGCTCCTTGATATTCTCGATAGGGACTGCGAACGGTCCAGTAGGTCAAAAGCCCAGAGGAGAGTTGCAGTTAAAAGTACGTACTTCTTGGATTGCCTCATGATCTGGCCTTGATCAGGATCGAGTTTGAATATATGATATATTTGTACGGTAGGGGCGCGTTGTGGGGTGATATTGATCGAAGTGCTGAGTGAGATAAGGAGGCTGCGAGGCTCAAGAAAAGCAGGGCATTCCTCACGAGCCTTGCATGCACATCAGTGAATTGAGTCGTCCTTGATATTGTAGTCGTGGGAAGTATAGCATGATTTAATTATGCTCTCGCCAGCATCACCAAAATTGCCGAACTCAGACACCACGTGATATGTGGCAAATTTAACCACGTGTGCGATACGCGTCAGCTATTGTAAGATACACCAGCGATGTTAACGTGTCAGCACGACACCTGTCCGTCAGACTCGCTGTCGGATAGATACTACCCTGTCTTTTGTGTACCTGTCAGACATCTGCTAGATAGTAAGATGTATCGTAGTAGTACATATCCAATACATTAAGTGCTAGTTGTTATCATAGGGCCCCATAACCTTCCTGGGCAAGTACATCATCATCAAGCTCTTCGCCGTCATCAGCTATCACTCTGTCCTCAACGTCCTCGTCACCTTGGCCATCCTGTTCCTCGTCTACCTCAAGCCCGCCATCATCATCCTCTGACTCTGAGCCCTCACCTTCCACACCTTCTTCAGAGTCTGAACTGTTGCTGCCGGCTTCGTCGTGTCCCTCGCGCTGGAGAAATTCATCCCAGTCACGCGTGGCCTTGTGGCCTACTCCGCCACCACGAAATCGCATAAACATGTCTCTATCAACAAATCTGTAAATAGGTAGTGTCAGAATGAGTCCGAGGATGAATTTAAGTGCACTTACATATTTACATAGTAAAAGCGCCAGTCCGAGTGTTCCTCACACGAGTCACTCTTTTTCCGTGCAAATGTTGGTCCAAGTAATGTGTTAGTAGTTTCGAAATTGAATGCAGGAATTAGGTGAACGCCGCGGACAACTGAATTGGGGTCCAAGAATCCGAATGCATCAGGTAGGCTGTCTTCGTCGAAAAATTCGAGGCGCTGCAGGCGTTTTGCAGCCCAGCCTGCGGGTGAGACGTCACGACGGAACCAACGAACAAACAAACAATCGATGCGGGTTGGGGGAGTACACGGTAAAGTGCCGTGTCCACGGTGCTCGACATTCACATGAAAAATCTGTACGACACGTGCGTACCAATATGGGTGAGTGCGCTCATCTTCATGAGATAGCACCATAATATCAGCGCGGGTCCTGGGATTGATTGTATCTTGCTCCCGTCGAAGGTCATACGTTGTATAGTTGACACGGAGGATGTTGTGTTCGAAAATCTTGTTGTCGATGATGAGCACTGAGGCACGATCATCGTCGGAGAATTCGTGTTCATCACCATCGTAAGTAATGTTACGAAGTCGAGCAAGGAGGTGATCTTTTAGTCGGGGTATAAAATTCTAAATCAAACATGAGTGGCCCACAACAGTGATACAAGGTACATATAACTGACCTTGATTGCGGGATCGTCTCCTAGGCCGCCTAGCCAAGACGTGAGATCGTGACTTGTTCGCGAATTTTTTGCGATGTAGTAATGGTCCGATGGTGAAGTACGTTCACGCTGACGCCGTGGCTGAATTTCGTTTTCGCTGGCAAAGTGCTCACGAGCAGCAATGACTTTCTCGCAGAATCGCTCAATGACTTCTTGTGATGCGATACTTGTGATCATTGTCTTCTTGGTCTTCGAAGTCCGTGGGTACCGTCGTTTTGAGCGTCGATGCTGCAGTTCACCCTGGTAAGTTGAAATGTGTCAGTTAAAGTTGATTAGACGCAAAAACACTTACTGGTTGGGTACTATAACTATCCGTGGTCCCCATACGCCGAATGGTATTCGGATAATCACCGAGAGCGTGATATTTGTATGTCTGAAGGTTGAGTGACTTTTGCTTCGCTCCGGCAGACCTTCCTAGAGCAGTCTGAGGGTACTTAGCAGCAAGTGCAGCCTCGCGGCGGCCACGAGCTGCATGTTCGTGGGGCAGCTCAGTAGTGTGATAATGAGTGCATACCGTGCGAGAGAATTTACGGACTGTCTGGCCTAGCACAACAGTTGCTGAGTCAAAGAACGATAGCGTGTCTTCGGTGTGTAAACGGAGCTTCGCGTAAGCGTGCCAAGTCGCCAAGTCGAATAATAGATCCAGTATGATTTTGTTGAAGGGTTGGTCTTCGTCTTCCTCTGGAAGAAGACCTTCAAATACCGGTATTGCACACTAGAAATGGTCATTAATAGATTTGACGAGACAAAACAAAACCTACCTGTAGAAGGTCTTCGAAGTCACGAGCGGCAAGTCGTTTCATCGCCGAGGCATTTGCATGGAAACGTCGAATAGTTCCCCTTCCGAATGTGGGTACATGCCGGTATCTGTGACAGTAGTCAGTACTGTTAATCCACGAAAAATGAACTCAAACTCACCTCCAGTTAAGACTGTTGACCGCCGATCCTCCTGCAGCGAAGAGGATTCTCATCAGATGGGCAAATATTGCCTTCCAGACGCCCAGCTCGAACTCATGGAGTAGGTCCACAACGAACAGCGTGAAAAGGTTGAATAAAAATTGGAAAAGACGCTCTGAAAAAGCATTCTGAGAGTAATGTGAGTTAAGCATGCAGCATTAGGTAGGAGAAACACTTACTCGAGTCGGAACAAGTGATTGTGGGCCTAATATATCTTTGACATGCTTGCCTTCGATCCCTGCACCCTTCCGAAAGATGAGCTTCCGAGCTTTTTTGATTTTTTGACGGCGAGCTTCGTCGTCAACACGTGCAGTTGCCTCGCGATGCGTCATGTCAGACTTTGTTCCCATCCTCGGAACGTTAACCTTCTGGACAAGGCATCGAGGGCACGGATACTGGCCAAGGAACTTGATGTTTGCAAGAAGAATCCTGGTAAGATGCGTAAGACAGTGTTGTAAAATCAACAGACCACCTACTTCTCCGGATAATCAGCAGAATAGCTGAAAAACCGTGGAAAGACCCTTCGTGTCACTCCATCACCGCAACGAATAACAATACCATGTTTGTATGCGCGCATGAACTCCTCATCAAGAAGGAGCTCCCATATCGCGTGCATTAATTCACGCTTGCAATGGGTATGTATCTCTGCCGTTGAGGCTTCACCAAAGACCTTCCGGTACCTATCTTGAAAATCATCGGGAAGCTGTGTTCATAGCCGCTGGTTGATTAGTGCACTGGTAGGATTAATGGGACATGACATACCGTTGGAATATAAGCTACATGGTGGCATGCGGAGGCAGTTGGCTTGCCGCGGGTGTACTTCGATTGGTTTCCGAAGAAGAGGTAGAATGGCCAGAGGGACGCATCACCAAAACTAGCAAGGTGCGTTGCATCGGACCACATCATTAACGAAGCCACTACATGTTCGAGGTTATCGTCAGCTGCACGAGGAAGAGAATTGACTTCGGCATAAGCCTCTCGCATCGCAATGGAAGAGTAGGCTTCAGAAAATATCTCGATGTTGCGTCCATCGGGGGTTTCCCACATTTGCTGAAACGGGGTCATATGGAAAGTCGACGAGGCACTGTCTTCGAAAACCGAGGTGATAATGTTAGTGAGGGATCGGTGGTGTACTCCCTCGATTTCGAGCTGAGGGGCATCGGCTTCAGAGTGCCACTTTCTCTTCTCTTTCGGCAGAGGAATCTTCACTGATGACTTCTGCCAGCCATCGTCTGCACGGAATGGATTTGAGGTATCTGCAAGGTAATCTTCAATTAGCTTCTTCTCACGTGGGATGCTAAATACACGAGCGTCCTCTCGTTTATAATGATCGTCGTCAAGGAATGTTGTCAGACGGTGCATTTCTGCAGCTGACTTGGTGGTCGAGCCCGAGTATTGCCAACACATTAGCAGGCCCGCTGTTGGGCTGCTGAAGGCATCGTATAGATTGTCGCGCGTGATCTCGGGTGGTGGTAATGGAGCGCCAGTCGAGCTTTTTGATGCCTGCTCGGTTGCATTGCCTGCGGCATCCAATGTGGGAGCGTCACAAACACTATCAAGCACACCTCCACCCCTGGGAATTAAGGTAGGACGTGTAGGGTAGATGCGGTAGAGTCCCATCGAATCAGGCTTTGTTGTGAAAGGGAGGGGCAGGGGGTGCTGATGGCCATCATTCTCGTTAATTTGCAGAGCCTCGGGCTCTACAATGGGCTCATTCGCCTGAGGCATATGCTCGAGATGGGTCGCAGAGCCTGGAAGATAGTCGATATAGCGATCTGGCATACGTATCCTGCGACCGGAGCGAGCAGATCGTATAACAGGAGCAGGGACTGGTTCTGGCAAGGGAGGTGAATGACGGGGTGAGGCATTAGATGGTCCAGCAAGATTGTAGTCATCAACCTTGAGAATTCGTGTCAGTAAGACTTGGATACACAGTGCCGCAGACTCACCTCCATGTCATCAGCGAGCACCATGCCAATGTCATCGTGCATCTCATAATGGCGTACTTTTCTTTTCTTCGTCTTGGACTTGCCAAGGCTTTTCTTGAATGCGCGCTGTTCAGCGCATTGAGCCTCGTGGCTGCTCAGACGTTTCTGAGACGAAAATGTCTTGCCGCAGCCTAGACAGGTAAGGTCGTCCATCAGAGGTCTGAAGGGGTGTGCTGGTCTTGAAGTTAGAATGATACTTCATGTCAAATATAATCAGCGCACGCACCTAGCTAAATACGAGAACCTGTGCTTGAATGGCGAATTCCATAGCTGATTTGCTTACATGGAGGATCAGACGTGCTTGAATAAATTTGTTATATCTCATGATATATACGGTACAGAAATTGGTGTACAGGAATGTGGAAATAGTGTTACTCAATGGTACGTGGGATGAGAAGACTGCGAACATGTGCGCGGGTGCAAGGACGCGGAACAGATGCAGAACATGCTGAAAAGAATGTCAGATTGATCACTCGACTACTGGAAGACGTTTGACTTACTTGGGATATGAAACACAGCAGTAGTGTTGACAAGGCTGGATAACACTGGAATAAATGCACGGGACCTTGTGGGAATTCGGCCTGTGTCGACGAATCGACGATTTGATCTGTGTAGGATGTATTAGGGTTAGGGTTAGCAAAACGTACCTTCAATATGTTTGCCTAGTGTCGAACGGCAGTTTCGAGGCTGAAAAATAAACGCCAACTTCAACCTACGTTGTGCAGTATACCGCCAACTGGTAAATAAATTAAAACATCTTCGCAACTCAAGGTACCACCGCCAATGCCATCAGTTAAAAAACGGATAGTGTCTGGTGCACCCACCACATCCTGAGTACTCGCCGCTCGGAAGATTATCGAGAAATTCGTCAGGAACTAAGTCCTCGTCTCTCCCAGGAGCATCCGCTGCAGCATTGCGCTATATATGTATATATGAGACACCCAAGAGAGTGGTAAAAATGGAGTGGGCGCACCTCTTTAGCCTTCGCGAAAGGAACGTCGACGACGGGTGGTGCAGCATGATCGGGTCGCCAGGTGAGTAGGTGTCGTACGTGGGCTGTGAACGCTGAGTGATGTGGACGATGGGGAAGGAGAGCGTTTACGCCTGAGACAGGATCATATGGGTTGTACATGAACTGTACGCCAATGGTTTTGTCGAGGAGCGTCACTTGACCAACGAAGAACCGGACGGAGTTCAGCCAGGGAATAAGGACGCGAGAGATAGCGTCGCGGAAGCGCAAGTGACATGACGAAGGTTATGGGAAGGGGGGTCGCGTGCAGGCGAGTCAAATGGGCAGGCATGAGTTGTTCTGGGGACAAGTTGAGTTTGGCGCGATACAGGTCTGTAGGGAACGCGTGAGGCAATTTTTCAATGTCGACCTTTTCAGTGACAACGAAGCGGCTGCTGCGCTGTTTGCGTGGAGGCTTGCCGACGATTGGGATTGCATCGCGTGGACCAGAACGTAAGCGATCCAGGGTGTTGGCGCGTGGAGGAGTGGAACAACCATCTAATCCAATGGTGCTGCGCTCTGGAGAACTATATGGGCCTGAGCGGGGTGCTAGGTCAGAAGTGGGGTCTGAGCTAACGACAACGATGGGGGGAATGGGTGATGGGTTCCCTGTGGAAGTGTACCTGCAATCAGGTGCAGAGGGAGTGATAGATGTGGAGGAAGCAGGACGACCAGATGACGAGGCTCCTTGTGAAGATAGAGATGAGTGCCGGTTGCGCTGGTGTTGGACATGGAGACTGCGCGAGTGGCCTCTGGGAGATTTGGATTAGCCTAGCCAAGGGGTGCATGGAGGAGGGGAAGGTGATACTCCCTGCGTATCTCGGGGCAAAACGGGCCATACCGGACTTTGCAGGGAGAGAGGGAAGGAACCAAGAAAGAAAAAAAAAAGAAAAGACATACCAGCAGAGGGTTCTGGACGGGGGCGGGTTCTCAATCACTGGTGCCAGCGCGCCGACTTACAGCACAACCGGCACCTCACGAAGTGTTAATATAAGCTAGAGAGGATAAAATTAGTACATTGACTGCTGCAGGATCGTTGAGTCTGCGCGGAGACCTCCAGCCGCAGCATGACCCTCACCCACAGCAGTCAAAATATGAATAAAATAAATTGAGTGTTCCCAGGGCGCCCTGGTGCTCAGGGACCGAGCCTCACAAGTTAACAGCGGACGTTTGCAGATCAGCGCCTAAGCAACTGAAAGTGTCCGCATGATGCGGAGCTGCACGTAGTGCGTGTATCGGTGGCTGGTATGAGCGGACGCCCTATGGTACTAACTGAGGAGCAAGAACGAGAACTTTGAAAATTTTGATTCCAACAGATCACGTGACTGACGGAAAATTCCGGTAAAGCCAAGATGGCTCGATTTTATCCCCAAACTTTAATCTTATAACAAATCCTCATCATGCCTAATATCATCAGTACCGCAGAGCCCCTTAATCTGGCCAACAGAACCAAATTTTTCCACGACAATGTCGTCGTCATCGAGGTCGATAACCTTCTCGCCGGATGGCCTACTTACACACTCGATTTCACACCGGAGCATCCAGGACCACTGGTAAGTCAATTTTTATTGTTTGAATTGCTCAATATAACTGATATCTACATAATAGAAGCTGATTTTACGCTTGAAGGACGCGTCAAATTTTCGATCGACCGAAGACGACGACAGCGAAGATGAGGCAGAGGGAACAGGGAAAGTCAAACCTAAAGTTGAAAGGTAAGTACTGGCCGCATTCTGCCTCTCATTTATATACTAACATACTCTGACTTTTCAGTGAGTCACCACCAGTCGAGGACGAAGCAGACGTCACCATGGTCTGTGAAGCAACCTTAAAGTACGTTTTTTCTTGCATATCTTGATTACTCGTTGACCTCAACTATAGGGATGTGCCTCTGTGCTTGACCGTCAAACCCGTGCAACTACATGGCACACCTAAGGACCCTCCTTCGATCATCCTCTTACGGACGAAGTTTGAGCAGGAGAATGGCTATACTTGGCCCCCTCGTCGTGGCTTCAGGAAGATGTCTGCAGAAGAACCTCTCAATCACGTTGACGCGTTCATGACACTTCCCGCTGCTGTAGCAGCATTAAAGTTAGAATGAATCCGGTGATTATTTCTTGCACTCTTTCTTTATTGTATTACTATACTTGCTGTCTCACTTCACATGTGTCCTGCTTCACGCACTGTTGTTATATCACCTCCCATGGACATTGTCTCTTATAGTACTTACAGTAATACCATTAAATTGTATTTCTTGTCATCACAGTATCATTGCGCAAATCATGCAAAGTTCGCAATCACGTGACTTACCCCAAACGACATGCCCCAATCCGCACCATACCCCTTGACCCTTACCCCACCACTATGGCACGGCGTCGAAAGCGATCTCCAAGTCCCTCAGCGTCTGAGACAAGCTTACAATCATCCTCAAGTGATTCCGAGGACCAGTCTCGACACTCGCACAAGAAGGGGTCCAGTAAGAGGAAGCACACTGCCCATAAATCAAAGAAGAAAGATTCTAGTGCTGATCCGCATGAGGAATATATCGCAGCTGCGCGCTGCATTACGCGTTGCGTTGACATGTTCTGCAAAGTCGACAAAGTCATCGATATTGGTACATTACTAAAACAGCACGAACTCGCAGATGCTGGACACTTATCCGAGGACGAAGATGAAATAGCTCATCGAGAGAATCAACTATCAAAATTGTATGTATGAATGCAGATTATCCTACTGATGCGTGTGGAATGATCTTTACTCCATAGGTCTCAGAAAACCCGGGACAGATACCAGCTGAACTACAAACGCTTGCTCGAGCTCGCACCTGGATTGAAAGCTTTCATAAGCTCAAAAGACCAGAAGAAGACATCGGAACTTAGGAAAATTATTAGAAAGGTGAGTATATGCGCATATATGCGCATACATACACCCATTGATGCTTTTTCGTGTACGCTTTAGATGGAATCAACCATTTCAGGTACTCGCTCGGACGATTCAACACGTTTGAAGATCCAGATTGGTAAATATGTTGCTCTGGATCCAGCAAAACACCCCGTATCTCCACCTATCGATGATGGCAGTGGTCGCAGATCTCATATGGGCATAAACCATCCGGTATTAGCCCGTTTTCTTTGTCCGATCGGCGAGATCGACAGATTCAAAGAGGACCCGAAGGCGTAGGGTTCATTTGTTTGCTGATTAGTATCTGCACTACTGACTTTACTTTAGGACAATCGAGTGCCTGCAAGATGGCAAAATTAAGCTGACGGCAGACGCATTTCCAGCATTCCTCTGGAAAGGTGATCTACCTGGGGATGACTATGACCCGAACGACTTGATGGACGGTTTTCTGGAGGGCTTCACCCTCGAACGTGTGGGTATATCCATGGCTTGCTCCTTTATGCCTCTCACTTTATTTGCAGACGATGCGACATATATTCACGGGACCTTCTACCGCTTTGGGCTCCCAATCACGCGGGACGCGAGCATGCAACGCTGTTTTGCATGGTATGACCACTGTTGACGCTGCGCACATCGCATATGGATGTGTCCAGGTGCGTTTGTAATCTCATCACTCATAACTCACGTTGAATTCTCGAAGGTGCGCTTTGGAATTAGCTCGAAAAACGTCTGGACCGAGGTGGACGGCGACTTCAAGTATCGTGACTTCTATCGCAACATTGTTGATTTTATCGAAGACTTGCCCGACGAGGACAGGGAGCAACTATTGAAGAACTGGAACCTGTAAGATAACCTCTTCATTTTATTATTGTACTAACAGTGCATAAAAAGCAAACTGTTCAATAACGAGGGCGGGCGTGACAGGGCAAAAGACGACACTGACGACTCTGGACCCTCGAATGCTCGTGATGGTAGCAGCGACTTGGCTCGCTTACGTGCACAGATGGCAGCACGCAGATCTGCAGCCAAGACTTCCACTACAAACCCAGAATGCACAGCTGCACCTCCTGCAGTAGCTCGTCCACCACCTGCTCAGGAAAACCCTCCTCCAACTACACCCCCACCTTCTTCACCGGCTCACAAGCTCTTGACCCCACGTCCTATTCCACGTCCACGGCCTATTCCACGGCCTGCAAAAACACCAACACCAGCACGTCCATCTACTGTTCAGGAGGACGCACCTGCACCACCTCCAAGGACACCTTTACTGTCTTCACCAGTGCGCAATGTCCCACCTTCGCGGCCAGTATTGAGTCTGCCGGCCAAGACCACGTCACGAGCACCAGCTGAAACTGAGTCGCAAGCCAGTAGCGATAAATCTGACAGCGACTTAACAGAGCCCGATGAGGAAGATGACGAACCTCGGCAGAAGCGGAGGGCATCAGCCAAGCAAAAGGGGAAATCCAAGGCAGTTGAACCTATTTCGCATGAAGAACCTGAACCTCCAGCCCGTCACAAACGCAAGGCAGCTGCTCCTACCAAGAACACCGCCACTAGATCGACGAAGAAGCAGAAGAAGAAATAATGATCATTCTCATATCCGGAACACCTCGTTTGTACTGTTTTCCTGTCGCTTTCCATTGCTCTATCATTTCACTGCATGCACTAGCCACGTCACTGTATGTCTTACAATTCCTCGTTCACACTGTAATACCTTGTACTAGATGGCAGACAATCAATTTCGTGTTATATCGCAATGAGAATGGAATGTCTGAATATCTCTCAGTGGCGCTCAATATCTGATGAAGTCTGAGCGTCACACCATTTCTGAATGCTGGTGACGACGTCAACCTCGACTGACGTCGTTACTAGCGTTCCTATGGATGACCAGACATGGTCGGATTAGGGCTGACACCGTCGATATGTGTGATACCTTAGCCATTGTCAGATACTACTATATCTAACCATATCTGAATCGAGCAATTTTGGTGATGAGATATTAGTTTCTATACAGTGAGAAATTTGAGTTGTACATACATACCCATGGATGCCCGCAAATCCAGCTTAACATGAACAATCCCATGAAAATATGCGACATTCCTCCTTTGTAGCCGATTAGGGGTGGTAGCACACTCATGTCAATTGTTTTGAGCTTTGTCGTCTTGCCTAATCTCGTTTTTGAGTTACAATATTATTTAAGACCTTCTCTTGGAAAGTTTTTTTTGGCACTTATCAGCAGATCTACAATACCAGTAGATTTTGCCACAAAGCCGTGGCATTTCCCCCTTGCAGCCGATGAGCAGTGGTAGTATATTTAATCCAACTATTTCGTGCATTGTGATTTGCCTTATTTATGTGTTGAATTACAATGCTATGCAAGACCTTTTCGTGAGAAGGGGTAGATTTGGTGTTGGACAACAAATGTATTGATCGGTTGTGGCGCAGTAGCGTGCATCTCGCCACACTGCTCGAAACCCGCCTTTGACCCAGGCGAATTCGCCTGTGAAACCCTCTGCACGAAATTTTCTGAGCAGGCCAACAATATTACTAGTGTCGGGAACGAGGACAGAGGCAGTGTCACGGTTGGACATGCTGCAAATATTGCATGTGCAGATGAAGGAATCGCAATCTCGGCCTGCTACCGCCGACTCGACATCCACGACACCTGCTCCTGGTACTGGTACTGGTACTGCCACACCTGCAACCGCACAGTCACCACACATCCCATTGTGGGCTCGTTTCGTACTGTTTTTATGTTGTGCATCTCCTCCGCATGCCAATGATCATTAATACACTGCAGTATATTGACTGTCGACTATTTCCGAGTCACCCTCGTCCGAGTCTCTTTCTTCACGTCTTTTGTTACTTTATCAAACTTGTTTCTTCGTCGTGATATGGGTGCAATGTATTGAATTCAATATCCACGAAAGCCCGGGACCAGCCCAGGCTCCTCCATTTATCGATAGACATCCTCAGAAATACGTAGGTATCGGCGAGCTGGTTTGCACATGGCCGCAACCTCTGTGTGCTTCACATAGTACCCCAACCCTTTCCTCCGAGTCGGACTCGTTCTTTCCGAACTTCGGAGTGATGTTTTAAACATCAGCATCCTGTTCCAAAGGTTTCGTCAGTCGTAGAGATGGATTGAACACAACAACGACTGAAACGTACCTTGACACATGTGATCTCAATTTTTGTGAAGTATAAATAAGCATGTGCACGGTGAACCTAAGCGAAACAACTACCAACGCATGTGCATGCACGACCCTCGGTAGTCTCGTCAAAATGCATATCTTACAATATCTCTAGCGTCCTGACGTCCATCATGGTGCGAACAGAAGCCACATCTTTGACTTGTGCTATGATATTGCAGTCCGGACTCCGATGTGATTCTCTTGTATTCTCCACCGGGCTGCTGCGCTAGCAAAAACGCACTGAAAGGTTGTCCAAGGCACTAACGCCCGCTCGCTCGCCGACTCCGAATGAACCGTCTCTTGTACTCCAGGATTGGGGCAAACGGAAAACGAGTCGCGAGGCTGCTGGTTGAGACGAGACCCGAAAAATTAGATAATGAAGAGATCTAGCCACGCTCTCCGTCTGCCTATCGTCTGGTGAGCCAGACAGCTCGAGGAGGGAACGATTCTACGGACGGACGAGTAGGAACGTTCGCCGAGTGCACCCTGCCCCCGAGAACTGAACCAGCTTGTCTTCCATGGTGATCAGCAGGTTATAGGGCCCGTCTGTCTTGACATTATACGTGAAACACGTCTCCTCGTCTTAATTGTATCTCCGTCTGATATCTGTGACAGGGAATGCAATGCAATGCAGATGCAGCCGGCGATATGCGAAACGGGGAGTGCATGTAGATGATGGTAAGCGACAAGTGACGATACCAAACGAACATGGAGTTGAGTGATGGTTGGAGTTCAAGGTTATCATTCTTGTTGATGCAGGAGGTATCGCTCCACGCCCAGCGATACCCTGAATCACGGGCGATTTTGCAGAACGACTGCAACTTCGTAATTCCGCCATCTGCCTTCAGCTCGTACACAACCTTGCCCCGGATATCGTGCAGTAGTGGTTCCTTGTCTCCCCACCTGTGTGATAGCATGACGCAACGGAAAAACATCTCCACCACTTCCTTAATGCTCTGCTTCGGACGGACTGAGATAATACTGGCGCAGCCCTGGAGAAAGAGTCATTTCCAAACTATTTCATGCATTATTCAGGGCTTACTTCATACTTGGATACCACCAGCAGTTTGCAACCTAGAGAGCATGAATTCGATGGCCGTGATGGCTTCGTCATAGCGTTGTGCGTCATGAAGGGCTGCGTGCTTCAACTGGTACCCGCGATAGGACGAGGGGTTGAGATCGATGACCTACGGGTCAACGAAATTAGCATTAGTAGGGAAATAAGAAATGTCAGCGCACCTTTTGCGCATTGAGAAGTGCTGCATTGCGGGTTCTCATTTTTATGGTGAGGATCTGCATGAAACATAGTCAGCTCGCGCCAAAAACTAAGGGTAAAAACACATGCATTAGGCAAAGTCTCCTCGGGTACTGCCCACTTTGAGATCGTTTTATCGCTTCCTCCGCTATAAGGGAGAGGGCTCGGTGAAGACAGGCGGTGGTATGGGCGGCATATCGAGGATGAGGATGGAGGTCAGCGAGGTAAGCAACAAGGTCGGATGTGATAGCCGGGATGAAGGTAGACGACGACGGCGATGCTGGTATGGAGGGAGGATTGGATTAGACGGCACCTACCAGTAGTAAGGGCTGTGCAACCACGTTGTTTGGCAAATCCCTTGGATCCAAACAACCGCCTGTCTAAAAATATCATGCACTGCAGAATAAATTACCCAATGCATGCATTTCTTCTGTTGCTTCTTAATACACCGGAGTGCGACCAAACTTGTATGCTGCTATGTAGTGGGATTCAGGGTTAATGTACATTGGAGTCTGGCACATGCGCCGCTAGGATGAAGCAACAATGCCACCATGTAAAGTATCATACTTGGGCTCGAAAAGAGAGAAAAAACAATCATTCTCGCACTAACTATCCTCGTGAAAGCGCCCGCAGGGGAAACAGATCCCATCCAGAAATTTGTTCCAACGACCCTGGATTGACTCCGAGTCATCCAGGGCGTGAGCGACTGGCTGTCCGGACGCCAGGTGTGTTGGAGGAGCATCTTCCTTCTTCTTCTTGATTTTGCGTGGCATGGCCACATATCCCTAACGCGCCCGAATAAGAATAATAAAATTGAAAATATGAGATAGAAACATGCCTGAAAACCGCGCACGGCGGATACTGTAACGATGTCGGGAGATCGCATTATCGGAGCGACCGTGACAGCATCCTTCAGTTGATCAGTGTCCTGAGCTGAACGTCGAGAGCCGGCGGAGATGAGGGAGTGAGCGCGATTCCAGAGAGAACGGCACGCATGCGATGACTGGCCTGCCGACGGACGACGTCGAGATATGGCATGCCAAAGACGACGAGCCGATGAGGGCTCGTCGTCTGGGGGCGGAATTGAATGAGAGGACTATGATTGGGTATGATTGTCAGTACTAGTATTTTGTAAACAAAAAGTGATAGCCTTACCGTGAAAAACTCAGTGTATGGATCATCATCTCCTCCCGATACTAGTTGCGTTGCATCGACCTGTGAAAATACGTCAGTGAGGTAGGATATGAAGTTCGATCCACCAACGTTAAGGGAATCGGATGGAGCGGGGGACTTGGATTGAGTTCCCCGTTCTATGATGGGGCTCTGATGACGATCGGGGACCGTGAACGTATTGGCGTCCGGCGGATCGAAAGTGACAGACGCAGTAACCGTTCTCGAGCAACAGAACATTACCGAACTGCAGTAGAGTCTTGGACGAGTGGACGAGTCTTGAATGATTAGATGTACCTGGTCTTCTGTGCGCGGGAACATGTTACCATAATGAAGTGCTGATGTTTATCGGAGAACGGACCGACCAACTCACCAGCGCCACCAACATTACAGTGCCGCCCATTCCTCGTTCTCAGTCAGTCGTAGCTGCCTTTCACTGTCAAGCTCCCCACGAACACGTGAAAGCTCTTCTTCCAGGTCTCGAACCCTTCGTTTGCGCTCTTCATCCATGCGAGCGTTCGAGAAGGTGGTAGGTGAATGGTGGAAGCTCGCAGGTGGAACGAAGGTTTGAAGATCCTTCTGGGGGGGTCGAAAGCTGCATGCCGTAATCCATGATAGATTTCGCGGCTGAATGGAAACCATGGTGCTGCGCGAGGGGCGAAAGGCACGACCACGAAATGACTTCGGACGCAAGACGAGCTGGTTTGTAGTCCCAACATTGTGCCAGTAGACTGAGTGGCATCGACGACCATGTTGCGCATGTTACGGGACTGCAGTTCTCCTATCTTCGTTGATGAAGAATTCGAGGCCATATTGAGGTAAATCAACCTTCAACAAGGAGGTACTATGATGAGATCGTTCGAGTCACGGAGAGCGAAAGACACCTTCAGGAACACGAGAGTGCATTATTTTAGCAGCAGAACGATGAAAACGACAGTGACTTACCTGATGGTCACAGAGATTTCCGCGCGTCGCGTACTCCATTCCAGGAATTTTAGCTGGAACAATGTCTAGAATTTGTTGTAGGTTGATAGGTGAGCGTGTACCAGCAAAGTCACAACAAAGACTCACATTGCCGAAAATCGATCGGTACGTGGGATGTTGCACAATCTTTGAAGGGAGCCTACCCAGCTGTGTCCCGCCGACAAGCAAGCATCCACCAATCAAGTTGAAATGCATGTCTTGCGGTGATTGAGAACTTGAAGGTGCAGTCTGCGCCACAAACCAGCGAGAATTCGGAGCCGGCAGTGCCCTCCAAGGAGTTCCTGGTCGGTAGCTGCCCCATATCATTGCCATCGCGCAATCAAGACCCGCCTTGTGCAACTCTGCGTATTGACAAATAGCGGGTTCTAATGTGTGACAGCATCTCATGTCCCGCTCTAGCAGTAGCTCAGAATGTTGGGGAAGATCGCCTAGTTGGCTTGGAGTGTTGTCATAGATCATGACCGCACAGTATGCAAATATCTTGTTGTCATCGTTCGACGTCAGGAGCAGTGAAGTATCTCCGTCGACATCGAAGGTGCTTCGACAGGTGACTGCCATATCACGAACGCGCCCTTGTAGTTCTCAGCTGACCATAGAAGCTGCATGAATTGAATCAATGACGGAAGCATTATCCCCAGATCCAGGAGGAGGGACCGGCAGAGGAGGTACGCTGTGCGCCCTCTCTTACAGCTGAGCAAATAGCTCATCACCACACTGTCTTGCGTCAGCCTCACGACGATCTTCGTTTTGGAGGAAGACATGCTCTCTTTCTTCTTCATCGTGTCGGAATTCTTCTTTACGACGGTTTTCAGCTTCATGAGCCTGTGAACCACCCGGGTGAGTAGGCCAAGTTAAACTCATTTGCCCTGTCCCCAGGTGATTCCGGAGAGACATTATCAACTTTGGAGCGCTTAGGCAAACCTTTGACGAGCTACCTTCTCTTTCAGCAACTTCCAGGAGTCTTTTGAAGGTTTCGTCCAGAGGTGCTAAGGTAGAATCGGAGTGGATCCTGAGCATTGCAAGTGCGTGCCACTGTGCAAATTGATAGAGTAAAGATTGCACAGCCCTTCAAAGGCTGGGATAGCGCACTGGAGGACATGTGAGGGAGCTGTCCCGCCAACTAAACAATGCAAACAAACCTGTAAAATGTCTTCAAAGTCGCGAGCTGCCACAAACATGTGAAATAGGTCGAGGCCTAGCAGTCCCAGCTTATCTACAAATTGATTCTGTGAACACTGATTTGAGCGGATCACCAGTATGAAGTCTGTCGCGCCTACCAGAATAGGAACCCACAAGCCTTACTCCGAGAGTGTCTTCAACTTTTCCGCTGTCTCAAGTATTTCCCCATCAATAGATGAACTTCTGAGCATTGACGACCTGCGTTGGTCGGTTAGAGGGGTGTATAACGCGGTTGTTTGGCGTCGATACATTGTGCTCGGCACTATATACAGGCCTGGGACTAAGATTTGGCGGGTTCTGATCAAGAGCTGTTGACCATATGTTCGAGGGCCCAGAGCCGAAAAGAAATTTAGACGGGGGTGCAATAGGCTGACGGCGGGGGATCGTGCAATGTCACCACCAGCTTTGGAGAAACTGCTTAATAAATCTTGAGCTGTCATTTCTGTGAAGGCAGAAGGTGGCAATGGCGGGGCCGTGCGGTCTGGGGACACAATAGAGGATGCACTGGGGCTGATAAAGTTACCATTTATCATGCTTGGTGGCAATACAGGTGTCGTCGGCAGGGCCGATACCACTCCCGCCGGCGAAGTGGAAGCCCTAGAAATCATATCAGATGCATAGAAATGAAACAGGCATTCTTTTACCTTGGATCCCAAACTACGACGTCATCGTCCAGTTCATCACCTTCATCTTGTACCTCAGCGTTCAGTACGGTTCTGAATGCATCTTCAATCGGATCATCGTTGTCAGTACGTCCTGTATCAGTCATAGCATCCTCATCCGCATAAGTCTCCGGTGGCATCAAGTCGAAAGCGTCAGGATGCGAGACTACAGGCGTAATAAGCCCTTGTACAGCCTCCGCACCGGTTGCCTGAGCCACAGATGCAGTTCCGATGGGTTCAAGCAGAGACTTGAAAGTATCACCCTGCAAGTGGATCGGAGAATCCTACGGTAAGGACCTCGGTGGATGTCGGAGTAGCTGTTGGCCATGTAGATAGTATGTCAAGGGAACTCTTGAATTGTATATCTCATCCTTTCGTTGGCAGATATAAGACTTGCGTTCCTCATCCGACAATTTCAAGTGAGCCGGGGGTTCGAGTCTGTACAGGTGCAAAGATTTCTCGCACTGCTTCACGAACCGTCCACTATGCTTCGTCAAGGCGTTGACCACGAAGTCTTTGAGGTAGTCGGTGGCTAAAAACAATGTATCAATGTCAATCGGTTGATGCTGCAATGTGCACGGGGCGGTTATCAGCACGTACCACAACTGAATTTTACACTGGCATGAGAGATAATCTCGGCGACGCGGATCTCCATCTTGTTCTTCTCATCCTTGGTCAGGTTCCTAAGCCAGCCCACGGATACACTGTCCATAATGAGGCGCTTTTGCGCCCACTCGATAGCCTGAAGCTGACTTTTGCCGTAGTCTTTCATGCTCCCCCTGGATTGTGAGGCTTCCGGAAAGTCGGTTATACTTCGAGCACCGTCAACGTTGTCCATAACGCTTGCTGATTCTAACGATGTGAGTAATGGATGTGAGGCTTGGAGAGGGAACTTAGATCAGTCAAATCATCATGAACTCGGAGAAATTACAATAAAATTCCCTGATCGTTCATGATATGCCACTACAAACCTCAAGGTATGGCTGCACTTACCTAGCGTAGAGCACCTGAGCAGGATGTAGAGTTGTGAGAGGCGGTGTTGACGCAGTGCGCAATCGCAGCACCAGCGATAAGCTTAGTACATGATTAGTGTCGAAGAAGGGACTCGCAACTTGGCAATTAGGTGGGTATTGTGTAAGCAATCTCACGCACGGGTAATTCTTCTTTCATTCCCCTACTCTCATCTCCTCGGCAGGACGATACTGTATAACAAGTCGACCACATGACATTTGTCATGAGCAGCGACTCCTTAGACTCCTCAGAGTCTAAAGTTAGGTTTGTTGTTCAATGATAAGTTCACAGCACTTTAACTTACATACGTGCAGACTCGGACAAGCCCAGTCGACTGCAACATCCTCACCCCCCACATCTGTAGCAACCGGTAGCATCGGTAGCTCTCCAGCGAAAAACATTGGCTCTCCTGTTGTATCTTTGGACAACTCTGAATTTCGCGTTGAGTGGGGTCGCCCTGTCGACATAGGAAAACATGCTGCTTACAATCCCCGTAAGCGTCCCATGGAGTACACCTTATTCCAAAATGGGACTCGCGACGAAGATTGCGACTTGCCCACCAAGAAATTAAAGACCTTGCAAACGACGGTACGTCAGTTTGAGTGGTACCTCTGGGAAGTATAATTCTTATTTTTTTTCAAAGTGGAACTTCACTGCCCCCTCCTCTGAAGCTACAAACTACCTCAACGGGCGCATGCTCGAGCTCTCCCGGATCACTCGCCGAGCTATTGCTGCGAGGATACGCTACCAACGCCTTCGCTCCCGCGAACTCGATCTAATCAAGGGCATCCTTGTCGATGAAACCGAGCTGTGCCAGACACAGTTGACCGGAGTTGACACGCAGATTGGTTCAATTCGGAATATGCTTGGGGTTGGAGGGGCTGCGGCGATATGGAGCGCAGGTGCTAAGTTTGACCCTGATGATGCGGCTGGGTCGTGGTGTGAAAGTTCCTCTGATGAATCAAATGCAATCGCCGCCGCATCTCGCGGCAGCTCAGCCTGCCCGTCCGACGATTCAAATCTATAGTTTATTCTCCACATGTGTTGTATGTAATTAGTACTAATGCATGTATTGCCCTCGAAATTCTAAGCTTGAGATGCTGGCAATGTTAAAGTTAAGTTCGCGGCCTATAGCCTATGGTGTTCGGACATTGTTCGTTATCCGAACATATGTAATAGAATACATTTTGGTATAGGGGTATACGTACATTGCCATTCTCTAGTACACGACTCAACCATGTAGTATTTAGGTCGACGTGAATTTTCACCATTCCCTCAATGCCCCATGGACAACTCTGATTCCTTTACGCCAGTCGAGTACGACCCCCACGACCCCCCGGGCCTCACTACTAGTAACCGTCGGGGCGCACACGTTCAACATGGCTCCCGATACAGCCCATACGCAGCGCGTAGCCTCACGAACTCGAAGCCATCCACGTCAGTTGCATCAGCTAGCGTGATGGATGATACCGAAAGTACTCGATGTATCACAGACTTGCTGGACGCCCCACAATCCAGGGGGAGCATGAAAGACTACGGCAAAAGTCAGCTTCAGGCTATTGAGTGGGCGCAAATGCGCCTCGTTATGGACAGTGTATCCGTGGGCTGGCTTAGGAACCTGACGAAGGATGAGAAGAGCAATATGGAGACCCGCGTCACCGAGATTATCTCTCATGCCAGTGTAAAATTCAGTTGTGGTACGTGTCGACAACCACCCCCGTGCGCATCACAGCCAGTTGATGTACATCGATACAGTGTTGATAGCCAGCACCTACCTCAAAAACTTCGTCATCGATGCCCTAACGAAGGATCGTAGACGGCTCGTGAAGCAGTGCGAGAAATTTTTGTACCTGTACAGACTCGAACCCCCGGCTCACTTGAAATTGTCGGATGAAGAATGCAAGTCTTATATCCGCCAATGAAAGGATGAGATATACAATTCAAGAGTTCTCTTGACATACTATCTACATGGCCAACAGCATACTCCGACATCCACCGAGGTCCTTATATTCGTAAATCCAGCTGTGATAGGTGCTCATTCCTTGCATTGGTGTAATGACAAGAGATCCCCGCTCTGTGATGAAGAGATGAGGGCATCGATCCCAACCACGACCCTTCACATGCTCTCAGCGACATCGGCAGCGGTGAGTGAAGTATATTCTAGTGTGCATTCATTGACTGCTCCTGCACGATCTTTAGACAAGGTTTGCCATTGATCGGTATGTCGATCAACAACTCACCGGAACAAAGAGCACTCTGCGGTACTCTACCCATGCATATGCCGGCGAGCAGGGTTTGATTACGGAGGCGATGTCGGATTCCCTCAAAAAGGATCTACATCGGCGGCCCTTCGAGGCGAACTTACTAGATATTCATCACAGAGGCCTGTAAGTCACTCATTGCGGCGAACACGGGCACAATACTCATACTTTTGCAGTCGAACTTTGCACAAGATGCTGAACCTTGAGCCTCCTCAAATTCCAATTTACATACCTACGACAGCGCAGGAGTTAAGCATACCGCACCAAATACAATCTACCACCTTGCCTTCCGCTTTGTCGCCGCTCGCGCAAGCGAGTGGTCAGGCGCCATTGACGATGGTGGAACCAGAGTCTGAGTTGTCATTGGGAGAGATGCCATGTGACACGGAATTTAGCTCATGGTTCTCTGGTCTGGAGATGAACTTCGAGAAGCCCCAACTTGACTCGGAAGCCTCTGGGTCAGGATTGAACTACAATGACTTGGACAGGCCTTTCAGCCTAAATATGACGTAGTCATTTGCACGTCGAATCAAGAGGTTAGTATGACCATCAACTTCAAGTTGGCCTTCACCGTAGCTAACTTGAACTTCAGCCACAGGTTCAACTTTTAGTGTAGAAGGCAAAATTACTGTCTGTTTCAATTCATTACACTCTGTACAGCTGTAGTACCTCTAGCATGGATGTTGTGTTACGGTCATGGTCAAATGTAGGAATTCACTACTGGTCAATAATTTAGATGTTCTGTGATCAACTCGGAATGTGTGTGAATATGTCCATCCTATCTACTGCCAAAATACTGCATTTTGACTCATACAGGTTTTAACGACTCAAACGACCATTTCATTTCCCGCTTCTTGCTAGCACTGGCAGCCCCAACGTGTAATGCGCGCAAGCCTTGCGTCAGCTCTTTGGATAGTTGTTCTCTCAGTTTTGTTTCTACTGATAATGGTGTCCCATTGCGGTGCTCCAGGCTGCTCTTGGGAGAAGGCAACAAACCCCGTGGACTCAACAGACATCGCGCGTCTTGTGATTTCTACAAGAGGAGTAGCTCTCTTGCAACTCAGAAGAGACGGGAGCGTGCCAAAGAAGCTTCACACGCAGTCACGGTGGGTATTCTTATCAAGTAACCAATTGTTTTCTTGATTCACGTGAACTTGAACTTCAGAGAATTGGCCGTCCAAGACCAGTTGCCCCTTGCCGATCGCTAGCAGGACAAGGACGAGGGTCTGGCGCTGGTGTCTTTGGTGCCCCCGGTCTCGGTGACACGGGACCCTCCCCCGACCTAGAGGTTCCACAATTCGATGTTGAGATGGGTGCCAATTGTGGAGATGAATTTGACTTGAATAACTCTGGTTCGCATCTCTTTGAATGGTGGACTGCTAGTATTCTCACTCCCTGACTCCTTCAGAGCAACCAACAAGCCGTATCAGACGAATTCCAAGATCCTTCCACATCATCGAGCCCTCAGCGGAGGACCTTAATCATTCTGATAGTGTTAATGATCAGAGTTCCTCGAGTCAAAGTTTGCTGGCCGTACCAGCCCAGTCTAGAATCAGACGTGTCCTTCTAACCTTCAGAGACGCGCTTCAGACCACTTGCAACTCCTTCGGACTTTCCCGACTTTACCCTCGACGTCCTTCGTTCGAGCCAGACAAATTTATACCATCTGTGTTACTTGCGAGGACATGTCCAGCTGCTATTCAAGGAGCCCATTCTCCTCCAAAAGTCATCGCACCGCCGTACCCATTCCCTAATATGACTGTCTATAGACTTATGCACTGGATGAACTCCGGAAGCAGTCGGGTGTCAGAGACTAAAGTTGCTACCCTGGTCGAGGATGTGATACTAGCAGAGGATTTCGACCCCAAGGACCTTCAGGGGTTTTCGGTGAGGTGGAGCATACGAGAATTGGACAAAGATGAGGGCGGAAAGAGAATCACATTTCCGGACGACTGGATCGAAACTACGGTCACCATTGAAATTCCAACAAAGTCCAAGGAGGATAGTCCTAGGCCTTACACAATTCCTAGATTCCATTACCGCCCTCTTGTTGAAGTTGTACGCGCCGCATTCGCAGATGCTCAAGGAGGGATGTTCCACCTCTTTCCTTTTAAACGTCTGTGGAAGGACCCTCTAGACAATCATCAAGAGCGGATATACGACAAACTTTACACATCCGATGCTTGGTTGGACGCTCAAGACGATCTGCACAAACTGCCGAAGGAGTCTGGGTGTTCCTTGGAGCGGGTGATTGCAGGCCTGATGTTCTTTTCAGACGCCACTCACTTGGCGAACTTTGGAACTGCCAAGGCTTGGCCTCTTTATGCCTACTTCGGAAATCTGTCCAAGTATGTATGTTCGTCGCCTACGTCGGGATCGTGTCACATTGTCGGATTTTTACCTTCAGTGAGTACTTAGTCCGCCCAATTGCTCATTTGTTGATCTCACTTATGCTACCCACCTCAGCTTCCTGATGGCATCAAAGACGTTTTGAGTAGCCTGCCTCGAATATCAAAAACAGGAATGGCCTCCCTTCTCACCCACTGCCGCAGAGAGTTATTCCATGGATGCTGGGAAATCTTGCTGGATGCCGAATTTTTGTATGCTTATCGACATGGTATCGTTTTGAAATGTGCGGATGGACTAATGCGAAGGGTATTCCCTCGCATCTTCACATATTCAGCGGATTATCCGGAGAAGTATATTTTTTCTTTGCGTTATCTAAAGATATTAATTGGATTACAATTTTCCAGGGCTCTAATCGCGACAATCAAGGACATGGGCTCCTGCCCATGCCCTCGCTGCCTTATACCAAAGAGCTTGTTCAATTATCTTGGTCTGGCGAAGGACATGAAAAACCGCATAACCAGCATTCGAGTATATGCTACAATGCAGGTCGTCAAGGCTCGGGAGTTCATCTATCGATGGGGCCATACTGTAGACAGCGGGAAAGTTCAAGATACCCTCAGAGAAGGCTCGTGGGTTCCTATTCTGGTAGGCGCGACAGGCTTCGTACTGGTTACGATCCGCTCAAACCAGTGTTTACAGAATCAATTTGTAGACAAGCTGGGACCGCTAGGCCTCGACCCATTTCGCATGCTTGTAGTGGACCTCATGCACGAGTGTGAATTGGGTACGTGGAAGGCACTATTTACGCACCTGATAAGGCTTCTTTATGCACTTCCTGGGGGTGCTCAATTGGTCGCCATCCTCGATGAAAGGTATGTGGAGCTAATGAGTATCTTTACCTGCTAACGAGTTGTCACCTTCACGATTTCGCCTTAGATTTCGCCAGCTCCCGACCTTTGGTAACGGTGTTATCCGCAAGTTCGCAAACAATACCTCAGAGATGAAAAAATTGGCAGCTCGCGACTTTGAAGACATTTTACAGGTTCGTTTACGTCGTTTAGTTGTCTGGACAGCTCACTCGCATACCCTCCAGTGCGCTATCCCAGTCTTTGAAGGGTTGTTCCCTCATGGCCATGACGCGGCTGTGCAATCCCTGCTCTATCAATTTGCACAGTGGCACGCACTTGCAAAGCTCAGGATCCACTCCGATTCTACCTTAGCATTTCTGGACGAAACCTTCAAAATACTCTCCCGGAAGTTGCGGAAGTTTCAGACATACACCTGTGCTGCTTTCACTGTGGTGGAATTGCCGAAAGAGAAAGCAGCTCGTCAAAGAAGGTTTGCTAAGCGCTCCGAAACGTCTAACGCCTCTCCAGAATCTACTGGGGCAAGGGCAAAGAAGTTTAACTTGAATACCTACAAGTTTCACGCTATGGGGGATTATGTGAGAACTATCAGGTTGTTTGGAACTACGGATTCATTTACCACCCAAATTGTACATATCAACTACATTCCACCATTATGAACCTGAAGTCCTCGTATAGGGCGAGCTTGCACACCGAGCTCTGAAAGCATTCTATCCACTGACCAGCAAGCTAGACACCCCAGCCCAATTAGCCAAGCACGAGCGCAGGCACCACGTGCTGCGGCGGGTTGCAGAATCAGGGGGTACATCCTCCCCTCATAGTCAATCACCAGTCAACGCCCCCTCCTCTGGAAAGCATTACCACATCGCTGTCAGTCGGAACCATCCGGTCAGTATATTCACATTCATTCGAGAACATGACGGCGATCCTGCTCTTGAGGTAAAAGTCACACCCGTTTTGAGATCGCCTTACTCACTGTGACTATTAGAAATTCATACCAAAGCTCAAGGATCATGTCCTTTATAGGCTGCGCAAGCTCGACGTCAGTTTCTGCGACCACATGTTCACAGACGAAGAGCGAAACTCAGTGACAATTCCTAACAATACCATTCACTCCGTCCAGACTATGCAAGTGCATTACACTACATATGACTTGAGGCGCGAGTACGACATCATAAACCCTAGAATGCACGCAGACGTCATGGTGATTTCAGGGGAGTCCACACCCGGCCACCCATACTGGTATGCCCGCGTATTAGGAATATATCATATGGAGACGTGGCTTGCGCTCAATGACGGAGCTCAACCAGTGAAGCAGGTCATTGAAGTCCTCTGGGTTAGGTGGCTGGCCCCCTTACAGTATCATAAATCTGGCCCGAGACACGCGCGTCTTCCCAAGGTCGCCTTCGTGGAGGAATCCGACGCGGATGCATTCGGCTTTCTTGACCCAGGGCAAGTGATTCGAGGGGTACATTTGATCCCAGCCTTTGCTTCAAAACGCGGCGTAAGTTCGCTTCGCCACGGAAAATCGTTTGCACGCGCTGAAGGGGAGCTAGACGACTGGGAGGCGTATTACATCGGCATGTGAGTGTTGATTTCCATTCTTATAGTATATTGATCCTCAACCCCTGGTGCAGATTTGCTGACCGAGACATGTTCCTGCGCTATGGTCACTTTGGTGTGGGGCATCCAGTAATGACGAGGAGGATGACCAGAGATTGTTTTGCCCCTGACTCACCAGGCGACACCATGGATGTCGTGGACGACAGTGACGAGGTGGATGTGGGCTCTGCAGAGAATGGTGATGGCGAGGGATGGAACGGATGTGGCGATGACAATGACGACGATATGAGCGATGACGAGCTTAGTGACGAGGAACTGGAGCATGAAGATGAGCGAGATGAGAATGATCATGGTTGGGAAGGAGATGAGGAAAAGGACGATGACCTCCCATCTTTTTAAATTCCCTCAATCACCACAAATTATTTAGGTATTAAAGTACTACAGAACTACACTGACATGCAATTATGACGCACCGGTAGCATGCACATACTGATGATGCATACCGCGGGCATAGCCTACGTGCTAGCAGTCACACCACCGTGACAAACCACCCAGACGCCGTCACCTCTTTAAACTTCACTTGTCCGCCCCCGGACTCTAAGCTACGATGAGCAGTTGTAAGTCTGATACAAGAAGTCTAAATTGTCGACTGGTACTGATTAGCTACTTCCAGTCCGGTTGCTGAATCTTGTCCGACCATTTCTTCCACTCCTGCCAGAGATTTCTTCCCCAGATCGCAAAGTACGTGTCTTCCACGCGTTTTGTAGCTCACAACATGGAAAATTCATTAGATTCCTTTCGCTTTTACCAGGTTCCTTTCAATCAAAAGCTGCTATGGACCGTCGTTACCCTTCTGGAAGGCCTTTTCACCTACGACTGTCAATACCGGCAGTGGCCCTGAGTTCGAAGGTGCCATCGTCGCGCTATTCCACCTTCTCTTTATGTGGAACGACAAAGGACGTGCGTTCCGCGAGGCATTCTGGCGTGACAGCCTCCCAAATATCATGAACCTCCTCGCAACTGTCATCGTATTTGCCGCTGTTATCTAAATGCAAGGCTTCCACATTGAGATCCTGGTGAAGAGCAACAGATTCCGTGGCCGGCGTGGCAACTACCCCGTCAAGCTATTCTACACTAGCAACATGCCCATCATGCTCCAGAGCGCACTTTCATCAAACGTGTTCATTGTGTAGCAAATGCTTGCAGCGCGCTTCCCCTCTAACATCTTGGTCAAGATTCTTGCCGTCTGGGAGGTCGGTTATCTTTTTTTGTTAGCTTTAGCAGGTGAAAATGTATCTCAGCCTCGAGAAGACTCTCCTCAGCTCCGCGCCGCAGCAGGTCTCGCATACTACATGTCACCTCCCCACACCCTCAAAGAAGTTTTCCTCGGCCCCATCCACACGTTCCTATATATCACGTTCATTGTTTCGGCATGTGCACTCTTTTCCAAGACCTGGATCGAGGTGTCAGGCAGTGGCCCACGTGAAATTGCGAAACTGCTCAAGGAGCAACAGATGGTCATGCTTGGTCACCGTGAGGGTTCCATGTACAAGGAACTAAAACGTGTCATCCCTACCGCTGCTGCGCTCAGAGGCGCCATTCAGGGCTTGCTTTCTGTCGCAGCTGATCTCATGGGCGCTATCGGAAGTGGGACGGGTATTCTGATGGCTGTTACGATCATCTACAGCTGTGAGTGCCTCTTTGTTCCCTGAGGACATTCGCACTGATGTATGGTTATCTTTTAGACTGGGAGATCGGTATCAAGGAGTCTGGAGGACCTGAAGTGGCAGCGCTGAGTGATTTCATGTAATAATGTTTGATAGCCTAGCTGTGGTCGAGTCTCTGCTTGATTATATGGGGCACATGCATACCCGGCAGGGGATGGATGCTAGGCAGAAAATAACTTATACCCAATGTAACGACGATGGACCACTCCAGCCGCTTGCATGTCGCTTCTGCTTTTGTTGTAAGCGAATGGAGTACCTCTATGAATATATGAATGCCTGGCCAGGGCTTAACTGAAATTGTGAAGCACGCGGCTCCGCAACATTGACGTCTCAAATTCCGATGTTACTCAATAACAACAGTACTACAAACATGTTATACACGACACTGCGTCAGTACTTCTTCCACGTAGTCCGCCATGAACCTATCATAGAGTCTGTTTGGAGGGATGCCTAAGAAAAAGGTTACTCCATTGAATATCGTCTAGGATGGCATTCACACTGGACTTACCCATCAAACCAATAGAAATAATGTTCCGGGTCATCGTACGTATTACCATCGATGAAACAAGAACCCGGGTTTGTATACCCAAAAGCCTCATAGCCTGGATCAGGTCCAAGCACACCATCCCAAATCGTCGCAAAATTGGCAAAAGCAACATTCAGAGGGGGATCCTGCGAGCGGAACACAGCAAGCCCATCAAAAATTGATTGAATCCATGCTTCGCCCCATGCGTTATGACACCCGCGGCCGTATGCGTCAGTGATGAGGAAGTTGCGGGCATTACTAGTGGGCGGAGAAGAAAGGAGAGTGATCTGGCGTAGGATATTTTGTGCTGCTTGTGGTAGGTGGTTTCCGTCCACTGGAAGATCACATCAGTCATCATTGATTTGGTTTCATGATTTTAGGCTAGTACCAAAGGAGTCTCCCCAATCGCTATATAACACAGAGTTAGATCGGGGACTGCATGCGTACTGTAATGTGTAATGCTCACTTAATTACAAAGAAGATTGTGTACAGGGTAGTCTCCGGATCCAATTTATTAGATTGATTTATGAATGTTGTCGCTGGAGATGCGATCATTCAAACATTCGTCGTCGTAAGTGAGGAGAGAGTGCACTCTGCATAATGAAGTCGCGGGGATATGGGTTACTAGGCCACAAGCTGATGTTTGTAACAGCGCTTGACTACTTGACTCGGAGTCCCAACTTGTACGGAGTTTGGAATAGATAATAGGGGTTCCCGTCCATTTCGAGTACATTGCAAAGAAGCTTGCTTCTACATTGGTAGATCACAGTAGGCCATGGTGTTTTTACACACGATGCTCACATTTACAGTCTTTTAGGGCAGTCACAGATCTGGGCGGCCCACCAGTAGAGAATATAAAGCGGATTCTGGTTGAGTTCGTTTGCTTTCACCTCCCATTCTTCGTCTACTGCTTTTGAACCTCAGGCTGTTCATTAATATTCTTCCTTCTCCTCTTGATGTCGCAAGCTGAGGACGGCAGCACGTCACATGGCACTGATGGCAGCACACCGCGTACTGAGAGCTGGCAGAACAACCACAGTTTTCAGCAGCCGCGGCCCCCCGGGCCAGACCCATCCCAAGAAATGTTTGGGCAAGCTCGGCAGCGACGAAAAATCACCAAACTAGAGGGGAAGATAGAGACTCTTGAATCCGGGCGAGCTGCGAAAGAAAGGTAAGTAGTGTGACTCGGACTTCCGCTCCATACGTTGGGTCGGGTTTGCTCACCATCATGCGTCAAAGGCAAACAAATTACTACCTGTCCCAAGGAAGAGCCTACAGGCGTATCGTCTCTCTCTTTGATGGCATTGAGGATCTCGTTTCAGAAAATGATAGAAGATATGATGTCAATGAAGATGACGAGTCTGCTACTTTCGAGTCAGTGTTCCCCCATTGCTAGTTTTTCGCAGTAAGTGGACTCATTGACTTTTATGTAGCCAAAAGAGGCTGCAAGCAGGGTACACCATCCTGATAGGAGCCTTGCCATGGTTAGTGAAGAAGGCCATGGACGCCGAGAACGATGAGTACATACGCATGTTAAAATTGGTATGTTCCATCAAATTGATCGGCTTTATCACGTTAAATCTTTGTTTAGCTCAGGCAGGGGGCTGACGCTGCTCGTGGGGACGATACATCAAAACTCAAGGCTCTTATCTCAGATTGGGTCAATCGCGAATTGAAACCAGACCCTCCTATTGACCACGATGATAAGCATGGTCGTGGATTCATCAGTGATGCGTCTGGTAGGCTACTCTGCCCGGCTGAGCTTGACTGGAACAACTCAGCGTGAGTGGCGCACTCCGGATCCTGGGTGATGCTAACTGTTCAGTAGCGTGAGGGCAGGGATTTGAGACCAATTGGAGGGCTATGTAGTAACGGAGCTCTCCTTTCCAACATTTTTATATGAAAAGTACAACGCTAATCCGGACGACCTGGAGGAAGGGCTCTTCAAGGGAAAAATTCTTGTGCAGGTTTGTCATACTCAAGTTTTCCAGGAACAATCTTAACTCGTTCACAGGGCTACAAAGCTGTGTTTACTTCACCCTCTTCAGCAAAGGACATCGACGGCGACGGCGATGGCGCAGATGTTGTCAGGAACAACGCGCGCATGAAGAACACACTCTTGGGGTCCAAAGTGAAAAAACATGTAGCACAGATCATCAAGTTGGATAAAGTAACTCCGAGGTCTATTGCTTATATTGCCTGCCAAGTAAGTCGTTGTGATAGTTTTGTTGTGAACAGTGGTAAATGTACTGGCAGGTCCGATTCGCTCTTTCCTCCGTTACCTCGTGGCGGATCGTCGACGGCGACTTCAACTACATCCAGTTCTGGCGAATTATAGTGGATTTTTTTGAAAGTCCCCCGGGCCGAGAAGCGCAGCGCAGGGTCACCAAACTCCTGGAGTGGTGGACTCGGTATGGCATCCATCCTTTCAACAAGTCTCAACTAATGATTTCGGGTTGTTTAGAAAAGTTTTCGGAAGGAGTCAGCGTGAGGACCTTAGCAATGCAGCAAAGGCTTCCATGTCCGTGAACGCTCTCGTGATTCGAACTAGATATCTGTCATTATCTTCGCACCTTGCCTTTGTGTAGCTTTCTTGCTGTCGTAGTTTAACAATGTCATAACTTGATGATATTACTTGCATGTGACTACACTACTGATTTGAAACACCCGCTTGTGAGCGGCTGAAATCTTGGAAGCATAAGTTTGCACTGCTCCCACCACAGTACAGACCTCATTGACACTTGTGAATGGTCTCCGGACTATAATTTAAGTTACAGTATCTGAATCCGCATGTTTCTCTCCGAAAACCTGAATCCAGGAAATCCAGGACAATCCTCGTGGTCTTTAGAATGTTTGGTCTTCATACCAACAACGGCGCAGTAAGCGCAGACTTACAAAGTGAAAGCAACGGAAAGCCAAGTTGAATTTGAGGTCCCCAAGTCCCCAATCTTGAGCCGAGGCGTTATTTCCTTTGTTTGCGGGCTCTCCGTGGTGCTTCCTTTTGGTTCTGAGAGATCGGCATAGATACCCAACGTTGCCCAATGACACAGTGGTGGTTAGATGGAAGAAGCATAAAGAATACTTCCACATACTAAAACGCACAATCGTATTGATGAATGACGCAACGAATCAGAGGCTGCTCGTGCTTGCGCGCTACAGAAGGAATTCTGCATGCATTCATTCGTGACCTGAGTCCATGAAGTTCTCTATCCAGTGAGACTGTTATCACTTCCTAGATTCAGAAGATGTGTTCACTCCAGCGGGAAACTGTAAATTTGCGTCCTGCTTTTAAATTTCAATACTATCACTTGAGACGCCTGACATTTGTCAATCTTATGACCGTGCTCCAGGTAAGAATGAAGGCCCGTACCTTCCGGACGAAGAAGACATGCTCCCATAGCAGGACACCGTAAATCTGCACTCAGAAATTTAATGTTTGCCCGCTATATATCGATTGGGAATGCGTGTGAAAAAGGCTTACCTTTACGCAGCAGCCGAGATATTGATTACTCATGACTGCATCACAGGAGAGTTAGAGCTGTGAATAGATGCTGTGTAGATATAGTGTAGCTCCTTAGCGCGAAGCTACACAGCGAAGGGTCATTCGCCTACCAGGTACCACGTTTCCCATTCGTGTGATTGTCCCAAACCATGTCACGGACCACAGCCTCTTGGGATGTATCCAAGGGGAACTACAACAGCCGGCTATTAGATAAACGAAGGAAGTGGCATCGATATGCGACGCAAGATATGCATTAACATCGTCGCTCACTTTGTGAACACATTTTACTCTCACTCACTAAACGAACACACCATCGTTCACCGGAAGACACTGTCTTGTATTCTCACTCGGAAAATTATAATACAACTGAGAGTCATCAAGCATTTCCAGTTGATCGTGGCGAAATATGAGTTTGAGAAATGAGAGAGCCTTTTCCCGATCATGAACATATGTAGGCAAATCACAAATTCATAATTTCACTACAAGGTCAAATATGACGATTCAATGGTCCATAGCAAGATTATGCTGATGCTTGTGATTATGTACAATATATTGTTATATACGACCTTCTAATTTCCCTACCAGTCCACTGATGCAAAGCACTGCCTGATTGTATTGCTGGGCGAATATCATGTAAAGTTGAAGTGCCAATCGGTACGAGGTTCTGTGAGAATTCTGAGGAGCGGTCCACGGATGGCATCGATGAGCTGGCACTACCCGGTCCCTAACTGAATTCGAAAATAAAATGAAAACGAGGCCGTTGTGCAGCTTCAAGTGCGTTCGCAATTTCCAATCGTGACCAACGTTCATCGATGGCATCAGTTATATATGTAATAAGGTGTTTAATAAATACGTAATTGCAGACATGCAGCAGGCGCCCGTCTCAGCAGGTCTCAGCCCGTCTCTCTGTCGCACCATCACGCCATTTGCACCAAGACACCTCTTAACATGCATACCCAGCCATCCTTCCCGCTTCAAGTTACTCGATGTGACTGAGAATAGTCCTCCTCGGAAAAAGCACTGGGAGCGGCTGAAGCCAAGTCGTTCAGAGCCACATTCAGTAGAGGAGAGGGGTGGGAGGGCAACCAGTCGTGATGTATGGGCTTGCGTCTTGACAATTATGCACTGCTCTAATGATTACAGCCGTCCTTTCTCTCGCCTTCGAGAAATGAGGAGTATCGTGCTCGACCGCTGGGGCCAGTTCGCAAACTCTTTGGCACGGTGACCAAGCGCTTCGCTCAAAGCGCTCGACAGTCTCCCAACCCTGGACCCACAGCTGCAGTTCCAGCCCACAGGGCCTCCAACCCGTTCATTTAACCAAGGGTATGCGCAATCTTTCACGCCAACGAGGTCCACTCTGCTCCACGTATTGCTCAAAGGGGATGACGGACTGCTCGAGCTTTCGGAACACCTGACGAGATGGCCAACAACATCGATTTCAAGACGTTCGTTGATGTGAGACTCATTCTTTTTTCTTTTCTTTATATTACTAACGGTCATGCAGCATTTTATACGGCATCCGGATGCCAACCGCCTAGACACGAAAAGCTTCATCAACCGTCCCATCCCTCGATTGTTGCGGTACGAACTGCTCTTGAAGGGCATAATGGACGAGACTCCTGCTGTCTACGATGATCACGAAGGGATCCCTCAAGCCTTGGAGGTCATAAAGTCTTTGAGCAAGGAGACCGAGCCAGGGGTCCAATCAGCAAGCAGAAGGTTCAGCTCTGGTGCTATAACTCGAATTTGCAATTCAAGCCGAGCGAGTCCGTTGTAAGCGCCCGAGAGGTTTTGTATTGTGTCGTGCTGAATTATCCTCGCAGGGCTTGGACCTTCTGAATGAAAACCGCTCTCTTATTCACGCTGGCAAGCTGAGCCTGCTGCGACAGCTCGCCACCGGCTTCGAATGGAACGGATGGACTGAGCTTTTCGTCTTGCTGTTTGACAATTACTGTAGGTCTTCCCACACTCCCATGCGGTGTCACAGATGTCACGCAAAATTTCAGTGGTCATGACCAAGACCAAAGAAAAAGACGGCCTCACGAAATATAACGTTAACCGGAGAGTAAGTGATTATAAACATGGAGTTGCATAAATATCTTAGTTGTGGTTTAGCCCATACCGCTCGACCTTCTGACTCTAGCCAGCTTCACAGATCCCCCGACACAGCGCAGCACAAGCACTCTGCGTCTCGGCCTCGGTGGAGGAAACAGACATGTGGAGGACAGACCCTCTCCAGGTGGCGGTACTTCCGACACTGCTAACGACTCATGTCTTGTATATCCTTGCACCATTCACTACAATGGCAGGCTTGGCGGTTTGTATACCCTCTTTACGGAGTCTCAGCAAGCGCGAGTGGAGTGGAAACAGAAACTGGACGAGGCCATCGGCTTGCGCAAGGTTGTTCAAGAGTCAAACAAAGTCTTTGAGCTAGAGCTGCTCAGTACAGACACCTTCCTCGTGCCGTTCATATCTTCAGCTGCTGTACCATCTTGGAACCACGAGAACTTCCTCACTGGCAAGGTTACTTGCTCTGTTCCATTTAGTGAGCTTCTGGTATTCTGTGTTTCCGTTTGTTCACTCGTATATTTCCTAGCTACCGCTGATGGTCGAGCATTGGTGGCTTTTGGCTGTGCCGAAGGTGTTTAGATAGGCTTTAGACATGATTCACGATGTTCGTGCAGTCAGTCGCATGTGTTCTCTTTGCAGACTGACAAATGCTGCTTTAGCTATGCGCCTGGGCGTTGCATGTAAAGATGGTGACACAGTGTGCAATGATTGAAGACTTCGGAATGCTCCTCGTACTTGCAGACAAGGTATTTTCCATTAGTAATCACCTCCAGGAGATGCTAAACTGCATACAGGCTCTCTTTGCATACCACATTGAGGCTCTCGTTCCATCGTCACCCCAGAGTGCTCATACATATCAGACACTGCAGAGGGTTAAGATGACCAAAGATGTTCACTTCTTTAGCGTCGGCAACCAAGGCGGACGGGCGCTAGTTATATACAATACATGAAGAAGAAAGGGGTCAGTTCCGAGATATCACACCCAAGACGGCCTACTGATAATATGAACAGCTCGACAGCGTCTTCTGTGTTTTGAAACCGGTGGTGGAAAAAATCAATGAAAGGAGCAAGACACCCGCGTCGCTCACTTCTCGCTTTGGTATACGGCCTGCGCGTTCAGAGCGGTTCCGACTGTACATGGTATGCAGTTTCTAGTGGGTCACGTTTTCCATGTTGATATTTTTTCGTAGGAGTTCTTCCTGCTCTCGGAATCTTTCGACCTGGTCTTCCTCAAGGCAAAGATCGCAATTCTTTGCACCAAGGGCTTCGAAATTATGGACCTACCTGAGTACGTCACCTTTGGCACGTCACTTCCGCTCCTCCGCTTAAATCGTTTTTCCAGTTTCAAGAGCGCCACCATTCCTCTGCGTGATGAAGGCGGCGAGAGACTCGCAAAACGCGGGGAATCTTGCCGGCCAATGGGGATGTTCCGCGTGGAAAATGAATTCCTTTTGTGCTATGGTGGTTAGTCATTTTGATGTGAGCTTCAGCCAATGCTGATGATAAGACCCTAGAATTCAGTATCTGCGTCAACAAGCACGGCGTACCTAGCCGGAGCATGGGTACCATTGAGTGGGAGGGCACGGCTGAGCGCGTGGCAATCCACTGACCTTATATCCTTCTATTCGACTCCCGCTTTATCGAAGTCAGACACGTAGCAACAGGTCTGCTCGTGCAGATCATTCCTGGGAACGAGATACGCTGTATTTGGGACAGTCATAGCGCCACCCATCGACTGGTTCAGAAAGCTTCCAACAGGTGATGAGCCTTGACCCTCGGATACATTGCGTCATGGCCGCATTGGAGCCGGCGGACCGCATGACCCTGCCCTTGATCACCAGCTGAAGGAGCGTGCGGAAGAGCAGCGAAAGATACTACTGGGACTGGCGTAGTAGGATCCAGACCCACCTGACGCCCAGATTGGACGGATGAAGCGTCTGCATAACGCAAATCACGAGGATCGCCGTGAAATAGCTCCGATGGCCGCTGTAGCAGCATGGCCGACTCACCGGGTATTCAATTGTACGGTCGAGGTGAGTCTACAGACGACTTATCATAAATGTGAAGCTGATGAAACCATAGATTTTGCACAGCTATGAAAACACCAGTGGACCCAACGCCGTGTACGTGACTGACTACACCGCAAACCTTCATACCAGCCCTACACAAGCAAACTGGTGCTCACGGGAACTATCTGCATATGTGTTCAAAATTGAGATGTGGGATCACGCGGGGCGCCTTGCAACGACGATGCAGCCCGGAGAGTTCTGGTCCCTCCCAAACACACGCGTGATGGGAGACTCCTATTGTTATATTTACGGTAAATTGGTGGAAACACATAAGTCAAAGAAGCTTGACGAGGTCCAAAATAGCGAGAACCTGCACTTTCGTGCTTTGCTAGAGTAAGTGGTGCTGTAGGCTTTACAAAAATTCCACTTACCACGGGTTATCCAGGCGCAAAAAGATGTTTCAGCAAGGGGAAGGTGGATCTTCTGGGCGGTTTGATAAAAAGTTGGTTGAAGATGTTGACAAAGAAGTGGCTGGCTGACGATGTGCCAGCGGCGCGCGAACTCCCAAAGTTGGCTTACTGTCGTTAAGCTTGATGCCTGTAGTGCAGAGGCCTGTATAACTATTAACTGTATATCTAGCATATGTTGCGCGCCCACCAGATCTGCGCCCTTGATTTCAGCAATAACCTCGTAGGGTCCGATGAGGTGCTCCAGCGTGACAAGACGATCTTTCACAACAACAAGGGCATCCTCCTTGATAGATGAGCGCATGAAACTGTAAGTCAATTCTGGATGAATAGCAATGCCCTAACGAAGGATACTATGAGGATGCTAAAATTGAGAAAAACTCACGCACACCATGTTTGCTGTTAGAGTCCAAGGTGTAGTGGTCCATACTAACAAACTTGCCAAAGGCTCCTTGTTCAAGACTTTTCGAAGAGCAGCGCTCGCGATTTCAGTATGCGAGTCCAGCAGAAAGGTCGCATGGACTGGATTGTGAGACATGTTCATCGTTATAGACAAGCTCCGCTTCAGTGAGAGGGGAATGTGACGAGTGAGAGTAATGTACTGGTCGGTAGTGCCGGTAAATAAGACCTACGTGGTATATGAAATAAATAATAAACTCGGACGACAGGAGACAAGAAACGCGTACCTTGCTCTACCATTGGCTGAAATACCTGAAGCTGACAAATTTCATAGCCATGGTCTTCAGGAAGAGGTGAGTAAGCCACAGCGTAGCCATAGATCTGTCTCAAGTCATACCAAGTGTGCGGAAGGTCGTTTTTGGACTCCAATCGGCCATTATGCAAAACTGCTCAAATTATTCCTGCTGCGTCTTCATTTCCCGTTCTGCCGCTGCTTTGGCTGCTGCACGTATGACATTGGGGGGTGACGAAAGAGCATCCTTCTAAATTTCATATTTATTCGATGCGAGATTCACTAGGAGGAAAGAACCACGCGCCTTCAACTCCTGTAGAGCCTTATTTTCAATAGGTAAACCATGGCAATCCCAGCCAGGGTGGTAGCTTCGACGAATGAGCGGTACCAATCAACCATAGGAAGGAAGAACTCACCGTACTCGATGACCTGTCAAGACTTGATACCTGTTGATGATGTCTTTTATAATCTTATTTAAAGCATGTCCTGGAAATAATAAGACATTAGTATTGCGAGTGTGCGTATATTGCTCCGTGCGTACCAATGTCAAGGTGACCGCTCGCGTAAGGAGGGCCATCGAGCAGAGCAAAGAGTGGTTCGTGCGCATTCTGAGTCTACATGCTGCTGCGTCTGACCAGAAGCATTGATGAATTTGAGAAACGCACCTGCCATCGATACAGCTGTTGGCAAGTCTTACTTCTCAGCAACGACTTGGACTTTGCTGAGTCTACCCAGAGCGGAAATGAAGTCTTTGGCAAGAGAAGAGTCTTCGAATGGGCTTTGGGGTCTGTACTGGCGTCCTTCAAAGATTGGGAGACATGGCAAGCAGAGAAGTAGCGGCTGTTAGATAACTTGAAGAAATGCGGGCGAACTGGCCTCGTGGCGATTGGTCCAACCACCAGACATTTGAAAGTGCAGTCACCCCCAAATGGGCAGCTTAAAATTCAGGGCGCAAGTGAGTACATGTACAAATTTGCTACGAACATATTTATCCAGGAACTCCTCTCACAACCCAGGACATCTCTCTCGCCACCCCTGGCTTCTGATTGAGCATATGTATGTCAGTGCATAGTTTCATCCACGAAGTAGGAGAATCATCTTTTAGTACAGCGAGGTGCCTTTGGGCTTGCATCGCTACTTCATCAAAGTGAATGATCGTGCTGATATCCATGTGTCTTGGAGAATGAAACTGGGCTCCGCATTCTACTTCCTCCACGGCTTTGACGATCTTAAGTTATTAGTAGGAGTATTTCTAAACAATAGCAACAAACACTGCTCACCTGTACCACAGCGATCGATGCATCAACAATCGGGTATCCTCCCCCCGAAGGACGATCAAGAATATTGGGTCTGGAATCACCAAACAACACTGCATGCATCACCCGCCGAAGCACCTCATCTCCGATAACCCCCTGGTGAAAATATTAAGGACAGTGAACTTCAAGCCTGCTACAATTCACTTACATCTTTGAGAGTCAAGTAAGGTGCAGTCTCTAGAAGGCCAGATGTCTGGTCTGGCAAGCGACAATGATGTAAGTTGTACTTCTCTCTGACCAGAACCCTTGCTTCTTTGAGAGCCAGACTCTTATTTCGCAGGTTACCCAGAACCGCCGAGTTTTGTAAACGCTCAGCCCATTGATGATCCAGACTGCCTAACCCATAGAAGGCATGCAATACGTGGCTGGAGGCCATGCATTTGCGGGCCTGTTCGAGTGTCATTCCAAAAGAAATGGGAACATGATCGGACCTCCCATAATGAGTGCTGCCTGTCTTTCTTGTGTGTTGAGCCTGGCGATCCACCATAGAGTCGTCTGAGGGTCCAACATGAGAAAGAGCTGGGAAAAACTGATTGTACATGGTGGATATCACATTTCGCAGAAGCCCACATGATAACAAAATGGGGAGAGAGGGCGTGTGGATCTGCAGCAAGCTATTGATGTCGCTTCCATTCCAAACGCGGGGAAATTCAAGGCGGGTAGTAGCAACAGTATGAGCAAATATATGAGTCCTGTGAGCGGCGTTGACATGATGAAGAAGGCCTGTGACGTGAATGACACTAGGCCGTATTATTGCAAGATAGAACAGAATAAGTGGGGTGAGACTGGGAGGAAAGACCCACAGCCACTCTTGCAAGACCTGGTTGAGTTTTCTGTCCGCTGGGTGACCTATAACAAGCTCGGAGCCTAGGAGATAGAGATTACGAGGGATGCCGGTTTCGCTATCTGACTGGAATTGAAAGGACCGAAATTGCTGGTGTAGGGGAGGTATGCCGCACGTCAGGAGAAAGGCAACCAGAATTTGACCAAGAATTTGCTTGTCGAAGGCCAGCCACTTTCTGGCAGCCTCCTCAGTAATCACAGTGGGTGAAAGCATAATGTGATGGTTGGGTTCTTTTGGGTCTGACAGGCGCTGTAACATCAAATCCAACAGTGGCTCTATAAGAATGCGGTTGGAAGGCTGAAGGAAAATGGAGTCAGGACTATTGAGGTCGTCGACTAACTGGCTGAAAATGCCACGAAACTGTGGAAGAAGATCTTCGCAACCGCGTGGCAAGCACTGGCCTATCTGGTCTGATATATTTGCTATTGCGGTCTTGGCCAATCCCCCAAGATCTGCAAATAGGATACTCTGGGAGATACCATCATTGTCTCGCATGGTCACGGCAGTGCCATCTTCAGTGAAGAAAAAACCGTAGTTTCGTTTCTCTTTGAATGAAGCTGGCCTTGAATGGAACCAGGCAGTCTTGATTTGGTTGTAAGGTGTGGCGAACGAGGGGTGGCTGGCAAGTAAGGGCTGAACATAGTGTAAATTCTCTGCCAAAATGCTGTAGGTCGTGCAGGTAAGTTGTAGTCCCAGTTGTAAAGCAGCATAAAGCAGCTTACCTTAAGACTGACAATGACCCAGGAGTGCGATCTACCTGAGCTACAATTTTTGCTGGGCGTCGTTGAGCTGGAAGAGAAGACTGCGGGTCATAGTATGTGTCTAAATATGCCGCTCATATTAGCGCAATGTATAGCATCCCAAATTTGTGCCTCACCTAAGTTCTCCGCAGTGTCGCCATTCAGATAGTAAGAGTGAAAGGTTTCTTCTTTTTCAAAGTCCCATCCGCCTTCAGCTTCATGTGGTAGCATAGACTCTTCCTCCGCATCTATACCATCGTCATGACCATCTACAAACTCTTCTTCAACTTGCCGGAATTGCGCAACCACGCAGTCATCAGCGCCTTCCCCCTCATCTGGAGTGGCGACCGGCTCCTCCATAGGCTGAGGTGCCTCGCTCGTATCAGGTACGGGATCCCTGGTGAAACTATCTAACAGAAAGGGAATGAAGCGTTGATGGCCGTGGTCCTCAAGCCGAGCAGAGTGGATGATGACGGTATAAAAGTTGTGCTGCAGCACAGCGCAAGTCCTGGCAGTAGTTGCAGCAAGTAGAAAGCCACCGCCATCACCCAGTGAGCCAATACATAGGGTGTAATCTGTCGGGCATGCCATCGTTTCTAGGTTGGTAAATTTCTGCTTGACAAGGGTCACCAGCAGTTGGTGCATAAGTTGGAGAAGCACAGCTGGGCGGGGAATCTTGGTTTGAACGAGGTAATTGTAGAGCATATTGGCGGCATACTCCTGGGCCAGACTCCTCCTGATGCGAAGAGTGCCAAATGGCGCCAAGGCCCCAGTGCGCTCTGCATGGATCCATCTGATCAACATACAGATGCAACGAGACAGAGGTCTGGAGTAGGTGTAGTAGGAAACCCGGCTCAGCGCTCTGAAGTGCGCTTTGGTGCTGGGTAGATAGTGAGCTATGGATAAATTGGATAGGAAGAGTACTCACTTCATTGTTACTGCTTGGCGAAACTGCTCATCACTTTTGGACGATAGATAGGTCTGGATGTCCACAATATATGACCTATAGAGCTTCCGAATGGTAATGAGGCCGAGCTCAAGCTGCCTTTCCACCCCCTCCAAGGATAGCGCCTCTTTCTTTGTTCTAAGTTTCACCAACCCACGAAGAACACCTGGTTGCAGGCCCAGGCTAGCAATAAACTTCTGCCACCCAAGGTCCGCCAAGTATTGACTATGGAGAGAGACTGTATGTTGGATGCGAGAGGACCTCACTGCAGCAACAGCTTGCGCTGAGGACGCAGGAGTGTAGTCCTTGATAAAAGGCCAGACTACTGAGGACAACGGGTCTTTGATATTGAGAATTTTGTGAAATGGGCGGTAAATCCATTTCATTTCAACGTCCCCAGCCAGATAAGCCTTGGCGTTTTCAGGGTGGGCACTAGCGATGTGTTGTCTGGTGGGAGCATGCTGACCCTTGGTGGAAGATTTCCCTGCTGGTACAGCGTACCAATGGCGGCAGCCCAGGTGTGGGCAGTGAGACGACCACTCTGGTTGAAGACCCTGGATGGGCTCAGATAAATCACCAGGGGGGCTGGGACAGTGCGTCATTGATGTGAGGCGGTGGCTGTTGAGCAGATGGGTAACTAGTACTGATTTAATGGCTGAAGGTGTCCGGCTTCTTAGTTTGCCTCGGTGGTGGGGGAGCAGCATGTGAGCTGACAGGTGACCAGCAGGCACAAGACCAGAGTTAACGTCGCAGACAAAACCATACTGCCCGAATGACATTCCTACTGCAGCTAACAAGGGACAGACGGTGGTAGGGGGCGAGAAGAGTGGACTTGACTCGGAGTGCGCTGGAGTATGGAATTGTTCGCAGCACGTAATAGACTGCTCATCGCGCATCCAGATGTCAAGTGGACCATCAAAGTCCTCAGAGGCAGAGCTAGAATCGGCAGGTATCTCCAGATGGGCCCGCTTTGAAGCCCTATCACCTGGGTACACATCTTTGCACCGTTTACGCTTGGATGTGGATGTGAGGATGGCCATGGTGAGTTCCCAACTAATTTCACATGAAGGTGCGGTGGCTAGTCATAAGTCATAGTACTGTGAGACTGAAATTTTTGAAAGTTTCGGCAGGTTCGAGGTTTAATTAATTAATCTATTAGTCAAGTGGGTGCGCTAACATCATAGTATGTAAAGTACGTTGCTACTCACAGGAAACCCGGCAGTGACTGACTACACCACGTCGATGTAGTGCTGCTGCAAGGAGGAACTTCTCAGAGGTCAGGTTCAAGGCAGCTTCATTGATGCAAGACCACAGGACAGGCGCTGCATTATGGAAGTACGCAGGCGCGCGTATTCCATTTTTTTTTAAAAACTGGTGTTTATGCGCCCCTTGGGTGCTCCCAACTTCAACGTTGTCGCAATGGCTTTAGCTTTGCACACCTGATTCTTCTGGTGAGAACAAGTACTGTTGCTGGAGTTGGTTGTCGGGTACAAAACACAGTTCTTCGGATTCAGTTGAGTTATACGTGCATGTGGAGTCGTGGATTGACTGACTTCTTGGGTTGTTCGTGCCGGGACACGAGGTTTTGAGTGGTGAGTCCGAGTGTGTGATGAATGATGGTGGTGCTCCAAGAGGCATTGGGTGGTTCTAGGCGTCGGATTATGCCTGGGTGATTTTTCAAGCTAAAGGCTAGGTTTGAGGTACTCCTACGGTATATTTGAGACTATGAAGTATGTAAGTACAGTACCGTCACTGGCAGATGGAACGATTGCGGTACCTGAAATTGGGCGTTTATTGCGCACGGCGCAGATAGTCTATCTCCTCATGCTCCCAGGTGAGCTTCTAGTATTAGTCCGCGTCTGCAGGTACGGTGGGTGCGAGATTGTTCTAGAACATGGAAGCACGAGCGGCGAACGAACATTGATATCCATGATCTACAAGAACAAGATGTTGTCAACGAATGTCT